CCCTTGTATAATTCGAGTGAGCAATATATTTATTGCAATAGTCAAAACAGATTAAGGTACATTGGGGGGGGGGACAACATCAAGTCAGGTGTAAATAAAATTTGCTCCCCCGAGATAACAGGGTCACATATCTCAAAAATAATAATTTCCCCCGAGATAAAAGGGTCACATATCTCAAAAATAATAATTTCTGTCCAAAGCAGGACCTTTATCTTAGCCCGACTGAATGTTTTTCCTTCAGCTTTTGTCAAGGGCAGATTTTTAAACATCCCCAGAAATGATAGCCATTGTGGATGTTCTTTGAATGTGCCAGACACTGTAGAACATATCCTTTTCTACTGTCCATTTTACAACCTGCTACGCAAACACATGCTGCCCCCCCCTTTTTTGGGTGGTCTAATATCACGGCACAATGAAAATATCCGATTAACCCGGAATTAACTGCAAGGGGGGCTGAGGTTTTGTTAATAGTATCTCTTGGAGTGCTAAATGGCACTATTTAGCAGGAAGAAATCCCAATGAAATTCCTCATCATTATATATTTTACATGGCTGTTTATTTGTATATATTTTAAATGTTTTAGGATGCCCTATATTTGTAATGCCCAGGAAAGTTTTGATGACGTAAGTAAGTAAGCATTACAGGGGGTTGGACTAGATGAGCAGTGGGGTCCCTTCCAATTCTAGAATTCTATGATTCCACGAAAAGAGAATATGCATGGGAAAGAGGGTCAGAGAGAAGGAAAAACACAGGGGTGTAGAGAAGAACAAATGACAGACAAAAGCAAGACTGGAAGGACTGAGAGGAAAAGCAGAGGTTTTAAGCTATGGCATTTATACATTTGCTGATTTTTAAATCATTTCTTAGCTGCTTAAATCTTAAACAGTGCACTAAGCAACATAAAAACTGTAAAGCAATATCAGGAAAACCATAAAAACAGTAATATAAAGTCATTAAAAAACCAGGAATTTCATCTGTCTGTCTGTCTGTCTGTCTGTCTATCTATTTTGTTCCCTTAGGTGTAATATTGATGTGCACTGCCTCTGACTCTGTTCCCGAAGGCATGATGATTACGTGGCAGGCAGGTGGCCAATCAGGTAACACCACCGACACCCGAAGTGCACGCACTGGTAGCACAGGATACCTCAGCCTTGCATTAGCAGCCTTTTCGCGAAGAAGCAACTACGTCTGTCGAGTATCCCTCCCTGAGTCCCAAACAAAAGTCAATGAACCTGAAGGTAAAAACTCTCGACACAGTTGGGACTTAGTTTTCCTTTGAAAAGCATGGTTTGGGAGCGGGATGATTGTTTCCAGGAGCAACTGTGCAGAGATGGTATCATTGGATATGGGACGTTTTTAGCTATCCTTGGTTTTCAAACCCAGCCTATACACCAATACCTTCTCTGGGAAGGCTGGGGTGCTTTTTGTGCTGGGCGCTTTCTTTATATATGTTGGGGAAATTAGCTGTGTAAACATTCCTGGAATCTCCACTATCCCACCGTGTCCTCATCCAGCTCAAGGAAGCCCCATGTATGTGCCACAGATCTTCCTAATCAGGTCCACACACACAAGAACTTCAGTTAAACCTCCTTTGCTCCTTAAAGCTTTCATTAAGGATTTACACCCCTCTATCTACAGATTAAAAATGTTTGTCAGAGAATCCAGCAGAAAATAATCAGCACTAAATGGTGTCATAAATGTTATCCATCAGTTATGTCTAAAATTAATAGCTGTTGCCTCTCCCTTTCTCTCATGCGTTCCCCTGCCATCCATAAAGAAAGCAGCCTTCAGCGAGCACAGACAATCCTCACCAGCATGGTCATAGGGCTCAATGCAAGTGAAGTTTCTGTCCAGTGGGTGAAGAATGCCCTCCTTGAAGGTCGCCATGTGAATCCCCGAGTCTTGAAGGGCAGCATCAAGGATTCCCTCTTGGCCCTCAGCCAGGTGGTAGTCCCCTACTCTGACTGGAACAACGGCACTTCATACTCCTGTACGTTTACCCGCACAGCAGGCATCGTGGAGCCCACCCAGAGGCCTGAGGAGAAATCCCAGGGTGAAAAGTGATGCAAACCCCATCCTCAGCATCACAACCTCTTCAGCCTATCCCAGATTCAATAATATCCATGTATCCATGTTTGGCCTAAGGCTGAATAAAAGTGAGCAAACTCACTCTCTTGATGTGATCACTTGATTGAGGTGGTGGGTGGGTTATGAAAAGAAGTGAGGAATGGATTAATCTCCCTGCAAAATCGTGTTGAAGTTTGATTATTGTAGAAGCAAAGTGTGTTTAGCACATAATCATGAAGTTCACTAGAATGCTTTTGGCTAGTCACTGTCTATCCACATAACCCACCTCACCAGGGTTTTTTGAGGATAAAATGGGGAGGCAGAGTACACTGTATGCATACTCTCCAACATTCCTCATTTGAAAATAAGGACATTTCTCACTCTCACTCCCTCCGCCATATGACCCTCCTCAATGTCACATTTTTTATCTGTTACCCACTTCTGCAAAACATTTCCTATCAGATGAAGGTTCAGACACTTGCCCTGGTGGTCCAGTCCACACATTTCAAGACCTCCCTAAATAGTTAATTTAGGGTGTTCTCGAAGCTACCAACATGAGTTTGACCAAACTGCGGGAGGCAGTGGAAGACAGGAGTGCCTGGCGTGCTCTGGTCCATGGGGTCACGAAGAGTTGGACACGACTAAACAACAACAAATAGCTAATTCAGGGGCAACTGAGCAGAGGTTACACTATAAGATACGGGAGGTTTTAAGCCAATATTGTTTTTCAAACCCAACCTTTGCAGCAACTTGAACACACCAATACCAATTGTTGTCCATCAGTTATGTCCACACTTAATAGCTGTTGCCTCTCCTTTTCTCTCATACTCCCCCCACCCCAAAACGTAAAGAGAGAAGGGAAATGGTCCCAGGATCCTAACATTTCTTCATTTCTTGGGTTTAGGGGGATCCCCATCACTCATAGCTGTCAATGTTTCCGTTTTTTTAAGGGAAATTCCCTTCATCCAAATAGGATTCCTCTCAAGAAAAGCGAAAAGTTGACAGCTATGCCACCACTAAATCTATAACAATACACTCAAAGTTGGATCATGTGATTTTAAGCAGTCCCTGGACATCGCACCACCCTGACAAAAAACCTTAGTCCCGATTTTCTTTAGTAAATTTGCACAGACAAACACAAACAAACCAATAAATATTTTTTTAAGAAAGAGGCAAGATTAAACCTGCTCCAGTCCCCCTTTCGTCCCACCCAGGCTGGCCCTACCCTTCGCCTGCCTCTCAGAGCTGGCGCATCCCACACAGGGCTGGGCCTTGCTGGTGGCAGTCTCGCCTCCTCTTCGCCTGCCCTCTGGCAGCTGCTACAATCAGCAGCATGTGATATTGCAATGTTCCCTGCCCTGCTTTCCATGACCCCCAGAGTTTCACTTCAATCCTGTTTGTCTTCACGTGGCTGCTGTCCTTTGAACCAAGTTCTACTCTAGAGCCATGTTCACAGGCCACGGCCATCCACCAGGGTAGCACAAAAGCCCACTTCTGTGTAGATTCTGCAGTCAGCTGGTAACCCCTCCCTCCGCCTGCTTCCGCTACAGCCAGCAAGATCCGCCATCACACTGGCATTTCCCTCCTGCTGAAAAATTGCAGAAATCTCCTCCTTCCCTTCTTCTCACCTACAAATACGGCAGAATTGTGTTCTGGCTCAAATCCAAAAAATGACGCTAATTGGAAACCTGTAAAAATACAAGGGTATGGCCCTGTGTGGTGTATCACAATAGCACCAGCAAGACACAAGATCATGAATGAGACGGAAATATACAAGGATAGGAGTCAACTCCAGGGGGTCGTGGGTACTTGGGCACCCACAATAATGTAATTTGCAGGGACTGGGCACCCACAAAGTCAATGAGCACTATGTGCAGGCATGTGCGTGTGATGTTGCACCTCCATGTTACGGCTGTGGGCACCCACAATCCTGAGGCCAAGATGGCATCCCTGTATACAAGCCCACATCCTGTGTCCTGACTCCATGCATTGCAGCTTGAAGAACCAGATTGGGGTTAAGAAGACTGGTTGCTGGGAACCCCTTCATTTAAAACAGATCCCTGCAGCCACATTAGTAAAAAAAACTGAAAATAAAACAGCCAATATTGTAATGCTGTTATACAAATCTATGGTGTGACCTAAAATATTGTTACGAAAGTTGAATGCCTGCCCTTCTCTTTGCCGAGTGGGGGCAAGAGTCCATGAGGTCCCTGGCACTCACACAGGGTCTGTGTCCCTTTGGAGGAATAGAAAACGCAGTAAAGACTATTGTTGTTGTTGTTTAGTCGTTTAGTCGTGTCCAACTCTTCATGACCCAATGGACCAGAGCACGCCAGGCACTCCTGTCTTCCACTTCCTCCCGCAGTTTGGTCAAACTCATGGTTTATTCACCTATTTACACCTTCAGTCTGCATGGTGGGAGTGCAAATCTTACGGCATGGTCATTTCCTGGGGCAGCAGCGCAGGCATCCTTCAGCCTGCCTGCCCAAGATGGAGCTCAGCTCCTCTCCTGCCTCTTCTTCCCAGGGAACCTTGCTCAAAAACTGCCTTTTCCTGTCCCCTCAAACACCCCAGCCCATCACTTGAAATCCCTGCCTCTGTTCACACCTCAGGGCAAGGGGAAAGGAGTTTTCTTGTGTTGTTAATGGCCCTCCATTATACACATTGAGGCACCAGGCAAAAATGTTCCTCTTTAACCTGATCTTTGGTTGGTTGCTATCCAATGCCCTTCTAAAACGTGTTCTGGCCAGATTATAAGGTTATTTTCATTTTTATTTTGCTTATGTATTTGGTGTTTTTCTATTGTGATTTTATCCTTTGTGGTAGATTTAACAAGAAAAAGACACACGCACCAATAAATAAAATTCCGAAAGGAGCAAGATCAAACGCAGATGCACAAAACATTTTAAAAAAAAAAAGTCAAGACTCAATGTGCTCTTCTCCACTCCCCCTTTCGTCCCACACAGGGTGTCCCGGCCTTCTGTCTCCCCTCAGAGCTGACACATCACATGAGGCTGGGCTTTGCTGGTGGAACTTTCTCCTCCTCCTTGCCCACGCTCTATGAGAAGCCATGGAGAGGCAACGCGATGCTCCCTCACTCATTCGGGACGTGTGCAGGTTCAACCTCCTCACAGAACTCGGCACTGGTGGGGAGAAAGTGGGACATTCCAGGATCAAATCAGAAACTGGGGTGGCTTTCATAATTCTAGGACTGTCCCTGGAAAATCAGGAGGCTTGGAGGGCGTATCTGTGCCACCTTCAACTCTTTGGTGAAAAGGTGGGATTGGAATTTAATAATAAAGAAAAATGATAAACCACCAGTTGTATCCAAGTTGGGGGTTGCAGAATTCTGAGTTCTGTATACAGTCATACCCCGGGTTAAATATGCTTCAGGTTGCGTTCCACGGCAACCTGGAAGTAACGGAATGGGCTACTTCCAGGTTTCGCCACTCACGCATGCGCAGACGCTCAAAATGACAACATGCACAGTAACAGCGAATCGCAACCCGTGCACGCGCAAACGTGGGTTGCATTCTGCTCAGGATGTGAACGGGGCTCCGGAATGGATCCCGTTCGCATCCTGAGGTATCACTGTATATGTGGCCATCCCATGTAATCCTTAGAACAGCCACTGGAGAGTTTCATATTTGAATCTGGGTCACATTCCACCGGGCTCAAGTCCAATATCCTGTCATATGCTTCACAGTATCTTCCCTCCATACAACATGCTCATACTCAGCTCTCCTTTTAGTGTCTGATGATGAAAAGAGCAAAGAGGCTTCTGTAACATTACTTAAGACTTTTGCTTTATCTATCTCTAGCACAGTTTCCCATCAACACCCACAAGCCCCTTGAGGGCCTCCCTTTAGTCCAATGCTACAATCTGCGTCAGGCCACGGCATAAATTCATTTGATAAATCATGGGCTAAATCAACTTCTGCTATAATTTTGATTCAGGATAGCCTACTGCCATCAAAGCAAAATGAAACTACATCAAATATAAACAAACATCAAATATAAAAAAAAACGTATCTGGGTAATAGTTGTTATCAAAACCTAAACTAATACAAGGATGTGTCTGGTTCATATCTGAGGATACTAAAAGCAGCATTTGCTGTGAACACCATTCATTTAACTACCGGTAATCTATAAAAGGGGGTTAATTAATGAATTGAGATTAATTAATGAATTAAGTCAGGCCCATTCCATGTTTCTTTCTATATCATGGGTGTCTGATGCTGGTGTGGTTGCTCGAGAGTAAACAGGCAAGACTCTGACCTGTCTTTTCCAGGCTTTATTCTTGGTGCAAACTATTTACAGTGAAGAGCGTCGTAAATTCATGTCTGGCTCAATCGCTAGCAGAATCTGGGAGTGGTTGGTCTTTGTACCTCCCCCAGCATAAAAGTCAAGTCACCTCCAATGTTATGTACTGAGTTGAATAGGATTCAAAAGGCAGCAGTCTGATTGGTCCTAGAACAATAAGATTCAGAATGCAGCAGTCTGATTGGTCCTAGAACAATGCAGCAGTATGATTGGTCCGCAGGAGCCACCCAATCCAGCTCCAGGTGGAAGTGAATCCGCAACCTGATTGGCCTACAGGAGAATCCCAGAATTAGCCAATCACATGCGGCCCATTGTGTAAATAATGTATATAAAGCAGATATTTTGGGGGAACTTTAATTCCTCACTACTATGAGCTGAATAAAGAGCAGGAAATCCACACTCGACTCCGAGTATATTTCACCCAACCTTTTCCGCCCTTCCCTGCGCCGAAGCCTACTGCGCAGAATGGGCGCTGGCAGGGGCGTACTTCCCGCCTCTCCGGTTTGCTCAGGTTCGGTGTTGAGGCTCTCCCTAGCATTCCCTGGTCCCTGCACCTCTTCTCCACTGGAGGTGGGGCTTTCCTCCTCGCCGGAGGAAGAACTGCTTCGCAAGATTTTCAAATGCTCCCTATAACACAACTGCCCTTCCATCTCTCGCCTCTGAGTTGATGGCAGTTCCCTGACAATGGGACATAAGCATATTGGTTCAAGATAGGAAACTGAGAGCAGTTTCTGATATGCAGGTGTGGCCTCTCTCTGAAGGACATCACGCACAAAAATAGAAAAGTCTATTTTGTTCATTTTTTAAGAAGTTAAATTGTGCTACAGTGGGTAAGCTATAGCACACCTTCCAGTGTCCCTGGAACTGGCAAAAAAAAAACAGCAAAAAAGTGGAACTATTTGCCACAATTTTTTTCAGCAATTTAGCTGAGATGTCTGCGTAGCAGAGGGGTTGGACTAGATGACCCCTGGGTCCCTTCCAACTCCATCGTTCTCTCATTCCATGAGTCTTCAATATAGAGAAAGAGAACTTAAGAAAATGGTGGCTCATTTGGTATAACAACCTGTTCTCCACGTGGCCAACCAAATGCCCCACAAGTAGTACCTGAGTGCAACAACCTGGGATGCAAATTAACATGGTTTGATGTTAAGACACTTGTAAACGTAAAGGGACCCCTGACCGTTAGGTCCAGTCACGGACGACTCAGGGGTTGCGGTGCTCATCTTGCTTTATTGGCCGAGGGAGCCAGTGCACAGCTTCCTGGTCATGTGGCCAGCATGAAGAAGCCGCTTCTGGCGAGCCAGAGCAGTGCACGGAAACGCCGTTTACCTTCCCGCCAGAGTGGTATCTATTTATCTACTTGCACTTCGATGTGCTTTCGAACTGCTAGGTGGGCAGGAGCAGGGACAGAGCAAGGGGAGCTCACACCGTCGCGGGGATTCGAACCGCCGACCTTCCTTCCAATCAGCAAGCCCTAGGCTCAGTGGTTTAGACCACAGCACCACCCGCTTTTTAAGACACTTGTAGTAAGTGGTTAAGTCCACATGAGGGCAGTAGGAGGCTTTTTACAGATAGACTGACTTGTGCACACACATCCATACACACACAAGAGGGGGTGGAGTCACGTTAAGGGTGGGAGATGGGGTTGGGAGTTCACAGATAAGAGTTTAAAAAAATTAAAGGCTAATGTAATTATATTTAAAAATCAAAAGTTGCGGCAGTGATTCAAGTTAGAGTGTGAGATAAAGGAGAAGACAGAAAAGAAAAGGGAAAGAAAAAGGAAAGAGGGGAAAGTCCTTTTGAAAATTGGTGGGGGAATATATTATTATTATTATTATTTGAATTTATATACCACCCTATACCCAGAGGTCACAGGGCGGTTGTCACAGAACAAAATCAAAATATAAAACCATAAAATATGAAATAAAAATAAAAACAACCCAATAACCCACCCCCTATATGCATATAGATATATAGTATTCTTATTCATTTGTTTGTTTATTCAGAAAAGACAAGGGGGGGAACCATAATAGTAAGTAAATTGGGGGGAAAGGGGGAAGGAGGGGATGGAGAAGTAGATACTTAAAATAATAATAATAATTCAAAATGTTGAAGTGGTGAGATCTAAAAGATAAAATAGGGATGAAAGGGGCAAAGAAAAAAGAAGTAAAATAAGATTCTTTAATGAGAATTTTTTAAAAATTAAGTGAATTAATGGGTAATAATAATAATGAAAAATGAGTAAGAAATGAATAAGAAGTGTATAAAATGGATGAATAATGATTGATAATGTATTAATAAGAAAAAGAGGGGTTATGTATATAACTAAAGAAGAAGAAGGGGGTGAGATTGTTTTTAAAGGGAACAAGAAAAAGGGGCAGCTTTAATTCTGCTGTGGGGCCCCCGGGACTTGGGTGTCAGGTCCCTAAGTCTAAAAGAGGGAGTGTTTTTCTATTTCCATCTTTTCCCATCTCTGCAGAATGTGAAGAGGACAACAAGGTTTTAGAAAACTGCATGAAAGTGTCAAGATCAAAGGGGCTCCTCCACACCTTGCTCTCTGCTGCCCTCCTGTGACCTTTCTGATGAATGCACCCGGTTCCTCATTGGAATTTGTTGAAAACGCGGCTTCCCGCTCAGCACTGCTGCTAACAAATAATGCTCTTAGCAAATGCAGGATGAGGTCTTTTCCAGAGCACCCATGTGAAATCATCATCGGACCTGGGATTACAGTGGGCAATAAATTGAGATGATAATAATAATCATAATAACAACAGCGTGATTTTGTAAAACGTAAATTTAACATGAGGTTTTATGAAATGTATTTCTTTTGAGACTGCAGGTTTTATTTCTGTTTTGATCAGTTTGACGTCAACTTGTTTTTAACTTGTTTTATTGGTATTTGAATTGAATATTGTGTTGTATAAACTGCTTAAATGTGTGCGCGCGTATTTAAATTAAGCGTTATCGAATTATTGTGAAAATAAAGTAAAATTAAACACGTGCTAAACTTGACTAAGCTCTGTACCAATCAGCGAAGATTAACCAACATGGCCGCGCTTCCTCTTTTCCCACATCGCCCATAACCAACATGGCCGCGCTTCCTCTTTTCCCACATCGCCCATAACCAACATGGCCGCGCTTCCTCTTTTCCCACATCGCCCATAACCAACATGGCCGTGCTTCCTCTTTTCCCACATCGCCCATAACCAACATGGCCGCGCTTCCTCTCTTCCCATACCGCCCATAACCAACATGGCCGTGCTTCCTCTTTTCCCACATCGCCCATAACCAACATGGCCGCGCTTCCTCTCTTCCCATACCGCCCATAACCAACATGGCCGCGCTTCCTCTTTTCCCACATCGCCCAAAACCAACATGGCCGTGCTTCCTCTTTTCCCACATCGCCCATAACCAACATGGCCGCGCTTCCTCTCTTCCCATACCGCCCATAACCAACATGGCCACGCTTCCTCTTTTCCCATACCGCCCATAACCAACATGGCCGCGCTTCCGCTTTTTCTATATTGCCCGGAACCAACATGGCCGCATCAGCAACCCCGCCTCTCTCCCACTGCTAAATTGAAGAACAGCATCGCGATTTTTAAACATGGCCCCAGCCCACTTTGCTCTAGTCCCCCCCTTTTTTTAACATAGCCGGGAAAAGAATCGACTGGCGCCTCCCTTTCAGCGGTTACATGCCTTTCCCCCACACACGCCTGCGCCTGAAACAAAAAAAAAGGAACTTCAGGGTCTCGAGAGGAGAGTTGCCCTCACTCAAGATGTCGATCCTTCGCGCTAATCGAAGGGTTTTTGTTTGCCCTTAACAAAGATGGCAGCCTTGCGCGGGCGTCACGCGTCCAACCCCTCAGTCCTCGCGAGGGCTGCGCGTGACGCGACCGGGGGTGGGGCCGAGGAGCGATGGCGGCTTCCGCAGCGGCGTTCGGTAGAGCGTGGAGCCGGTCTGGGCTGCCGGGGAAGATGCCCCTCGCGGGGAGCCTCCGTAGGCAGGTGGGTGATGCAGGGAAGCGGGCGCTACGCCTCTGCGGCGCTGCCCTGGCCCCGGGGTCATGACCTTGCGGGCCGGAACCCCAGGGACTAGCAGCTTGGTGCAGTTTCCTGGGAGGGGGAGCGTCCTGCGGCACAGCTGTTGAAGAAGACCTTTTCTGGGGGGGGAGGGGGATTGAGGCCTTCCTTGGGTCCCCGGATGTTGGTGGACTACAACTCCCATCACCCCTAGCGAGCACGACCAGTAGTCAGGGATGGTGGGAATTGCAGTCTCACAACACCTGGGGACCCGAGGTTGAGAGAGAGGCAGGTGTTAAGTCCAGCTGGGGTTAAAGTGTCTTTGGCTGCTAGGAGGACAAAGCCAAAAGCCTTTGGGGCAGCTTGGAGAGATCTCAGTGAATATACTCACATCAGCTTAACATCAATCTTTAAATGGCTGTCACTGAAACTACTCCCCCGTGGTATAGCTCCGCTGATCCTTTGCAACCAGTTCCAGTCAGGCTGACAGACAGCAGTCCTGAACACTCTTCAGAAACTGGGTTTTGCCCCCCAAGCCCTTCTAAGTCTGGGCTTAAGGTGCCCCGACTACAAAATTGTAGTAATCAAGAGACATATAGCTGCACCGGCAGCGTATCTCTTTTTTCTTGTATCCAGAAATGCAAGAAGGGCTTTTACACTTGCCAGAAGCTCAGCTCTGCCCTCGCCGGTCTTGGAAGGATCCTTTTAAAAAGTCTAGTTTGTTGTTGTTGTTTAGTCGTTTAGTCGTGTCCGTCTCTTCGTGGCCCCCTGGACCAGAGCACGCCAGGCACTCCTGTCTTCCGCTGCCTCCCGCAGTTTGGTCAAACTCATGCTGGTAGCTTCGAGAACACTGTCCCACCATCTTATCCTCCATCGTCCCCTTCTCCTTGTGCCCTCCATCTTTCCCAACATCAGGGTCTTTTCCAGGGAGTCTTCTCTTCTCATGAGGTGGCCAAAGTATTGGAGTCTCAGCTTCAGGATCTGTCCTTCCAGTGAGCACTCAGGGCTGATTTCCTTCAGAATGGAGAGGTTTGATCTTCTTGCAGTCCATGGGACTCTCAAGAGTCTCCTCCAGCACCAGAATTCAAAAGCATCCATTCTTCGGCGATCAGCCTTCTTTATGGTCCAGCTCTCACTTCCATACATAACTACTGGGAAAACCATAGCTTTCACTATGCGGACCTTTGTTGGCAAGGTGATGTCTCTGCTTTTTAAGATGCTGTCTAGGTTTGTCATTGCTTTTCTCCCAAGAAGCAGGCGTCTTTTAATTTCGTGACTGCTGTCACCATCTGCAGTGATCATGGAGCCCAAGAAAGTAAAATCTTTCACTGCCTCCATTTCTTCCCCTTCTATTGCCAGGAGGTGATGGGACCAGTAGCCATGATCTTCGTTTTTTTGATGTTGAGCTTCAGACCATATTTTGCGCTCTCCTCTTTCACCCTCATTAAAAGGTTATTTAATTCCTCCTCACTTTCTGCCATCAAGGTTGTGCCATCTGCATATCTGAGGTTGTTGATATTTCTTCCGACAATCTTAATTCCTGCTTGGGATACATCTAGCCCAGCCTTTCACATGATGAATTCTGCATATGTTAAATAAGCAGGGAGACAGTATACAGCCTATGCCCAGAGAATTTGCACCTGCCCATTGTGGGATATAGGAAGCTCCGAACACATATTTTTTAGATGTCCCTTTTAGGATGTGGTAGAAACCATTGACCCCCTGCTGGTGAGGCTTGCTGACCTCCCAGTAAAGCAAAAATTTGATCTTCCTCTCTTAGTTAAAGATCACAAGACGACCCGGATGGTCGCCAGATCCTGTGCACAGATCTGTAGGCGCAGACCATCCCCCGATTCAAACTAGTTTGTTAAGAACATTCCCAAACTCTGATCCACGGGCGACTCTGGATCATTTCTCTATGGTAGTCTGTCTTAAAATTTTTATGTGTTTATATGCCTACCACATTTTTAAACTTAACATCCATTGTTGTGTATTGTTTTAAATGTTTGTTTTGCTTTTGGGATTGTAGTTCCATTTGTGTTTCACGAGCTTGTATCCGACCGTAATAATAAATTCTATTCTATTCTACTAACAGTCTGAACAATTGATGTATTTAATAAAAATTTGCCATATGATATAAAGGCGGGGGGTAATTCAAACAGGCCAGAGTTTCCTTAGCAGATGTATGTGAAACATGTGAAAATGGCATGGATTATGTAGCACTATATTGATGGAGGGGTTTTGTGCAACCCCTTCTTTCCTCCTTTTTATCTCATTTTATATGTTTGTATTCCTTCTATGAAGCGCAAGACGCGCTAGTTTCAAAGCAGTTTACAAATGTACAACTGTGCTATAAAATATACAAAAGTTAAAATGCTGGGGGGAGGAATTAAAAGTGCTTCAACTTCGTAAGCACCTGGGTAGGTTTTATCTATATGTACATTATTTACATCTGCTGTCTATCAAAATATGATTCACCCTTTCTGCCCTATTGTGTTTTATTGCTTTCTAAACTCTGTCCAGAATTAATAGATTATTAATATATGTGCATGTGTGTAGATAGAAGAAACAGTTAAAAAATTATAAAAATATGCATATTAAATGCACACAGTGGCATGCTTGTTTCTCCCATGTTCCCCAGTTTATTCTCAACAACCCTGTGAAGTAGGTTAGAATGAGAGACTGTGGTTGCCCAAAGTTGCCCCACACAATCCAAAATAATTTTTTAACTTCAAACTATGAATACATCCGGCTCCCTAAAACTTGCACAAGAGAGAAAATGGTTTTGTAACTGAATTTTGATTCCCTGTAAATTTAAAGTGGTTCCCCCACAAAAAAAAAAAACTGAATCAGATGGCATTGATAACAAATCTGAGAAATTCGTTCTCCACAAGTTCCTGTATATCATCTTCCTAGCAAGTGCCATTGTCAGGATTCTGATTCTCAAAACTTGCCTTCCAGATCCACAGAACGTCCATCCCATTCGCGTTGCTCAGAGTTAAATCTCCTTTTGCCCCTCACCCGCGACCTCAAAACGGCTGCCACGTTCTCCTGTTGAGGCCCACAAACAGATGTCAAAGCACAGCAGCAGCTGCTGGCACACAGGTAAGAGCAGCGTGGTTGCGAAATTTGAAAGTTGACGGTGGAGGGTTGCAAATGAAGGTAGCGAAGAGAACCTAGCAGTTGGGGGCTGAGAGCGTTCAGATTAATCAGTGCTAACTTACTTTCCTGCCTCTTCCTTCTTCAGGTTCTTCAGCCTGTATCCTCCCCGCCACTAGAGGGCGCTCTCTCTGCGGGGGACCTTGCCCAGGCTGTTCAAGAGCAGAGTTTTGCAGAGCTGGGCTTGGGGTCCCACACCCCGGTGGGTCTGATCCAGAGCTTCTTGGAGTCCCTCCATGTGGATATAGGGCTGCCATGGTGGGGAGCCATCGTGGCAGGTGAAAGGGTCTGCTGTGTTTGAGAAGTGGGTGGAGATTTAGATGTACCTTTGGGCTGGCAGAGAGCGTCATCAGAGTGGGCACTTTGGCTCCGTGGCTTGGGGAACGCTGCTGCTGGGAGGGGCCAGAGCTTGGCAATAGAGTCTGAGCTTAGCACTTGGCGGGTTACATGCTCTTGCCAAAAATTGTGCACAGCCCAGAGAGAGACATGAGGCGATATACACACACCCCAAACACAAATTTTGTACCTCAAGCTCAGTTCCCTAGCCTAGAGCATCTCTTGTTAAAACGACGAGGTCACTGGTGCTGATGAGAGAGAAGCATCTCTGCCAAAGATGCTGGGGAGCTGCTTCAGCCAGAGCAAGCATTACAGTGGGACCTTGGTTCCCAAACTTAATCCATTCCGGGAGTCCGTTCAACTCCCAAAAGAGTTCTGGAACCAAGGCGCAGCTTCCAGTTGGCTGCAGGAGCTTCCTGCAGCCAATCAGAAGCCACGCTGGATGTTCAGCTTCCAAAGAACATTAAAAAACCAGAACAATCACTTCCAATTTTTAATCGTTCGGGAGTCAGAACGTTCTGGTTCCCAAGGCGTTCAGGAGCTGAGGTTCCACTGTATTGGGCTGGATAGACAAATAGCCAGATGCAGTGCTAAGCCAGCATCCTCTGCTCTTTCCCCGCTGTGACTCGGCCCCACGGAGAAGGAACACAGCAGGAAAAGTGCAACCCGTTCTCTGAGATGGAGACCGCAGCCAGACTTTGGGCACTGGGGCCAAATTCAGCTTTCCAGGCTTCTCTCTGCACCCCTCAGGACTCCTTCCCCAAAGCCCGCACACCCTCACCTGCCCTGCTCCACATTTTCTCTCAGTCTTTGGCTTGACTGGAATGTGTCCTCTACCTCGCTTGGAGAGTTGTAACGTAGAAAACCTCTGGGTTTAATAAGACAGGCTAGTAACCAAAATTTGTGGACCCCTAATGATCACCACTACAGTGGACGCTCAAGTGGCAGACGTGATCCATGCGGGATGCATGTTCACAACCCACAGCGGCATATCTGCGCACACATGGGTTGCGATTCAGCACTTCTGCACATGCGCAAAGCGCAATTTAGCGCTTCTGCGCATGCGCGACACCCAATACCCAGAAGTAACCCGTTCCAGTACTTCCGGGTTTCAGCGTGTCCGTAACCCGAAAAAACGCAACCTGAAGCGTCTGTAACCCGAGGTATGACTGCACTGCCTTCTGGGTAAATGATGCCTTCATCCTCTGCAGGAGAAGTTCACCCACCTACCCTTTTTGCACAAGCCTCCAAACAGAAGTACCCAGGTGCATTCTGGGTAAGGTAGTGATTTCTGGCATTGCGTTGTGGGTAACATCGCAGCCATTGCACTTGGGAGTAACGGGTGTCCTCCTCTCTCCCCACCAAACTCCTCAGGGACGATTGTGGCCCGTTGCTTGGTTTTCCCGCTCATCGTGAAGGGCCAGAGGGAGGCAGTGAAGCTCAACAACCACATGCCACAGATTTCAGAGCTGACCACCCGCATGAACGAGGCCAAGCGCTCGGGGAACAAATTTGAGTGTGAGTATGGGGCAAAGTGCAGGGTTCAGTGGAAAAGGGGCACAGCTGGGGTTGCAAACAAACCACATTGGAAGGGACCACGTTGAATGAATCAAGGAGGTGGTGCTTGGGTTGCTAGGAGGAGACAAGGCTGGGGAGGCAGAGAGTGGAGCTCGCAAGGAATAGGGTTGCCCAGATTATGTCAGCAGGTGAGACCTGATCTGTAGGGGAGGGCAAGGGGCTTGTAGAAGGAGATTGTGGGCGATAATCTACTTTGCCTTCCCTGCAAATCATTCCGCTTTTCTCCCACAGTTGCCAAAGCTTATACGGACCTGAACCTCTACCAGAAAACCCACGATGTCAACCCGCTACGAGGATTTCTTGTTCCCCTGGTCCAAGTGAGTCTCTGCTCCACTGCTAGGCCGGCTTGTTTTTGTTCTATTTTTGTGAACTTACATGCCTGTAGACTTCAGGGCAAGTCACAGCAATTAATGCAAGGTACCAGATATGAAGGGACGCGGGTGGCACTGTGGGTTAAACCACAGAGCCTAGGACTTGCCGATCAGAAGGTCGGCGGTTCGAATCCCCGTGACGGTGTGAGCTCCCCTTGCTCTGTCCCTGCTCCTGCCAACCTAGCAGTTTGAAGGCACGTCAAAGTGCAAGTAGATAAATAGGTACCGCTCCGGTGGGAAGGTAAACGGCGTTTCCGTGCGCTGCTCTGGCTCGCCAGAAGCGGCTTAGTCATGCTGGCCACGTGACCCGGAAGCTGTACCCCGGCTCCCTTGGCCAGTAAAGCAAGATGAGCGTCGCAACCCCAGAGTCGTCCGCGACTGGACCTAATGGTCAGGGGTCCCTTTACCTTTACCAGATATGAAAGCCAGTTGAAAGAAGCTTCCCACCCCAAATTTCACGTCTGTGTTGTTTGTTTATTTATCACTCACTGTATTTATTTGCTGCTTTTTACACCGGGGTGCCCTGAAGCAATTCATGCGACGCAAATAGAAATTATGGGGGGCGGGGACCATGAAAGCGTCAATAAATATAAATATTTAAATTGTGTGTCTGGTATATGAATATTACTCCCAGTTCTGCCTCCTCCCCTTCTCACACTCATCCTCTCTCCCTTTCTTTCTTTCTTTCTCTCTCTTTCTCTCTCTCTCTCTCTCTCTTAGGCACCAATTTTCATCTCGTTCTTCATTGCCCTGCGCAAAATGGCGGAGCTCCCTGTGCCCAGCCTTCAAACTGGGGGTCTGTGGTGGTTCTCAGATCTCACGGCTGCCGATTCCTACTATGTCTTGCCCCTGACAGTGACCGTCACCATGTGGGCCATCTTGGAAGTAAGTCTTTGGGTCCCTCCAGAGGTCCTTTTGTTACTGCATTCATGGATACAATGGAATTTGACTAGAGGCAGCTGCCTGCTCACATGTAACATCACATTGCTGTCAGATTTGGCTCATGTGGCCAATCTGGGTTAAGAATCTGGCCTATGGAGCCGATAAGGTTCTCCACCGCCGGTGTAGAGGAAGTAAGTTAGGGAGACCCTTCGTCTCCCTCTCCATAATGCTTGAATTCATGGGCATACAACAAAGCTGAACATTCGAACCTCTAATTCTGGAAGCCTTCATAAGAGAGCTGCTCCAGAGGAAGAACTGTGAGGGGAGAGAGACTTTCTGTTCCTCATCAGGCAATGGCTTTTCCACCTGCCTTGCCCCACCCAGCCTTTCCCAGACTATGACTTTGAGAACAGCAGCAGCAGTAGCTGGGAAGAGAGGAGTTCAGGGATTTTTTTTTAAAAAAAAAAAGCTTTATAAGTTGTGCTTCTTTGTTTCTCAATTTGATCCTTTTGTGTGGTTTTGTGGTATTTTATGCGTTGTGATTTGCTGTTATTTTTATTGATTATAGATTGGTAATTCTTTATTGTGGCTGAACTGTTTAATTATTATTTGCTGATGTTTAATTTTGCTGTTTACTATTAGGTTCTGATGGGATTGTTGAATGTTGCTTTGTTTGATATAAGTGGTTTATTTTAAAGTTACAGTGGTGCCTCGCAAGACGAAATTAATCCGTTCCGCGAGTCTCTTCGTCTTGCGGTTTTTTTGTCTTGCGAAGCACAGCTATTAGCGGCTTAGCGGCTATTAACGGCTTAGTGGCTATTAACGGCTTAGCGGCTATTAACGGCTTAGCGGCTTTAAGAAAAAGGAAACAAACTCCCAAGAAATCGCAAGACGTTTCGCCTTGCGAAGCAAGCCCATAGGGAAATTCGTCTTGCGGAACGACTCAAAAAACGGAAAACTCTTTCGTCTAGCGAGTTTTTCGTCTTGCGAGGCATTCGTTTTGCGGGGCACCACTGTATTGTGGCTTTTATATTGGATCAGATTGTTACTGTTACTGTGTGATGTTTTATTATGTTTTTATGTCTTGGAAGCCGCCCACAGTGGCTTAGGCAACCCAGCCAGATGGGCAGGGTATAAATGAAGTATTATTATCATTACTACTACTACTACTACTATTGCTTTATCATAAATAAACAAAGGAGTTCCACACAATGCATAGTTAGGCATTGGAACCTGCAAGAGGCAATGATGGGGGGTTTAAGAGAGGTTTGTGGAGAACAAACCTCTCTTTGGGTCCTAGCCCCTATTCTGTGGGGGCAGAGGGTGTGGGGAAGGCAACTGAATTAGTGGATCAATGAAGAAATTTGAGATGTGTGCATATCACAGAACAAATAGGAAATAAAGAGACCAGAGGCCTCATGGGCTCTGAAACAGAACTTAGACAGGACCAGATGTGTGAATTGGTTTGGTGCCCCTAATATTATGGGTCTGTATTAGACACGGGTAGCGACGAAGACCATTTTCAGTTGTTTACAAGATAGTAACTGCAATGAGGGCCCTGCTGGCAGACCCGGCATCAGCACCCAGAGGACAAGCACAGCTGATGCCAGCCTCCCAGAAAAGTTAGCCAGCATATTATTTTTATTATCCCTTAGCTTATAGTCTGCTTCTTCATGCAAGAACCTGTGGGGAAACGGCTTGCTGATGTAAACTGTGTTATTTTTACTGTTGTTAGCCGCTCTGAGCCTGGCTTCAGCTGGGGAGGGCAGTATATAAATAAAAATTATTATTATTATTATTACTGATGCTAGCGTGAGAAGAGAATAGATCAGGTCTGTCCCTAAAGCTCTGAAATTGTCCCACCCAAAGGAGATCGTAAGGAGAAAGCTGAACGTTCGGAATTTGCTTTATCCCAAAATAAATTGGGGGGTGGGGCCTAGATATTCAGGCTGCAGTCAACCTCCTAAAGCCAGTTGTTGGAGGGATGGGATCCACTGCCAAGGGTGCGAGGCTGTGGCTACCTCTGGATCCTGTCCATCGCTAGAAATTTTCCCCACCTCCACAATTTCAAAATTCCTGCTTGGCAGAAAGCCTCATGTAGGAAAGGACAACGCAGTGAAAAATGGGGGAAATGGCAGGAGTGTTAACAGTGTCCACCTTCTCTGCAGCTAGGAGCAGAATCCGGAGTGTCGAACCCGAACCTCCACCTTATGAAAACCGTTTTCCGGGTGATGCCACTCGCTATCCTGCCTCTCACGATCTCCTTCCCGACGGTGAGGTGCCGCCGCACACAGATTGCGATTGCTTTTTACGTATTTCCTACGAAACATATCGAGGCCAGTTCTGACTTGCCCTGAACAAACCCATGTTCCTTTGTCTCAGCCTTGGCTCCCGTTCGATTCAGAAACCTGCAATTTAGCCTACGCAGTCCAAAAGAAACATAAAAGTGTAAATAAAGCTTCCATTTCGCGGGCTCAGCTGGATCTGTTCCTCTGCGGCCGCTGCAGGGAGTATTCTGCCCTCCAGTTGTTGCCAAACTACAACTCCCATCATTCTTTGCCACCGGCTATGTTTGTTTGGGCAGAGGGGAGCTGTGGGCAAGTACAAAGTGGGCTTTCCTGAACTTTTATCACCGGGGGCGGGGACCCAAAACGCCTTTTCCTGTGGGGCTGCTGTTCCCACTTCCTCCCCGCTGACCCCCAATTCTCCAGCCCCTCTCATGCCACAGGGCAGCTGTCCTGTTGCAACAGGGTGGGCCAAGGAAAGGGGTTTTTGATTCTCTCTCTTTCGCTCCCTGCAGGCCGTTTTCACCTACTGGCTGACATCCAACCTCTTCTCGCTGGTGCAAGTGGCCTTTCTGCGGCTGCCCGCAGTTCGCGCCCGGCTTGGCATCCCCGAGCGGGTGCAACACGACCCCAGCGTCCTGCCTGCTCAGGGAGGCTTCATAAAGAACTTCAAGAAAGGTGATTAAGGCAGCACGTTGTTTGAGATGCAGTAAGCATAGTGTTGTTTTTTAAAATGCACGTTTTTACAATGTCCTACAGTTATTAGGTTTTGGGAGAAAGGAACAGATTACATCAATATGACTGTGCTGGAAAAACTAAAATTTTCAGAGGAAAATGTTTTTTTGAACTACATATGGAGTTTGATAACTGGGAAACATAAATGGTCGTTGCCCCGTAGTAGGTTAAAAATAAACATATATGGATTTGGATGGTAATCATACCTATACAGTCGTACCTTGCTTTTCAAACAACTTAGTTCTTGAACATTTTGGCTCCCTAACGCCGCAAACCCAGAAGTGACTGTTTCGGTTTGCTAACTACTTTTGGACGGGGCTTCCGCAGCTTCCGATTGGCTGCAGGAGCTTCCTGCAGCCAATCAGAAGCCGCGCTTTGGCTTCTGAACGTTTTGGAAGTCGAACGCACTTCTGGAACGGATTCCATTTGACTTCCAAGGCACGACTGTATACTAGATAAATATACAGATAACTGTAATTGTTAGCTCTTATAATGATGTAGTATACCCTTTTTCCACTTTTTATTTTTACTTAAAAACAGAAAACGAAAAAGAAAGCTGACTTGGGAGGAGCAGGGTGGCCAAAGGCTGCTGCGGTGCGAGGGAGGGGATAAGGGCTTCTCAAAGGCCTCCAGCTCCTACGGGGTTAACTCACTTGCGTCTCCACATGCCCCCCCTTTTCCAGGCTGGAAAAATGCACAGATGGCTCAGCAGCTGGAAGAGAGGGAGCGGCGCATCAAAAACCACCTGAATTTGGCAGCTAAAGGTAATCCTTCACCCCCTCACTTGCCGCCATCCACAGCCGCTAGGCCTGTGTGCGATCCTTTTCCTGCAGGGAGGAGGGGATCCTGGGATGGGTTGTTCCTTCCACTTGCTCTGCAATGTGCAAATCAGAGGCCACCACCTTTCCCAGTTCTCTGCTGTCATCTCGTCGCTTGAGAAGAGGCAGTTATCTCAGGGCAACCCTCCTGGCCCTTTCTGCAGGTCCTCGACTGTTTCGATACGTCTCCTATTCATAAGTTAGCGGTTCTTCGCCTTCATCTCATTGACGTTTATTTCACTCGGGCCTCTGCAGTTGTGTTAGCAACTGTGGGAAGGTCAGCCTCCCACATGAGTAAGTGACATATAATTTGAATATTGACCTGCCAAGTGGAGCAAGGGGAAGGGACAGCCCGTTCCAGGATCACCGCCGCCCCCCGCCCCCTTCCCTGCAGAAAATGGGCTTTCATGACAGGTCCAGGGTAACATTCTGTGTGCTGCTAGCATGGGCGTCCGCAGGAATAGTTCCTGGGGTGAGGGGCACGTTCTCCCAGTGGGAAAATGAAAACACTGAAAGGGGGTGTGGAATGAGTAGGCTGATCTATAACTAAAAAAAATGAGGAAAGTGCCTGTACATTTTGTCTGAGGTGGTATTAATTCTAGAAGCTCACTTGGAAAGGAAAGGAAAATAGGAAAGGAATCTGGTGTGCTAAGAACCTCCATTTTGCCATCAGAATACATTTTGCAAATTACATGTGGGCTTTTTGATCCTACATAATGTAATTCTGGCCCCCACATCTTAAAAACATGGTACTGTAGGGCGGGGGAGGAGCATACAGAAAGGGCAGCCGAAATCATTTGGGGGAGTGGGACTAGCTGCTTCATCTGAACCCCCTTCCCTCTTAGAAAAGCCTGCGGTATTTGTGGCTTTTCAGCTGAGCAAAATGGCAACTTAAGATATGAGCAAGGAGGCGTGATCGAGGTTTGCGGAATTATGGGTTGGGGAGAGCAAGTTTCTCTCTCACACAATAATAGAAACTCAGGATAGACCAGTGAAACTGACTTTGTGGTAGCTTCAAGACAAGCAGAAGAACTCGTAGCGCATGATTAACTTATGGAACTCACTGCCACAAGATGCGTTGTGGGCTAGTAGCTAAGACAGGAGCTGGGGCATCTGTGCCCCACCAGGTCAGAGTGGGCTCCCAGCTCCCCTTATTCCATGCTGTCAGTCATTCTGGCTTGGGATGGTAGGACAAGTTGCCCACCGCTTTGGTCCATCCTTCGGGTTCAGACTCAGGATGCTACTGTATCCTGTTAGGGAACGTGAGCAGGGAGGGGCATCACCTTCAGACCCTATTTGTGGGACTCCCAGATGTGTGAGTGGGCTGGGTAGACAGATGTTCTGATTATTCAGCCCGGCTCTGCTTGTGTTTATTCTGTTCTCGACGCAGTTCCCGGTTGGGGGCTGACAAGTCTCCTTGCCCGCTTTGCGGAAACAAACTAACGAAGCGTGGGCTTCTCTTCCACTCAGGGCCGCTGCGCCAGACCTTTTCCCACAACCCTTTGGAGCAGCACCAGCCTGGTCCTGCGAAGCCGGCGCCACAAAAGAGACCCTGGGAGGACACGTTAGGCTGAGCGGCGAACGCCACCAAACCAAAAGACTTTGCACAGGGAAAAGAGCCTCCTTCCCCTTCCCGCCTCCCCACTCCTCTGTTTTCTGAGACTAGGTAATAAAAGGATGTGGAATTTCCTCCTCCCAGGTTTGGTGCTTCCCAGATTTTTCTCCCCAACTCAAGCTCACTTTTTCTCCCGCAAAGTTTACACACGGGAATGTAGACAAACAGAACCAGCAGGAGTTATAAGCCTCTGAATTTGGGGTGGAGGAACCCTCCAGATGATGTTAAACTCCTCCCGGGTTAAAGGTCAGGAATGATGGGAGTTGTAGTTTCAAAACATCAGGTGGGACATGGGTTCCCTATCCTTTTTCTAGATACTGGAAGTGTGGGCTGCGAGAACAGAGCCCAACACAGGAGGGGGCTGTTGCCTTATATGCCTCATTTCTGGCTCCCTGGCAACATCCAAGCAACCCTCAATGAGATGCAGGATTAGTACGACAGACTCCTTGGTCTGATCCAGCTAGGGGTCTTGTCTTGTAGTCCTGGCATGCCAGATCCCTGCCCTCACTTTCAGAGGGATTAAAGCAAACCTTCAGTATTTCAAAACCAACTTAGGCCATGAGCCTGGGGCAATAATATAAAGAGCCCTGCATTGAGTGAAAGATTCCTGCGTGGCAGGGGGTTGGACTAGATCAGGCATAGGCAATCTCGGCCCACCAAATGTTTTGGGACTACAATACCCATCATCCCTGACCAGGACTAGTGTCCTGTTGTCTTGGATCATGGGAGTTGTAGTCCCAAAACATCTGGCTGGCCGAGATTGCCTATGCCTGGACTGGATGACCGTCGTGGTCCCTTCCAACTCTATGATTTTTGAGGTTCAGAAAAGAGCAACCGAAATCATCAAGGAGAAGGAGCACTTGGTTTACAGAAAAGGTGAGAGGTGACCGAGAGAAGGTTTTCTCCCTCTCTCATATAACACTAGACTCTTGTGGAAACCCAGTGGAGCGGAATGTCAGAAGGTTCAGGGACAGATAAAGTTCTCCTTCACACAGCGGATAGTCAAACTATGGAACTCACTGCCACAGGAGGCGGTGATGGCTTTTAAAAGCGTATTAGGCGAGGATAAGGCTATCTGTGGCTGCTTGCTGCCTCCACAGTTGGGGGCAGCGCTGCTTCTGAATGCCTGTTGCTGGAAAGAGGAGCAGAGAGCGCTCTTGCCCTCAGGTCCCAAAGCCACCTGGTTGGATGCTGCATTTGATAGGCCATGGGCCTGATCCACCAGGCTCGTCTTCTGTACATTCCGCATATACTTACATTCCAGTGGACTCTAGGAGGAATAGGTTTGGCAGGCTGTGGAAAAGGGATCACGGAGAAGGAAACGAAAGCAAGGAGGGGAGGGACTCAAGAAAGGAGGCGGCGAAACCTAAGCGTGGAGAGGAAGGGGCAGAGCTCGGGGCTAGGGCATGCGGGAGGTCGCAAGTTCAATCCCCAGGGAGAGAATTCTGCCAAGCCACTGCTGGTCAGTAGAGGCAGGCCTAAGCTGGGTGAGCCAGTGGCTTGACTGTTTAAGGTGTGTCTTAATATTGCCATGAGGCTCATTTGACAGCAGGCCCAAGAATTTGGAGGTTGCAGGCGTGAAGATAAGAATAAACGTCCACAGGCAAACCTGTGGCACTCTGAGGGTTTATTGGGACTTAGCTGCTGAGGGCGAAAGGACACAGAGACACTCCCGCGTTTCACAGACAAGAACAAAAATAGGCGAGCGAGTCTCTCAGTTCCTGCAACAGCCGTCCCGGCAAAGTCCCCAAAGGCTTCCTCGCGAATGGGTCTGGCCAAGTAGCAAACAATAAATTAGAGGTCACCAAAGAGTCTGTTACAGAAGGAGCAGGCGAGGGGGAGAAGCCGGCCTCCCCACTGCCCCTGGGCATCACTGATCCTTCGCTTCTGTGTCGGGATCCATCTCTGTCAGGACACACAAGGATACGAGCTGGATGAGCCGCGTCATGGAGGCTGCGGAGGGAGGAAAGGGACACGTCAGGTCAAGGCCAGAGAGAGCCAGGGAGCATTTGTGGGGTGGCTATGCTTTCTCCACGATCTGAGGCATAAATGCTTCAAAATACCAGTTGCTGGAAAACACAGGAGGGGGAAAAGGGGCTCTTGCGCTCAGATCCTGCTTGCAGGCTTCTCATTTGGGCATCTGGTTGGCCCCATCCTGAGAACAGGGATGCTGGACTATAGGGGCCGTTGGCCTGATCCTGCAGGCTCTACGTCTGTGAGTGATGCAACAGTTTCTCCAGTTTGCAAATGGGCCCTAGAAAGGTTGGCAACCCCTGCAGTCCAAGCCTCAAGCAGCAGGTGGTTTTGAGGGCTATTGTTGGAATAATAATAATAATAAAATCCCCTTCCAACTCCGCCTATGCATTACAGTCTAATTATGCAACGTGAATCCTGCATTTTTAATACAGTCGTACCTTGGTTGTCAAATGCCTTGGTACTTGGATGTTTTGGCTTCCAAAAGCCATAAACCCAGAAGTGAGTGTTCCGGTTTGCAAACGTTTTTTGGAAGCCCCTGCGGCCAATCGGAAGCCGAGTCTTTGTTTTCGAACCATTCCAGGAATCAAACGGACTCCCAGAACGGATTAAGTTCGACAACCAAGGTACCACTGTAAATATTTCAGGGAGAACCAGCCCAGTTTAAGATGACTGTCGTGTCCCCTCTTACTCATCTCCAGAACTAAATGCACCAGACTCCCTTCGACATTTCCTCATAGGGACTTTGGCGGGTTTGGGTATGTTTAGCCTAGAGAAGACAGCTGATTTAAGAGACGACGCGGTAGCTCTCTTCAAACACTTGAAAGGGCTGTTGGAGAGACGGAGCACATTTGTTTGCTTTAATTGACATTGTGGGGGAAAGTACAATCATACCTCGAGTTGAATACACTTCAGGTTGAGTGCTTTGGGGTTGCGCTCCGCGGCGACCCAGAAGTAATGGAGTGCATTACTTTCAGGTTCTGCCACTCACGCATGTGCAGTCGGTCAAAATGTCGTCATGCGCAGAAGCGGCGAATCGTGACCCACACATGTGCAGACATGCAGTTGCGGGTTGCGTTCGCTTCAGGATGCGAACGGGGCTCCGGAACAGATCCCGTTCGCATCCTGAGGTACCACTGTACAAAGCTCCCTCCGATACCGGGACCCAACGCTAATTTCTGTTCTGCAGTTTAAGCGTAGTTGTTCTAGCAGTGGGGCAGGGAGAGCTAAGAAGCCATCGGTGAAATGGAGGAGGGTGTTTCCCCCTCTGACTCACCCACGGCCCGGCGCAAGAAGTGCGGCCTCTTCTGCTCAGGCACCCTCACCACCAGGTAGTAGACGGGCAGTCCGGAAGCTGCTATGGCAATGCCAATGGCGGAGTTTATGGGGTCGCTGTAGAGGGGGACGGCTACCAGGAAGACAGTGCAGAGGCAGAAGATGATGGGGAAGACGATGCTGAGCTGGTGGGGAAAGAAAAAGGGGCATCAAGCAGGCACTTGGCATCTCAAACTACCTCCCCGCCTTCACCTCAGGCTCTCCTCCAAAGAACTGAGAGGGAACAAGCTGAGTTCAACGGGTACAGCAGTCTCTTTCCAATAAGCAGCCAGCTGGGTGAGATCATAAGGAAGGCATGAAGGGGGCGGCCATGAACTTACTTCACCTCCAGCCGACTAGTCCTGGGGGTATACTGCACCTGAACATGGAAGCTCTGCTTAGCTACCAGCCCAGCAACCACACTGGGAATGCAACAATCCCCTTTCTGGAGCCATCTCAAGCTAATGGTCGTTGCCACGCACGCTTTCAAGTGGCTGGGGCAACCCAGTCAGATGGGCAGGGTACAAATAATAAAATTATTACTACTATTATACAGAGTGAGAGAAATGACTTTTCATCAACTTTTCTCAGTCTTTTTCCTGGAGTCTGGGGCCATTGATTTCCAGCACGGAGCTCACTACTCTGCCTATTAAGGCCATTCTGGCCCATCCCCTCCTGGCAGGAATCTCGGCCACGGCGACTACCTGCCCACAGCCATGACGCGTTGCAAAGGATGCGGGGGCACGGGCAGAACGCATATGCTCTGTGAGGCAGCTCAGTTTTAGGAAGGCAGCCCAAAGAACTGCTGGCTGATTTCTTGCGGACCGCTTCCTGCTGACTGGGACCATTGCAAAGGATACTGGACGAGGTGGACTTTGGTCTAATGCAGCAGAACGCTTTGCACCGTTCACAGGAAAGGGTGTGTGATCAGCACTGCAGAACGCCTAAATGAGCATTCGAGGACCAGCATGCATCGTTCCTTGTGAATTTAAGCGCAAAACAGCCGACTAAGGGATCCTTTTTTTCTTTTTAAAGACGAGTTTTGAGGGTTTTCCCTGCCCTACCTTGAGGGGACGTTCCCTCGACGGCTCCTTCCAGCGCAGGTAGAGCTGCCCCGCAATCGACAGGCCCACAAAGAACCAGTAGCTAAAGCTGTAGTAATTGATGAGCTTGAAGATGTCCTCTACGCAGAGGTAGACCAGGGCCATGGCTCCCTGTGACGATTAGGGGGGGGAATAGATGGTAAGTGGGATCAGCTCTGCTAAGAAGTCGGTGTGTGGTGTCCAAACTTTTTTCAAAGAGGGCCAAATTTGATGAAGTGAAGAGCCATGGGGGCCGACCAAAGTTGTTGGCCTTTTCTTAGGATTGAAGTTGTTGAGGTTTTTTTTAGGATTTTACCCCAAGAAATAAACTGCCACAGGGGCTGGATTTAACCAACTGGTGGGCCGGATTAAGCCCCCGGAATAGACTTTGGACATGCCTGGTTAGAGCATCAGACCAGGACGTGGGAGACCAGGCTTCAAATCCTCACTCGAAGAACATGAAGCTCCTTGGGTCACCTTGGGCTGGTCCCTGCCTCTCTCAGCCTAGCCTACCTCTCAGGGCTGTTGTGGGGATTGAACGAGGAGGGGAAGAACCATGTTGAGCTCCTTGGAGGAAAAGGTGAGGCACATAAATGCAATGAACAACACAGCGTCCACCGTCTGTGACACATAGCCGCATCTCTCCCTGAAGACTGTGACTCCGTGAACTCGGCCCTTCCAAAAAGGGCCACCCACATTCTCCCCACAAGATCTCCCAGGAGTGCAGGTTTGTGCTATTCTGGGTGCTGACTCATGGCGCTTGATCCCCCGTCTTCCTTCCTGGAGCTGAGGGCAGCTGTCTTGGTGGTTTCTAGGACAGCCTCGCATCCAAGACCCAGCCCTGTTCGCCTCACAGATGGAGCGATATCTAGGCTGCTGTGGTCTGTGTAGAAAGGCCGTTCCGCAGGAACTCAGAGCAGGGCTTTTGGTGCGGCTGCCCCTATTCCGTGGAAGAGCATTCCTGTCGAGATAAGACAGGTGCCCACAGCCTGCAGTTTCGGGAAATTTCTTCACTTAAGCTTTCCCAGCAGTTAGAATAGATCACTGCCATGGGACGTCTGGTTTATATTGTTTTACATTTGCCTGGTGTTCCTTTCGGTTCTTTTAACCATTTTTATTGTATCTTGCACATCGCCTTGGAAGAGAGTTATTACAGTGGAACCTCGGTTTTTGAACGTAATCCATTCCGGATGTCAGTCTGACTTTCAAAACGTTCAAAAACCAAGGATCAAAGGGCTGGCTGCAAAGTCAATAGAAAAAAATGAAAAATGCACCTCGGAAGCCTTTTGACTTCCGAGGCGTGTTCGAAAACAGAAGCATTCAGGGTTTTCAGTGTTCGGCCCTCAAAAGGTTGCCCAGAAGGCAATGCGGCCCTCAGGATGAAAAATGTTCCTTCCCTACCCCTGCTGCAGATACTGTGGGATGGGATTCTGAATAAATAGGCATACGGTGTGTGTCTCTCTCTGTGTGTCTGTGTGTTCATTCACAGAGGGTTTTTAATTGAAATGCAGCAGTCCAATAAATGAGCTTGCATTCCAAAATATTTGATCAGTAACAAATTCAGTTTTCCCCATCCCATCTAAGCCGATTAAGAGATCAGGGCGGCAGTCTTTAGCCAGTGAACCTGGGGAGGTCTGTCGTCTCTGCTGCACAAGGCTGCCAGGAGCTACAAAGAGTCCTTTTTGGCTTTTGCTTTTTGTTTTGTTGAAAGACTGGCTTCCCTTCCTCCCCTGCCATGCAGACGAGGGTGTTCTCCCCGGCTACCCAGGACTTACGTTAAAAAGCAGTGCTGGCACAGGCGTGAACCGCTCGACGTGGATCATGCAGATGGCATCAGGCAAGTGCCCCTCACGGGAACCAACGAAAAACAACCTGGCAAGAGCGAGGGAGCGTAAGGAAGCTGCTGGCTGAGGCAGAGCAGAATTGTCCTAGCTGGTGACCAAGACCCACAGAGGGGCAGGGCAAGGGGTCAGGCTGCCCCCCCCCAAGGGGGGGACTGGCACAGTTCCCAGAATCCACTGTGCCAATTCAAAAGAACAAGAGAACGGACGCTCCATTCAGACAAGGGAACCGGCCTTTCCCAAAGCACTTCCACAGCCCAGACTCCTGCAATCCCTCTTCCTCTGCTTAACTTTGCTGGTGGGGTTTTCTCTGAGAAACAGATATATATTTGGCACTCAGAGAGGTCTGCCAAACCCGCAAGGTGGCACAATGCCTCCGGTGAAGTAAAATTAGGGCAGATTCAGATCCATTTTGCCACCAACATTGGGCAGAGAACACAGCCGTCATATGGCTAGTATCCACACTGACAGCCTTACCCCTCGTTTCCTGGGATCCCAGGTGAGTTTCTGAGGGTCAATCCAGGCATTTATTTTTTTCTCACATGTAAGAAGCTTTACCACATGGGGGAAGACTTCCGTGCAAAACAGAATCTTGGCACAAAAGTGGAAAGTTACCTAATTTCTAAACGGCCTCTCTGGTATGCTGACCTTTCCCCCCTCCCAAATGTGGTTCACGGTTCCTCTGGTGAAAATGAGTAGGTGTTAATCCATTCATGGAAGAGCTCCAAAATTACATTTTGAATGACTCCCAGGGCTGGGAGTGGATTGGCGTGGGCTAATCTGAACGTTTTCCATGGTTTATTTCTGAAGATCATGGGCACAAGTAAAAGTTGGCATAATGTGAAATAGAAGGAGATCTCCGTTATGAACTTTCTTGACCCCGGTACAACTCCTTATCATGCACATGTCATGTAAGGCTTCCTGACCTTCTTAATACTTTAGGTAAAGACTATCACAGTAATCTGGTGTTACCAGCAAAATTTAATTTACACCTCCTGTAAAAAGAATGGGGTCCGCGTAGACAATAGTAAGATAAACTCGGAACTCAGGAAACAAACAAGATAACCAGTTTTGTAATTTCTAACTAGGATTATGTTCTTTCAAATCCCAATTATGCAGAGTAAACAAAATAGGGAAATAGGCAGGAAACTGTAGGAAGAGACAACAGAATAGGAATGTAGGTAATCTAACAAATCACTCATCCCAAAGACCCTGTCCCCTCAATGTTGAGAATGCATTGGCTCAAAACAGCACTTACACCCTAAGATTTTCAATGGTTAGTGAGATATTAAAAGCACCAACATCGGCCCCTTTTGACTCTACATGGTCAAGGACCAGCCTGACACTAGGAGTCACGATAGGACAGGAATACATTTTCCCTCACCTTTCTTGTTTTGTTTTGTATTGTAGGTTCTGTGGCAAAATTGTCACGCTCATGTTCTTTAGGCTTTGGGGAATAGTTAGGGATTCTTTTACTCTACAAGTTGCTGCCCACTTATATTGTAACTCTGCTGCCTGAAGCAACATTTACACGCTCTGTCTCTTGTTTCATGTAATAAACCATGGGTAGGCAAACTAAGGCCCGGGGGCCGAATCCGGCCCAATCGCCATCTAAATCCGTCCTGCGGACGGTCCGGGAATCAGCGTGTTTTTACATGAGCGGAATGTGTCCTCTTATTTAAAATGCATCTCTGGGTTATTTGTGGGGCCTGCCTGGTGTTTTTACATGAGTAGAATGTGCGCTTTTATTTAAAATGCATCTCTGGGTTTTGTGGGGCATGGGAATTCATTCATTATTAAATTTTTTTTCAAAATATAGCCCCCCACAAGGTCTGAGCCACAGTGGACTGGCTCCCTGCTGAAAAAGTTTGCTGACCCCTGTAATAAACCAACCTTTCTTTACTGTTCTTGCACGAGAACCTCTCGTGGGCAAACACATATTCGTAGCAAACACACATGCGAACTCTAGAGGAAGACCTATCAGAAGTGTGTGTAGGAATGCACACAAGTGCCGGGCAAGTATGTGGGTTCAGACACACATCTTTATAACAGGAGATGCATGCAGGTTACCTGGAAGCAGCTAAAATGGAAGCGTTCAGGCCCCCAAAGCAGGACAGGGCGACAGCGAGAGGGATCGTCCAGTTCATAACTCCAAACACTTGATCGGCAAAGGTCTGGAAGGAAGAGAATATGAGAAGAAAATGAGCTGGTGAATGCCTTGTGGGGGGTTTCTAGTATAAACTTCATTCCCAACTCAACAAGAGACTACTTGCGCCTGTACTCCAAGAGGCTGAGGCGGGAAGAATGCAACTCATTGCGAATCATTGCAACAAAATTGTTCATGAATTGCCCCTCTGTTACTTCACACTGTACTAATGTCCCTTTGAAGTTGTTCTTTTGAGTAAATGATCAACGCTAATGGCCCTCCGTGGACCAGCCAACTGGATTCCAAAGTGACTTGTCGTTTGGGGGTGGGAGGAAGAGGGAACGGGATCTACTCACCACAGCCACAGCGTCGCTTGTTAATATCTCCGTCTTGCTCAGCACTGTGTAATACGCCACATTGGTCATGATGTAGATCACTGTGACGATGGGCATTGAGATGCCTATGGAAAGGGGAAGGTTCCTGAGGAATGGCAGTGAGGAAAAACAGTGTTAACTCCCTTCCACCGCCCACTTCGTACTTCCCTTTGCACTACTCCTGCAACCCAGTCATGCCCAGGGCTAGCAGAATACACATTACCACCCAGAGGCCCTAGAAAGCTGCTTTGCAAAGCCCAGTTCCCAGAATCCCCTGCTCCCCAAGACCCAGTTCCCAGAATCCCCTACTCCCCAAGGCTCAGCTCCCAGAATCCCCTGCTCCCTAAGTAGCCTAAGAAACTCTGTGTCACCCTTGGCTTCCTTTATTTTCATTTGCCTCCTGTACTAAAGAATATTGAGAAAATTATTACCAGGCGGTGGAGCAGGGTGTTAAATGAAAAAATGCTCCAGCTAAGCAGAAAATACAGTGCTTGACTCTGCAGACTCGCTTTGCTGTGATGAAAATTGCAAGACTGCCACCTCCTCCCTCTTAAGCCAAGCTATTATTTGATTCAATCAAATCAACATTTCTGCAGAGATCCCTTTAAACAATTCTTTAGCTGAAAGTGGATTTTTAGATTACAGCTTGCTCTGCAAAACCCAATACATTTTATGCTAGGCTTCACACAGCGTCTCCCTTCACCGCCAAGCCCACGGCAGGACCCAGGAAGCAAGCTGAATCTCTCTCAGCAGTCCCCAGACTGTGATGTATTGCCCAGCTGTGGCCACTAGATGGCAGAACTCCTCCACAAGAGCCCATCCCAAACAAAGCCCATTAAAATGAGGAAAGGAAATTCAGCTACTTATAGAATGGAAGGGAACACCGGGGTTCGGCCACCACAACTCCATCACACACACACCCATATTTTCTTTTCTCATTTCTTGAGACTGTATGATGTGCTTTCAAGTATGCAAGAGGGAGCGCTCTTGCTCAGCTGTTTTAAAAACAACTCTCCAGGCAAAGTATGGAGAAGCCCCTTATCCATTTCTCTGCAGCAGAAAGCCCAACATTTCTCTGCAGCAGAAAGCAGGGAGGGAGGGAGGGTGGTACTTAAGGCTAGTCAGTTTCAATTCCTTTGGAAGCAGAGCACATATTTTAAGGAGGGAACAATGTTGCTTGTCCCTAGGGATGTCACAGGCGCTGTCCAATAGGTCCCTGCAGCCTCATTCCACACAAAATGCCAAAACACATCGGTCTCGCTAGCTGAGGATGAAAGCCACGCTTTTCTCTGCAAATACTGACCTTTCGGGGTTCTTGATTTCCTCGGTGACAAAATTGAGGGTGTCCCATCCGGAGTAGGAGAAGAGGGCAGAGTACAGGGCAAGTGCGATGTCCCCCGTGTGCCAGGAGGATCCTTCGAAAGGGTCTGCAAAGTTCTGTGAATGTCCTACATGGAAAGATAACCACATCCGGGTCAATCGGTCAACTTCTAGTTGCGATGAGAAAACATCCCGCCTGAGGAAAATTGGAAGAGGTGCAAAAGTCCCATCTGTGGTGCTGACACACTGTTCCCTCACGCAAGCCATCGCTAGACGTGTACAGCTGTCAAGTGAAAATTGTTCAGGTGCAAACGGAAACCCACAAAGCCACAAGATGAGGGAAAGTGGGCTGTGAGTCTGTCTGGGTTTGGGTTTTGGGTTCAAGTCTCGCCTCAGACGTGGGTTCAGTGAGTTGCCTGGAGTGGACCACTAACTCTCAGCTTTCCCACTGCGGAACGGGCACAGAGGCCTACACCGAAAGGCTGTGAGGTCGAAAGACAGTAAAGGTCAAGAAGGCTCCAATGCTTCTATGCCTATGTGCATCAAAAGTCCACGTCTGTCCGTTCTAAACCTTAATTCGGAGGGAGGGCAAGAGGGGGGAAACCAGGGGTAGAGATGGGAGTACCTTGCCCAATGCGGACCACGCCGGCGATGATCACGGCAATGAGAGCCAGCACCTTGGCGTAGGTGGACAGATCCTGCACCCGTGTGCCCCATTTCACATAGGCGCAGTTGACAAAAGTGAGGAGGCCTGGAAGAGAAAAGAAGCCAGAAGTCATCCCATGGCAAGGGGCCCTTGGACTACACCAGCCTCCTCCACCCTAGACCATCCACATACACAGCAAAGTCCCACTGAATCCTTCCCTTCTCCAATTTCAAACGTATATCCAATACGGAAATATAAATGCATGCCTAAGCGGCTGATTCCTAAAAGGGAAAAAGAGAAAGAAAGAAAGGAGAAAGAGAGAGAGAGAGAGAAATCGACGCAGCTGCCCAGTAATTTTTCTGCTGGACTCCATTTTATTTTCTCAGCGCAGAGGTGGGAAAACATTGGGGGGGGGCAGCCCAAAGGCCACATTTCCCTGTAGAGAACCTCCTGGGGGCCACCTCCCAGTCGCGGGTGGGCCAGTGGCAAAAGTGGGTGGAGCAACAGATGCAACTCTTCTAAAGTATGAATCAGAGTTTTTCACACACACCTCTCTCTACCCAGGCAAACATCGCAGCTCAAGGCCAAGATCCAGCCAGGCAAAAGCCCTCAAGGATAAGAGAGAGCAGGGCTGCTGAGGGATGTGGTTTGGGAAGAGTTCTGAGAACTGGACAGAGAGGCCTGGAGGGTCACACTTCGCCTGGAGGGACTGAGGTCCTCGGTTGCTCCAAACGAGAAGCAAATAAAATACAAAAGTCTAGTGGCGTTGGACCAAACCTTCCAAGGCGTCCTCAGGCAAAAGGGGTGGCTGCACCCTTGGAGTGACCTGGTGAAGGAGGGGACTCCCTGCTCCCTTAACTGCCCCACTTTTGTGGGTCTCTTGGGCGTGAGTTGCTATTAACAGAAGCCTCTCTGCAAGGGTGTGTGTTGTCTGTCTTGTGATGCACAAGGGCGCGGCTGGCATGTGTGCTCCTGGAGGAATTGCAAGGAGGCAATGCAGCCCTGGGTCCAAAGGTTAGCCATCTCTAGTCTAGGACCAGGCACAAAGGAGGACAGACACACACACCCCACGCCACTATGACCCTCCGATCTCCATTTCCCATTGTCATGGGATGATGCTCTCACATGCACCCCTTCTCCTAGATGTGAAAAAGAGTGTGTATTCATGAGATATCACTGGGAGACAAAATCTGAATCCTGACTCTCTGCGATTTTAAAGGGTGGGGAGGTGTTTCCCTGGACCCTGCTACTTGCTTGGCTTCTGTTTATTCCCATGGAAAATGAATGCAGCTGCTGAGCTCAATCCAATCATCATAGCCCTGGCCTGCCAGTCCTACTTCCTTCCTGGGTTGTGATGCAAGACCGAGCGAAAAAGAGAGCGAAAGTAAGCGTTGGGAAATGGCTTGTCAGCAAACGAGTCTAGCAAGGATGCTAGATGGGACAGCCTTGGCCCAAAAGGAATGCATTACCCCAGCTAAAAGGCGACCTTCATTCCCCTCGTTTCCTGCATGTGTGAGATCTGATAGATACATGGCGCCCAAGAGTTGGAGCAAAAGATGGAAAGGGGCTGGGGGTGGGACACAGGGCACAGAGTCTATCACCTATTCCTAGTCCTGAGAAGGAGTGGGGTCTGCCGAGGTCCCAGATTCCATCCCTGATGGCATTTCCAGGCAGAACCGAGAGAATGCGCCTTTGCCCTGTGATAGGAGGTCTTAGATATATGGTAATGTTCATAAGTGTACCAACCAAGCACCTACCGGTACATAGCTCAGCACAGGAAGACCGACCTAAAACCATTTTTGATTCCCAAACTGTCCCAAACTGACCTAATGTTTTCTCTGCAAGGTCAAAGGAAAATGGAAAAAACTCCCCATTGTCTTTTCCTTCGCAAATCCTGTCTTAAGGGTATGTCTGTGTTTGAATAGGGTGTGAGCCTGTGACATGGCCCAGGAACTAAGTATTTATCATTACAAAAGACTGGCCAGGCTCCCCAGACAATCCAATCTAGTAAGCAGGGTATCCAATCAAGTAACCTGCCAGACAGGAGATAAACAACGACAGGAGAAAAACAACATTCAAATTTGCCTTTTCTGTGATGTAGGTATGATGTATCTGGGGGGTGGTTTTGTGCTACACCCCTTCTGTGATGTATGTATGAAGTTTCTGGGGGTGGTCTTGATCTACAGGGTGGCAATTTCAAAATATCTATATAAGGCCTTGCGCACCATTTTTCTGGGTTCCTCCTCCTCTCCTGCAGGTGAGGGGAGCACCCTGTTGTAATAGATCAATAAAGATCAGGCTTACTAGCTGCTTTGCTTCTCAATATTCTCTGATTGGCCTCTGTTATTTTCTCCTACCAATAGGGAACCTACGTAAGGACTCTATATGGGCTCTTGGATACCCCATAAGGGGAAAAGGGTAGATTTTGTTTACAACAGCCCGAAACCTCGCAAAGTCACTGGCCGTCAGTGTTCGCAATGAGTCAGGCAGATCCCAGCAGCCTGATTTAGTATAAGGCAGCTCCTGGTCTTTTTATGTCTGAAGGCAGGTGTTTCGGCTGCGGGGACGAACCTTTTCCACCTTCCCTTCTGGCTTCTAGACACAGACATGCACCCACCATGAATCCTTGAGGAGGATGCAAAGCAGGGCTGGTGGTTCTGCAGGCTGAGAAGCTTGGGGGGGCCCCATCAGCATCCTAGCCCCTCATAAAAAAAAGGTAACATTCACAAAACCAAACAACATGGGCAAACATAACAAGGATTGTGGCTAATGCACAAACGGTCATCCAGAGTTTGAATTAAGAGGGAGGGAGATGGGACTTCCTCGAGAGGAGGTGGAGAAGTTGGTTGTTTATCCCTTTCCGGCTCCTGGCACTCTGATCACCTTTATCTTTATCTTTATTCCAGGAACAAGTTGTTGTGACTCAAGGAGCTGTGTGGGACTCAGCTTTCTACCAGACGCCCAAACCCGGCAGGAGGGTGATGTGAGACGTGGGGCAGGGGGGCTCAGAGAAGGTTCCCCCCACACACTTTGTACCTTTTCCCCTTGGCTCCAGGGTGTGGATGGAGCTTTCCTATTGGCAGGAGTGGGGGGAACTGGGGACACCTTGCAAACAACGGCTCTGCTTCTTTATAAACAAGGCCATAAATTCCTCTCTCTTATCAGGCGGGTGACATGCTCTGAACAGAGAAAACCACGCATACCGTGAGCTGCACTCACTTGCACATGGCTCCAGCAATTCCCCAAGCATGAAGCAGCCCAGTTTCCCCAGTTCAGGGGAGGGGGTGGGACCAAGGCCATCTCAAATCCACCCTTTCTGTCCCAGCCTAGTTTCCAAATAATCTCATCTGAGGCTAGATGTGACCCAGCCTAAAATGGAAGCATTGTGTGTGAACAAGCCCCTTGGGCTCCACACATCTGGGGCAGAAGGGGACAGAACTACTCTTCCTAATATTCTTCCAACCCATTAAGAAAAGGAAGTCTAATGGTTCGCCCCACTTCCGCCTAGAAATACATTTGGAGGAGTGCTGGCTGCTACTTCCTGCAGCAAGGGTGCCACAGAGCATGAACAGAGGGCACTTTCCTCATCAAAGAGAGGCAGCTTTCCTCTTCAAAACAGGCTTGAGTCTCAGCATCAGGAGCCTGGCCTTAAGGATAACATTCTGGACAAGCCATGGTTTGTAGTGCCCCCCTCAAACTAAGTAATTGATACTCAAACCAGGGGTATCCCCCATAAACTCCAACATTGTTCCATTCACTTGCCCTGCAAGAGGTTTTGGGGGGATCCCAAATTTAGGGGTTTGTGGTTAATGAATCTTTCAGCTTCTTCGTCTGTGAAATGGGGATTACTACACTGGCCTAACTTACAGACCTTTTGCTACGAAGTTAGCATTTGCGAAGAACTGAGCACCTGGGCAGCAGCGGGGAGGGGCACATAATCCTCTGCTCTAACCTTCTCCCGGCACCCTTTGCTTGAAGACTCACTGGGCTTGTGGGGTGCTCTCAGCTAGCTTCCCATCACCGCCGGCATTCATGCCTGACCTCGTGCCTCCCTCAGCCGTCACATTCCTGTGTGTTGCAACGGGAGCGGTTTCGGGGAGCCTGACAATGCATTTCTCGCCAGCTGGATCTGGACAACAGCTGCCGACTCAGCACACTGCCCGTCTCCCAGCTGAAGTCACTCATTTCCTGAGAGAGACCCAGAATTACCCGCAGGGTTAGGAGGAACGGAGAGCCGAGAGGCCCCGGAGGAGAGGCTCGTGCCAGGTTTAGACACCACTGATGGATCACCGGACCATGAGTCCGAAAGGCTTGATGTGAAAGCAGTGTCACTCTGAGCACGTGCAGAGTGTCTGTCCCTCCCCACCGATCAAATACACCCGTCTTGCTCAGTCCAAGGCAACAGGTGGCAAAACCCAGCCCCAAACAGCCTCAAGCAGGCATGGACTTGCCCAGATGCAAACAGTTTAGCTTTTAACCAACTCATCTCCCACAAGAGAGGGAAGCAGAGACTCAGGGCCCCGTTCGTTCTCCCTGGAGACCACCCTAGAGCTCCAGCGGGGGAGAATGGGGCTAGGTGGGCTTAAGGGTCCCTTCCAACTCTACACTTCTATGATTCTATCTCTCTATCCTGGAGGTGCAAGGTTAACTTCTAACAAACAGGCAGCTGATAAATGCAGCTGATAAAGGCTGTGGAGCCCTGGCAAGGCGGTAATTATACTTTTCTCTTTTATGTCTAACTAGAGGAGTGAGATGTATTGTGGGCAAGGGGAGCTAGAAGCTGGGCCTTATCTGAGATAACAGCCATATCTATTGGTTATACCCAGTAACCCCTTCCCCCCCCCCCAATTCTGCTTCCCTGCCCTGCTGCCCCTTCCAAAGCGGAGAGGGGAGTGGTACTCCCATAGCTAAAGGCATGTTGTGGGTGTCAGAATTCCTGGGTCCATCCCACGCCCAGTTCCAGAAGCTCAAGGTGGAGCTTTGGCAAAGCACAAAGTCTGAAGCTTCCCTTATGCCGGAGATTCAAAACCATTGCCAAGGAAGGAAAGAGTTTCCCAGAACTGGGAAGGAAAGGTCGCAGCAGAGAAAGATAAAGGAACAATGGGAGATTAGATAAGGGGGGGGGGAAAGGGCTACCTTTCAGCCCACCTGAGGCTGAATCAGCTCAGGCACTGCCAGGGCTTTTTTACTTTTCTTTTCAAACAGCAACTCATGCCCCCCTCCCAACAAACTTCACACAGCCCCGCTGGGCTCCCCCAAATACTGTCCCCACTGTTCCCGCTGGAAGTCTCACTCACAGATGCAGACGGCAGCCAAGAGTCGGCCTGCCAGGTAAGGCGCCTCGCAGGACGGGAACACGGGTTGCACCAGGTAGTTGGCGAACGTGATGGCAATGACGGCCTGGCTGGTGGGCTCAATGATGAGGAGAGAAGTCCACAGGCGGATGAAGGCCGGCAGCTGCCCAAAGGCCTCCAAGATGTAGGCGTAGCTGGCGCCCGATTTTTTGATGGTGGTGCCCAGTTCTGCATAGCACAGGGCCCCAAAGACAGAGAACAGCCCTCCCACAGCCCAGACCACAAGGGAGAGGCCGTACGAGTCACTGTACATCAGCACGCCCTTGGGCGAGACGAAGATGCCCGAGCCGATCATGTTGCCCACGATCAAGCAGACCCCGTTGAGCAGGGAGATTTCCTTCTTCAGCTTCATGGAGTCATCGGGAGACGTGCCAGAGGAGTCCTCAAGGGGCTGGCGGGAGGAGGTCCCGTTGGGTACTGAGTTGGCCGGCAGCTCATCCTGAGGAGTCGCCTCATAGCGAGTGGTCTTGGCCATAGCTTGGCAAGAAGAGGAACGGTTCTGTTATAATTATTATTATTAATCACCTGCCCTGCAACCATAAGGTCTCCCAGGGCAGGTTGCATCATTGAAACGTAACGTTAAAAACCATTTGAGACAATTTACAATCATATAGGTAAAAATATACGCCTCTATTGTCAAAAGCCAGGGTACGGAGGGGTGTCTTCAGCCTTCAGCATTCTCCAGGAGCTGTATAATGAAGGTGCCAGAAACCCGTCTGTGGGGAGGAAGACCCACGCCTTAGGGGTTCACCAGAGATCATGTCCTCTCCTGGCCTGCCACTCCACCTACACCCCAGCCTCAGCGGGGGGAGGAACTACCAAGAGGACCCCTTCTCCCAATCTTAGCATCTAAGAGGGTCAGGATGTAAGCAATCTTTCAGATGTTTTGGGAACTGAGGCATTTGAGCTCTGGTGCATCTTGTACTTGTGCACCTGGCACTTTAAAGGCAGAGGTTCTCAAACTCGTTAACAACCTGAAGAACACTCTCCCGTTTCTGCTGTACTAATGGCACATTTTGCTAATATAAAGCAGTAGCTCTAGGAGGTACAACACGCAAAAAGATGGCGTTCTCTTCCAGGAGGCGCAAGTTGCGACAGGGCATTGGGAGAAAAGAGGTTGGGGGTGTAAGCTGGCATGCACAGGCAGGTAAGAAACTGGACAAGAGTGCCTCTACTTTCCCGCGGGGGGGGGGGGGGAGCATGCTATCCCAGGAGACAAACAAGTGCTAGAAGCAGGCAGATGTCCCTCTGCCTCCCAGATACTCGAACCCAGGGCCTGGTTCTTACCTCTTTATTTGCCTGGAGAACTGCAAAGAATGAGCACTAGAACCTTGATTCTCATTTCTGGAAGGCGAGTCCAGCAAGCGAGTTTGGGGCACTGAGGTTACCTAGGCACTATCTCTTAAATCTGAACAGCCCGAACAGGTAATGGTTGGGTAATCTTAAGAGGCTGGGAGCTAGTCACTGTAGATTTCCTCTTCTGCCCAGGGAGAGGTGTCTGGGAGGTGGAGAATGGGTGGGTGGGTTTCAGCTTTGAGAGAGCAGTTCTGGGGCTGGATTCCCACCCACCTCCCACACACTATTATTAGGGGACAGAAAGGGATATATAGATGGGGATGATGGGAAAGAGAAACTGACAGATACTCACAGTCCACAGCGCAGTTCCTCCTCCTGCTCTGTCGTCTTATCCCCACACCAGCTTAAGAATAAAGAGACAGAAGCTGCCAGAACAGCACTTTTAACATGAGGAACTAACCAGGGTTGCCGGGGGCGGGGTGAGGGGGGTAAAGGAGGGTGAGCCATTGACCGAGTCCAAGGTCCGTCTGGTGCCAGGTGGGGGCAGGAGGAGTGCTATGGGAGATAAGAGGACTGGCAGTGCCTCTGGGGCACCCCATGGCTGAGCCGTCCAAGAATTGGCTTCCTGCAGGAATGTCTCGTGCGTGTGCACCCTCGCAAACGGCGCTATCAGTTTCCCGCAGCAGCCCCCTCATGCATCCTGTGAGACGTCAAGCCTCTCAAGTCACACAGAGCACCTCTTCAGAGACAAAGAGACCTGTGGGAATCGGCAGCTTGCTAGACCTACCGGGGCAAATGGTTCAAAATGAAAAGGTTATCATCCTGAAGGCAACCAAGCCTGTCAGATTGGTTCAAGATGAAAATCTTGCCACCATTCTTGCATTGCAGGGGGTTGGACTAGATGACCCGCAAGGGTCCCTTCCAACTATGCAGTTCTATGATCCACAGACTTAACCTTTGCTTCTGATAGTAGTAGTTGGGAGGTGGAGCAGGGGAGTTGTTATTTTCACAACTTGACAAGTGAATGGCAAGTGGGAATCCCAAACTTCAAATGTTATCTTTTCCCAGACTGTATAAATCACACGCGATGGCAACTTTCCAAGCCACACCGAACTCTTCTTCAGACAGAAAAAGTCCTGTGCGACTCTTGACAATTGCTACACAACACACACCCTGCATCCTGGCTACTTGCAAGTCGTTTTCTGGATAAAATGAGCCACACATTATTCCACATTTGCAAATCATATAATGGCTTTGAATCAGGCTGCAACCCTATGCACACCTACCTGGGAATAAGCTTAATCGAATTCAATGGGACACGAACAGGATTACACTGCAAGAGCGCAATCCTTTGTACACTTCCCTGGGAGCAAGCCCCGTTCAATAAAGAGCGTGGAACTGAGGACCTAGCAAGTATACACAGGATGACGCTGTAAGAGAATTGGGACAAGAGCAGCAGGGGAGGGGTTCACCCTGTTACATTAACACCCCGACCCCACCCCCCGTGGCTAAATTTAAGGCTGCCATCTTTTTCACTGGCTGTGCTCCTGCGCCTTTTATTTCAGTTGTATCACAGGCAGAAACACGCATTAAATGTGCACTTTATAAATCTATAATTTAATAGATCTGTGTTATACACGTGCTTAAAGACCAAGTTCCTTCAAAGGGGTTGGGGTTGGAACTTAATCCACACAACCTCCAGGAACCCAGGAGTCCGAGGTTGCCAGCAAAGGCCTCCGCGCTGCGACTCCTCTTCCTGTTTATGCCGTTTCCAAGGGCGACGGCTTCCTTAGCAACCAAAGGCCAAGATGGCGACGGCAAAGCCTTGCCCATTTCAAAGATGGCCAAAGAGCCCCTATCCGCCCTTAAGAAAAATGGCAGTCAGGACACATCAGAAATAAACAAACAAACAAACACGCCGCCTTTCCTGAGTCTATGGGTTGTGTTAGAGACAGAGGTGTTAGTTCTGAAAGGGAAATGCATCTTTCACATGAAAAGCCGGCGCAGAGCGTGTTCCCTAACCCAATACGGTGAGTGGGGATATAGCTTCCGGTTTAAATCACAAAATGGCGCCGCGCTTCGTTTGCCGGTACTCACATCCGGGTCCCCGTACCAAAATGGCTGCTCTCACTAATGAAAAGCTCTTCCTTAGGCAACTAGGAACATTGATCAGCGCACGATCCCAAGGCCCTGGAGCGGGGCCTATGGGAATGTGCAGCTATATCCGACTGGGTGTACGGAGCCTTCGGGCGTTTTCTACTCTTTCCTACGGTTTTTTCTTAGAACTCTGAAACGATCCGTACAAGATGGCGCCCTCCTGGCATTTTTTTACGGATGAGGCCACCTTTCCGTCCGCAAGAGTGTGGTTTCCGCTGACGAATTATCCCAAAATGGCGGCGCTCATTTAAAAATGGCGGCTCCCAGTGGAGGTGTGTGTTTTTTCCGTACAACCTCTGCGAACGGAAGCGCATGGTCCCGTTCTCTGATGTTTAGTGTCAAAATGGCAGCTTGCGTGGCTCGGAGGCTGGGTACGGAAATCTTACCGGTGGGAGAGCTAGGGAAGGGAGCGGGGCTATTGATTTTGCATGGCTGTCCAGAGCACGAAGCTCTATGCTTTTCTGGGAGTCAGCCCCACCGAACCCGATGGGGAGTCCTTACTGAGTATACATTCATGGGAGGATTGCGGGGTAAAAGAGGGAGTTACCCCCCCCAAGTGCCCTTCTTTTCCTACTATCATCGCAGGTTGCTGTTCCAGAATACCCATGTCAAATTCTGGATGGTGAAACATGCACAGTTGCCCCTCTAGCAATTTTTGAAAAGGGGGGGAGGCGCACGACTTTTATGGCTTTTAAATGGCTATATATATGTGTGTGTGTGTAGATTTCTAAATGGCCTTTGCTTAGTTTCTTTTAGCTTGTGCGTTGCGATGAAAATATAGCTTTTGACATTTTAAGCACAACCCGTTGCCAGAGCCCATAATGGTTATAACTGATTTATGCTCCGGCTTTGGCTATAGCATTATGCTGTTGTGCTGTTGTGCCTATGAAATACCCGTTGCTACAACTTGCAAGTAGGGAGATGGCTCGAATCCTGCTTGCAGATTTCCCACAGGCATCTAGTCAGCCACTGTGAGAACAGGATGCTGGGCTGGCTAGATGGCCTGTTGGCCTGATCCTGTAGCCTTCTCTTATGTTCCTATAAGGAGAGAGAGAGAGGCAATTTGACCCTCCAGATGTAGGAATTCCAACTGCCTGATGTAAAATGTAGTCAAAAAATGCTGGCTAATCCCGATGAGTACCTGCTTTCCTCTACCACACAGCACGTCATCCTTGCAAAGTTCTCGGGTCAGGTTTTGCTTCTGCCCATGAACTTGGTGGTAGCCTTGGGGCAGTGGAGCATTTGCAATAATAATAATAATAATAATAATAATAACTAGTATAGACCTGCCTAACAGGGTTGTTGTAACAATTACCAAAAGAATGCTTAGAAAGCTTTGGGTCCCCTAAAGTATATTTATCTATATCCAGTTTCAAGAGTACAAGGCACCGTGAGTCTAACTGAATCCTGAATTTCTCTTTCTACTTCCAACCCTACAGGACCTCGGCTGGCAAAAATTGCTTCGATGTCTCGGACCTTCCATTGCAGTACTGTGGATCAGTCTGGTGGGGCCTGGAGAGTGAAGTGAGTGCCAGAGATAGAGGGAGGCATCTTCAGAGCTAGAGAGAGATCCTTCATCTTACTTACTCCATTATTATTATTATTATTATTATTATTATTATTATTACTTTTCTGGCAGCACTGCAAATGACTTTGCCCTCTGTATACTTCCTTCCAGGCACGGTTTCCCTATAAACCCTTCACATTATGGACCCTTAACAGACCTTCCTGACTGGTCGTTTGCTGGTAAGAAAAATGGGTGTTTGTATTATTTGTTTCACTGTATTTAGGCTGCAGACTTGCAAAATAAAAATAACGTTGCCTTTACATAATATCGGACCATTGATCCAACTAGGTCAGTATTTATAATCTCCTCTTCCACCCCAACTCACAGCTCGGTTAATCCTGAAGAGAACCAGTGTACTTTGCTAAGTGCAGTAAGTTTTAGTGTTAAAATTTGGCCCATAATCACCATTCCTCCCTCCACCTCTTTCCCCCTTTTCTTCCTAATGTAACACTAATGTCTCACAGCAAATGAAACTGATCTGTAGAAAACGCAGCTTTAAAAAGAGACATTGCACGTACTTTTGTAAACTAAGAAATCTTTAATAATTTTTTTTTTAATGGCCCATAAAACTTGTTACTATCAGCCATGATCTGAGGGCACAATAAAAGGGTGTGACTGTAGCATCCTTTGCAAGCAGGCACCTTCCAGATGTTGTTGGACTACAACTCCTATCAGCCCCTTGCTGGGAGTGATGGGAGTTGTAGTCCAGCCTCTGGAGAGCACCAGCTTGGGAAGGGTGGAAGAGAGCATGCATCTGTGTTGAAATAACCTTAACAACCTGGCGTGAGGTGCTATTGAGATTACTTTCTTGTACTTTTGAGCATACAGGGAAGGAGCAAGTATCTGTATCCTTTTTTGTTTTTTCTCTACCCCAGATGGGCGGCCAGCCCCACCGATGAAAAATCATCTCCATAGGAAGGAAAGGAACGAAAACTTGGCTGTAAGTGGGAGCCAGAGCGCCTAAGAGCCTTAGGAGTCCTGGTTTGGGGGGAATTTTGGAATAACATTAAGGAAGAGTGCGGGGCTTCCCGGATTGGCAGAATGCTGGAAAACCTCACAGGTGTAATAACAGATAGAAATGAGTCAATCTGGAGCTATTACTATGCTGTTTGGGGGTTTTTTGGGGGGAGGGTTAAAAATTTATTTAATCATTTTTTCGATACAAACAACAACCGCAAAAGACACATACAACAAAAACCATAATGACAATAATAACACAATTTGACAATTCAGATTTGAATACACTGATATACCTATGACTACACCTTTTTAACAATATTTTCCCACCTCTCTCTCCTCCTCCCACCGTTATCCGCCTTATCGCTTAAATATTCATTCCCGATTTCTTCATATTTATCCATTCTTAATTTGCGTCGACATGCAATTCGTTCGTATGTAGCTAATCTGTCCATATTATCAATCCCTGAGCTCAATGGAATCTTTTTGCAGCTCTTCCAATTCATCAAAACAAGTTTTTTTGCTTCTAATAAAGCACGATACATCCAATTTTTTTTACCCCTTCAAGGGGCTATTACTATGCTGTTGCCCTATAGGAAAAGGATCCAGTGGGTTCTGAGGCAGGGAGTTTTCTCTCTAGAGGTCTGTTGTTTTTTAAATGGCAGACTTAGTCTTGGATCCCATAAATTAAGTCTGCATATGCCCAGAGGCAGGTTGCCTATGAGCATATGCAGAGTGCTCACTGCTGAGCAACTTCAGCCAGCTCTTTCACCTCTTGAAACTCGGATAAGGATGGAAGGGAAGCATGAGCCTTGGTGGGTTTCCATTAAAGCTATGAACGTAAACCAGTTTGAATCCCATCGCTATTCCACGAACATTTGGAATTTTAGCTTTGTGCCTTCTGGAATCCTGCTGAACAGTTCTCAAGATTTCTTGAGAAAGGACAGTGCAGTTTGAAACCCATTTTAAAATTCACAGCGTAACGTAATGTACCCTCAGCAACAGATTATGTACTTATTTTATTTATTTATTTGATCCAGCATATGAATCACTTCCCCCCCTAAAACACCTTGAAGTGATTTCGCAGTTTAAAAAAGCATCAGCGCTAAAAGCAGTTCCATATGTAAAAGCGATTTTTAAGATTCCATATGTTAAAAAGTGTTTCCATGTATACAAACGAAACAACGCTGTTTAAAAGCAATTTCATGTGTAGAAACCATTCCAGATCCAATATGAATATAGACTGCAATAAAGAGAATCACTTAAAACTCTTGTTGAAAAAGGCCGCATCTGCTCCCAAGCAGAGCTACAGTTCTCACAGGGAACTCTGGGAATGATAGTTCTCTGAGGGAAATAGTGGTTTCCTCACAACACTCAAAACCCTTTTTAATTTTTTTTTATTTCCTAAAATTTATATACTGCTTGATTGTGTGTGTGTGTTATTTTAAAAAAACTATGCTTCCCAGGAATCACGTAGAAGCTGTGGCAGTTTAAAGTGGTATGATACTGCTTTGAACGTCTAATGCAAATGGGGCCAACAGAGACGGCGCCTGTCCAATGGCCGCTGAGGATTTCCTCAGGCGCTGAGCTCACTCTGCTCTTCACCTTGTCTCCTCAGCGTCGGGTAGCCATGATCTCCGCAGAAATGGACCACGGGATGGAGAAGTGGAAAGCTAAGCAGAATGAACGAAAGCGACAGGCAGAGGAAAAGCGACGCAACAGACTTCAACCTAAAGGAAGCTCCCAAGAGCAAGACCCCAAATAAATATTCCCCCCCCTCCAATTTGGCGCTTGATTTGTGGTGTCTGTTTTTTTAATGTTCTCTTTTTTAATACCAAGGAAGGAGGAACAGTGGCGTCACAATGGGGGACAGTGCGCCCTGGGTTCCATGTGTGCGGGGGTGACAAGTCACCCTGCGGGGGCTCGCGGGGGCGCAAGCAACCATCACACTGCCACAGCCGCATGTGGAGGATTCTCCATTCGCAGATGCAGCTGCGAGCAGAGGATCCCGGCGCCAGCAGCAAACCGCTAATTACAGCGCATGTGCGGCGCATAGCAACACCACACATGCACTGTATAGCGGTTTGCCGCCGGCGCCGCTCCAGCACCATACGGACGGTGCCAGGATCCCTCCGTTGCCGCTACAGCCGCGGATGGAGGATCCCGGCACCGTCCGTACAGCGGTACCTCGGGTTACAGACACTTCAGGTTAGACTCCACTAACCCAGATATAGTACCTCGGGTTAAGAACTTTGCTTCAGGATGAGAACAGAAATGGCGTGGCGGCAGCGGGAGGCCCCATTAGCTAAAGTGGTACCTCAGGTTAAGAACAGTTTCAGGTTAAGAACGGACCTCCGGAACGAATTAAGTTCTTAACCCGAGGTACCACTGTACACTGTACCACTGCGCATACGTCGTATGTAGCGACACCGCACATGCGCCCTACGTAGCAACGCCTGCCCCGGGTGTCACGCCGCCTTCCTTCGCCCCTGAGATTCCCCTCGTGGTTCTAGTTCAAGAACTGCTCTAGAGCCTTCACTTGGGGCCAACTGCCTCGGCAGCCATTTTCTGTGCCGTATCTTGAGGAGATGAGGCAGCGGGCAAAGGAGAAACAGGCCTTGGCTGGCTTAGCTTTGGCAAGGTTGCCGCATCCTTTCGTCTCCATGCTGTGGTCTCTCTCCCCTGGTGCCCATCTGACGTTTGCAGTGGGGAAATAACTGGATTGTTCCATCGAGAGCCTTTCTAGAATGTTCCTGTCCAAAGAAAATGGAACCTGTAGCTCCTGTTTCTTTAGGTTAAGGGGGAAGCGGCACAAAATGGTGGTCCTTTTGCACAGTAGCCGGCCACTGCTTGGCGGAGGATCAATTTTTCATGCAGCTTTATGGGATGTGGCTTAGGCTTAAAAAACGGTTTGGGCAGGAGCTTGGGCACTGCAACAAGCTCATCTCAGGGTCACGCATCTTAGAGTCACCTCCGCAACATACATGTTAAAGGACTTTTGTATCACTCTTAACAGCCATGGAAAATTTTGGGAACCATGTTTGTTTATTTTAAACCGCGCATCCCCTCTTTTCATCTAGGTTCTCAAACGTGGCTTACAGCAATAACACGCTGCAAACAATAAGAAACCTAGATTAGACCTCTGACATTTTAAACCTCGAGAATCTAAAATCTGCAAAAGGGGGCGGGGGGGAGAAAAACTAAAATACATGGGAAAGTATTTAGGGTGCAAAGGCCTACCCAAATAATCTGTAGCTGTTAAAGGAACCCCGCAAAGAGGACCCCAAAGCATGCACAAAGTGCTTTCCCTTGCTCCACTGTCCTAGCTGTTCGGAGTGTCCAGGGAGGTTTTCCAAGAGAAACTTAAACTGCTGCTACCTCTCCCCGCAGCGTACGGCCTAAGGGTTGGAGAGAGTCAGCAGGATTACACACTTAATATTTTTCTGCCTTTGTCAGCTGGCCTGAGGAACTGTGTGTGTGTTTAGGTTGGAGGAGATCTCAGCCTGGCTGCAGACCTGGTGGCCGTAAGCCAGGCTGGAAGGAATCTTGGCCCTCTCCTCTGGAAAAGGGAGCTCTCCTTTTCCCCTCCTGCCATGTAGTTTCCCTCTTGAGATGGCTCGCTGCTTCTTCATATTTATTTTTCTTCACCTTCCCTCTCTTGGCCCCGTGGGAACCACTGCCTGCTGGAGGTGAAGTCACAGCACTGCAGGAAGGAAGAAGGATCAAGGGCTGAGAATGAGGGACTTGAAAGGCAGAGGTGTGCACACACAAACACAAAAATATTACTTCCTTCCCAATGGAAAAGAGGTTCCCACACATTCATCGCTACCGCAATGATCTATTCTGGTGGTTTTCTACCCCTCCTAAATTGCCTTTTTTTTCTAATAGGGTGGAATGTTTCCTGTCACACCCAGTAGCCATTTTTGCAGCAAGCATCGCAGTATAGTGACACCTTAACAAAGTGTTTACGCTTGTAATTTTTGGTGCCATAATAATTTAAAAACGGTTAAGTCTTTGGCCCTGTTGCTGATTTTCCCTGGAGGCTTTCACCTCCGGGGATTTGTGCAAACGGGGGCCTCTGAAATTTATCGGAGGCAGGACAGCAGTATCTGGGAAATCCTAAGTAGGGAGAGTACTGACACACTGCTCACGATCTGCTTTCAGATTTCTGGGACAGCTCAGTTGGTAGAGAACGGCAATCTTAAATCTTGGGGTGGTAGGTTCGAGTCCCACCCTGGGCAAAAGATTCCTGCACTGCAGGGGGTTGGACTAGATGGCTCTTGTTGTCCCTTCCAACTCTACAATTCTATCATTCCTGTCAGGGGCAGGTTTGGTACAGGGAAATGGCAACAAGCCACGTGTAGGGTTGGCCTGTGTTGCCTGTGATCTTGGAGGACGTGGTTTTGCGAAACTCCTCCATTGTCTCGAGCGAAGTCTGCCTGCCTGTCCCCTGGATTTGTCTCTGTTTAAGCTTTCTAATACAGGAACTTGGATGCCAAATTTGGGTCAGTGGCTCAGCCAGGGGAGGGAACAGAGTAGGGATATTTTTTCCCCCTCTTCCCTCCGTTCCAAAAAATCCTCTTTCCATCCCGTGACCCTAGCTGCGACTGACAACACAAAGCCCAACCCCAAAGCTTCGGGATTTTGAGGCCCTGTGTGTGTGTGTGTGTGTGTGTGTGTGTGTGTGTTTAGTTTCTCCCCCTCCCCACCCCATTCCTCCCCCCAACCCTGCCAGCTCTGCCTTGCTGATCCCAGCTGTGTTTTGAACACATCTCTCACCCCCCTCCTTCCCTCCCACCCCATATTGGTAATTGCTTCCAGATGCAGCAGCCACGAAAGCATGGATGAGATCAGCGCCTGGGGCCTATGCCAAGTGCACGAGACCCACAGGGACATCCAAGGGGCTGGAGTGCAGAGGGTTGCAATTTGCTGCACTCACCGCTCTCGTCGAGCCTCGGCAAACCACCCCCCCAGCCCCACTTTCTCAGGGCTCCCCTCTACTTCAGGGTCACCCTCACACACACACACACACACATCTTCGTGCATGAAGCTAATGGGGCGGCCAAAACAGTTGAGCTGTAGCCTCGCTTCAGCCCTTGTCAGTATCTATTGAATTATTCCTGACTCAGTTGAATGTGTGTCAAGGGGGGGGGGCAGACGGACCGCCGCGGTTATACCAACGTCACAATGCAGGAGACAGGATGCAGGGGCTGTGCATCACGCATATATCTCTGGTGATTTGATTTTTATATCGTATTTTTGGCGAGGGGGGGTGTTAATGCATTCATTCTAGCCCTGCAAATGGCTCGCCCTTTTTATAGAATTATACGAGTTGGGACCCGCAAGGGTCATCTAGTCCAACCCACGGAAATGCAGGAATTTGTGGCTCTCACCAACTGGCATTTGCAGGTAAACTCTGTCTGGCAGTGGAGGGACGACAACAGCCATCATGGCTAGGAGAGAGTGCTTAGAATAGTTTTTTTCTCTCTCATACACAAGCGTGGTTCTTAAAAACAACCCCTTCCTTTAATTGGCTATAGCTCGCTAGGCTGCGGGCTGCCAATATGGGTGCACATTCACCCACAGGGGGCTTCCTTGGTGCCCACAGGGTTCCCTCCAGCCCTGTTCCTGTGAAAACCAGGATTGAGAGAAGCATTCTGTTGCAGCCCTGAGAACAGGGTGGTTCATTGCACCTGTAAGTTTCTCCATTTTGCAAACACGCCTGCTATCCAAAATAGGTTGGCTATGGTATGTTAAACGAAGTGCACAGCGCTGCCACAGAGGTAGTCCCCAAGATGGCCAAAAGTTGCCTTCGGCATAAATGGGCATTCACTTAAGACATACAAACATCCCACTTATCCCAGTCAAGGAATACTTGCTAAAACTTCAGCCGGTTTCCAAAATATTGTTCCAGAGGCTGTCCAGGGCTCACTTTGAACCAAAGTGTGATCGGCAGGATTTCAGCCGCACAACTGTGAAGTCTGCAGTTCAGCTCTAGAATGCACGGAAAATGGAGCACAGTGCTCCTGACCATGTGCAGAGTGCATTTCCCTAATCACTGTGCCAACTCAGCTGACTCCCCCAGCAACAAACAACTCGCCCCTGAATTTCCCAGAATTATGGCGTTGATGCGCAAAGCAAAACACAGTACTAGGAAACTAGATTTCAAAACAAACATTGCACAATGAGATGCACTTTTCCAAATGCGGTATCATCACAAAATTTCCCAAACATGAAGCTTCAATTCTGAAAAGATCAGAGGAGCAGGGGGACAGGAAGTGTGGTGTTTCTGCAATTCCATCTTCTCCCTGTGACTTTCATCACAGCCAAAGCCTCGCTCTGGTGTTTGACTCCACAAAGTATACCAGGATGATTTTGAGCAGCCAATTTTGGCAGGGAAGCGTTAGCAGGCCATTTCCGTGGCCGTTCATTTAGGGCCATTCTGCACCATACATTTAAAGCAGTATCATAGCACTTTCAACAGTCACAGCAGCTTCCCCTAAAGAAGGCATCCCCAACCTTCGGCCCTCCAGATGTTTTGGACTACAATTCCAATCATCCCTGACCACCGGCCCTGTTAGCTAGGGATCATGGGAGTTGTAGGCCAAAACATCTGGAGGGCCGCAGGTTGGGGATGCCTGCCCTAAAGCATCCTGGGAAGCGTAGTTTGTTAAGGGTGCTGAAAGTTGTTAAGAGGAGAGCCCTATATCCCTCACAGAGCTACAGTTTTCAAGAGTTCCCTGAGAAAAGGGATTGATTGTTAAAACACTCTTGAGAAGCGTAGCTCTGCGATTATTCTTAGATTTGAACTTGGCTCTAAGCCCTTAATGGGCCAAACACATTGTGGATTTCTATATTAGCATTTCTTTGGGTCAATGAAAAGGAATGGCAAGCAAACTTTCCAGGAATGTGCAGAAATATCTCGGGAGTATTTAGATATTAATTCCCAAAAAAAGAAATATAAATCACACTTTAATACAACATACTACTAAAAAGGAGGGGAAATTCCAGCATTTATTTTTTTCCAAAAAAAAATCTCTGGTGATTATTTTTAATAACAAAATAGTCATGAACAAATTGTGTGGGGACAAAAATAAAATAAAATAAATGTTTGAAAACTCCCAGCATTTTGAGTCCATTTCCACCCAGAAATGGGGGTTTTTATTGCTAAACGTTAAAAGGAATAACAGATTTAAAACAGCCTACAGGCCCCAGCAATGTATGTTATATTCCCCTCCCAAAGATTGGGTGTTTATTAATAATAGCAAAATAATAATAACAATAAAGTGAAACAATAAACAATATTAAAAACCCGCCCACAAACCCAAATGTATCGTTAAACACAGTTTAATTCCGTTTGGAGACCATTTGAAAACACAAGACCCAGAATTCAGACACGCCCTCCCCCACCCCCAATGGAAAATGGTCTGAATAGGAGAGAGTTTAGATACCTCGTTCCCGGCCTGCAGGATTTGGGGGTTCCGTCTCCCACCCCTATTCTGATTTCCCCACCCTGTTAATGCACTATTTTAAACTTTCTTTTTTCAAAAAAGGCATTTCTATAGAATAATTAAAAAATTACATATTCAACAAACAAACAAAATTAAACATTTTCCCTAAGAAAGGAGGATAAGGCAGTTTGAGGCAGTTCTCTGGTGCAATAGGAATCTTTCTTCCACTCTCCCCCCCCACCCCGTTTTTGGAAATTGCTACTTTGCTTTGTTTGGTTTTTTTTTAAGAATCCAGAATGGATTGGAAGTGACAACTGTAAACTTCATGCAGTTATAATCAGACATTGGAGTAAACATTTATGCAAAATCATTTGAACCGTGCTGACCACCTCCATCCCATTCCACACCTCCTCCTCCTCTACCTCCACCTCCAGACCAACCGCCACAACCACCCTTCCCTTTCCTCCTGCTCCTAAACTTGCCCCACTCTCTGTTGCATTCAGAGGTGGCCAACTCCACCTCTGCTGCGTGGGAGACCTCCACTTTCCCAAGGTTTGGCCCTTTAAGATGCTTCCCCACCTCCAAAAGGTATAAGCTGTCGTGCCACGCCCCACATTTTAAACCCCGCCCCTTGTCTTCCACCAAGGGCCCTCCCTGTTGGGTCATCTACATAAGCGCTTCTATTGGTCAGCCATGGCTCCTCCCTCCGTTTCAAGCCACACCCAATGGAATGATAAAACGAGTTCCCTTTTTGGAATGCCGTGCTACGTTGCCCCGCCCCCAAATTCTGCAGCTTCCCTATTTCGTCTGCATAGCTCCACCCACCACGAGGCTGAAACCTGCAGCTCCCCTCCCATCACTCCTAATAGAGGGCACCCATCCTTCTGCCCATCCTTCATTCCCATGTGACCCTGAAAGAAGGTGGGCGGCATTAACAACAGCGGATACTTGGGAGGGTCGCCGTGATAATTTAACCTCGATCCCACCCATGGGAGATCATGGGGTGGGGGTGGGGCCTTGGTGGGCATTCACAGTGTGCCATCTTATCCCCCTGCCTTGCAGGTTGGCAGATCAAAGCGAAGTCTCCTTTTCCCGAGCGGAGGTCAAGGGGTGCACTGCGACGGGGGTCGGGCGGAGACCGAAACCAGCATGGGGGAAGAAGGTCCTCTTTCGCCTCCTCAAGTTACACTCATGATGAGCATGCTCAGCGCACCTGCTGGGGGTGGAGGGGATGTGAAGAGACCGAGAAGGAGGAGAGGTGGGGAGGAGAGGAGAGGAGAGGAAGGAGGGAGAACAGGACCAGGGGAAAGGATGCAGCAGGAGGAAATGGAAGTGGAGAAGAGGAGATCGGGACATGGCTTAAGGAAGCAGCACGCAAGGAGCAGTGGCAGAACGAAGGCAAGAAGAGGAACGCAGGGAGGACAAAATGGCGGCAGGGCAGCACCGGGGAAAGGCAGAGAAGGAAGAGTGTGGCGACTAGGGCAAAAGGGTTCACGAAAGAAGCACCGGAGGAGAGATGGTGGCCAAGGCGAGGGAGACAGGAGGGCCCTGGTGCTCCCAGCCCAGCGAGGGAGCTCGCCTTGTCACACCTTGTCCAGCAGGGAACGCTGGCAATACAGCAACCGCTTGGGCGTGCCGTAGCGCTTGAAGATGAACAGGGCGATCCCCAGGGCAAAGATGGTGAGCAGAAGGAGGATGGGCAACACCACAGCGGCTGCGTTCACCTCCCCTGCTTCCGCATTGTCCACCTCGATGATGATGACCTCCTCGCCGTCTTCCTGGCGGTCGCCGCCCGAGCTGCATCCCATCCAGTCTCGGAGCACAGACTTGGGGTACCCTGGCTCTACCTTCAGCTTCTCGTTGTTGAACTTCCAGTAACGGTCTCCCTTGTAAAAGTAGGTGAAAACTATACAGGGGAGGAATAGGGGGTGGTCAAGAAACAGGGAAGAAAATGAGAGTCAGTTATAACAGCAAAGGAAAAGGTTATCAATGGGATCATTTCCAATAAAATAAAATTCAAAATGGGTTTTGTGAAATTCTGAATCCCACTTTTAATTTGTAAACCCATCTGAGGCAGGGATGCAGGATCTGTCTGGTGGCTACTTCAAAGTTAATTTTCAGTTTCAAGTTGAGGACCCTGCAAAGCACGTTTTATTTCGTATGCATATTTGGAATTCAAGTGATATTTGCCTGTGTTTTGCAGATTAAGCTTTGGAATCCGAATTCCATTTTCTGCCCCCCATTTTGAGTACATTTGGAGAATTCGTGGCCCAAATTTCAGATCTTCCCTTTGGATTTTGACACCAATGTGTCAATTATAAAGGCATATGTAAATTATAAAGGCAATGTTTTATTTCATCTGAGACTTTTTTTGTGAGAAAAATGGTATTTCACAGTGAAGAGTTTCATTATTCTGAAAGCAAAATGTTTCCTATCTGAATCTTCACTTTCATTTCACGTTAGAAATTCGTAAAAATAACCTTTGGTTCCAGATCAACAAGTTTTTACGGCTGGATTTCAATTCAACCCTGTAATCACTTTTTAAAGCATTTTACATTTCATTGTAGCAAAATGGCTTCCTGATCAGAGTTGGGAAGGGTAAAGCTTCCTTTAAAAAAAATTCACATAATGAAAAATTCATGTTTTAATAAACGATTACCAGCTGCAACCCGCTGAATCATTTTAGGAACACAACATTAACTCCACAATGGCGGTCAACGGTATCGCATCAGCCATCTTTCATGAAGGCTCAAACGATTATTAGTCATTAAAACGGGACGCCTTTTGAATGGCTGAGTGTGCAGGGGGTTGATTTTCACACTAGAAGCACCTGGAAGGCATTCTTTGCATAATCTATGCACCTAGGTGCATTGCATTTCTTCAGGAGATTCCTGTGGCTGAGGCCAGGCTACCCTCTGCCAACATCAGGGGACAGGGCAGGCATTGCCTTCACTGCAACGGTGAGGAGAGGCAATATTGGACGAGGGCTGGGCCTGCTCCCGTTGAAATCACTCTCTCAGCCATGATCCTCACTGGGTGACCCTTAGGCCAGCCCATGTCTCTCAGCCTCATCTGCCTCACAAGGATAGTTCTGAAGGGAAACCGTGCACTCCCTTAATAATAAGCAATGAATGCATAACAATGTCCTAGAGTTGAGCAATTCAGCTTTTTCTGCATAGCTGCAATATGGTGGCTGCTGATTAAGCTCCCTGCTACAATGACTCCAGCTATTAGGCATCAAATCCTGACCCTATCTGCACAATACCATCCAGTTTTATTTGTGTGCCTCCCGTTCACTCTTTCTTGGTCACAGAATGTTGGCAGCTGCTTCTTACATAAGTCAGTATCAGGTGGGCTGCATCCTTCCTAGCTTTGTGTTAGAAAGTGGAGCCTTTTCATCACCCCCTTTTCTTCCCACCCAATAGCGCCCCTCCGCTCCCCCTTTCTCACCCTCATCGCTGCCCATAAAAGCCCCCCGGAGTGACTCAGGGATCCCTTCCCAGACAGAAATGTGTTTGGGGTAGCCGGGCTCGACCGTTCGGCTCTCTTCGTTGAAGCGGTAATATCTGAAGAATGAAAAAGAACGCCGTGTTAAAAAGACTGCAGAGCAGAAAGAGAAAAGTAATTGCTTCCCTCTTTGTAGCAAAACCCCCTGACGGGATGAGCAAGAAAGCTGCAGCAGCAGTGATCAAACCTCCCTCTGGTGGCCAGACAATGCCTTAAATTGGAATTCAAGATTGCATGATGTGGCTAAGAGGGCCTTTAGAAAGGGTTAGACCAAGGGTGGAAAACTCCCACCAACCCTTTCAGCAAGCATGGCCAGTGCTCAGAAAACTGCAATCTAAGAATATATGGAATATCTCGTGCCTGCAGTTGTTGGATCTTTGGTGTCATTGAGCAAGACAGGTAAAACATCTGCAGTGTGCAGCCCAAGCTAAATTTATTCAGAAGAACATTCCACTGCCTTGACTTGGAACTTTTTGCCCTGGGCAGTATTTTGAGGTCTGCAGGGCTACTAACTTGCACACAGCAAACTGGCAACCATAGCTGAAAAAGAGCTAAACCTTTAGGTTTAATAAGGAACCAGAAACACTTTTATGCTGGCCTATCTCTCAATGTGATCATGCAACGCAGAGATTCTGAGAGCAGGTGCAGCGTTCAGCATCCTGACAATCTCAGTTGCTGTTCTTTTGAAATAAAAGCCAATCTCTTCGCCCTCAAGAATGTGAAGACAGGCTTGGAAATGTGCAGGTGTTGACTTGTGAAATTACAGAACCCAGAAGGGAAGGAAGAGGAAGATTCCTAGTTAGCTGCGGGAGCAGAATTTGCTTCCATGCCCTGATCTTCACCTCTTTGCCTCCCCCCTGCAACTCACAGTAGCATATTGTTTGGAAGGGCTATAGCTTGGTGATACAGCATCTGACTTGCATACGGAAGGGGTTAAATCTCTGGCAACTCCAAGCAGGGCTGCCTGAAACCTTAGAGAGCTGTTGTCAGACAGTGAAGACAGTTCTGAACAAGATGGGCCCCCAATGGCCTAACTCAGTACTATGTCAACTTCCTATCCTCCTGTGTCCATTCGCTTACACAAGCAGCCTGTTCTAGGGCTCGGGGTGCGTTGCAAAAAAGCTTCCCAAAAATTATGCATGGAAAACAAAAATGACTGCGTTGCCAGCCAGCTCACAAAAAGGGTCTCACAATGACCACTCGCTTCCCACAGAGACTTGGCTGGCAAACTGCTTCACTCCGAGAAACTACAGCAATTTCCCTCCACTCTGCCCAGGGAAGCTGCCATTGCATGGCAACCCTCTCTGCACATGGCCTCCTGGACACAGCAATGAGATTCAGACACTCGTGCACAGAATGCTTCGAAAGACCATGATGGATAGGGGTGGGACCGCTGAGCAAAGGGGCTTGGCTGTGAGACCTCCAACCTCTTCCAACTCTGTTTTGGTCCCAAGGAGCCACAGCAGATGTATGCAGGCAGAGTTTTGGGCCCAGGCTCGACACAGGTGTCCTGCGGCACAGTGGAGGGCCGCGGGAAGCTGACTGAAGGTTGCCGCCAGCCTGTCTCGCCTGCCGAGCAGGCAGGTGGATCCTGAGTGTGGGTCCAGGGACATGAGAGATGGTGAAATGTGCCCAGGCAGGGCAAAGCCACAGGGATTTCTGCAGCAGTCCTGACGTGCAAATCACCCTTCTGACCTGGGTGCAGGGACAAAGGACTCAATGAACCACCCAGTGGTTTCTTCCCTCAAAACAGCCGGCGCTCATTACCCAAATCCTCCCGCATTTTCACCTGGCAAAGCCAATGACTAGAAGTCTTGAAGCTGAAAAGATTTCAACCGTTCGCTGGGTAAGAAGTGTGGTTGCTGGGTGCAGAATGTGAGCCGCTTTAGTGGGCCACAACAGCTTATCGCTAACTCACTTGTCTCCCCGGAAGAAATAGGTTTTCCCACTCGGCATCCAGAAAAGAGCGGCGTCGATCCGGTCTGTGGGAAGCCCTCTGCCCAGCTCCTTGATGTGCTTTGGGTAGCCGGGTTCCAAGGTGGCCTCATTGAAGACCCAATGCTTGTCCCCTGAAAGAAGGAAGGCCACCTGATTTCCCAAGATACACCAGCAGCCTTAACCACATCTAGCATTCCCTAGCCAGAGGACCAAACTTCCACCCCCGTCAAACACCACAAAGAATCATGGTGGGGTGCTTTGACTTACAGGCCAAATTTAGCCCGGCACAGGTCCCAATTTGGCCTGCAAGGCTGTTTTCCCATGCAAGGGACTTTGGCAGGACAGCTGCACAGCCCACCTCAGCAATTAAAAGGTATATAAATCACAGTAATAATAATAATAATAAAATTTGGGAACGGGGGAATAATATATTTAGTTATGTAACGTATTGGCATCCCACACTGAGGAAGACCTTGCTGCCTTCGGAAGCAAACCATTCATAACAGTCCACCAACCTTTAAAGAATACGAATTTGCCGTCTTTCCTCTCATAGGCTGTGTTGATTATTGAGGGGAGACCAACCCAGAACTGGCCGATAGGGAGAGGGTGCCCGTCCATCACACGGTTATTCCGGACTCTCCAAAACCATTTGTCCTGGAAAGCAGCGAGTTTCCAAATGCGTCAAATGATGTAAAACAGTGTTTAAATTGCCCTGCGTACTTAGATCGGTGGGTCCATGCATGAGGATATTGATGCTAATGGATGCTGCAATAATAGCTGGTGCTTGCACGCTTTTGCAATTCCACAGTCAGGCTGGGTTTGGGCTGACGTTGGTTACTAATGAAAGTTGATGTTGGGTACTGGTTTCTACATTCTGACTATTAAATTTTTAAAAAAACAACATTTTCAGCCCTTAAGGTTAAACAGACAAGCTTGAAAATACATAGCAAATATTAAGCCTGTGTTTGTGGAGATTCCACTTAGAATGTCAGTAGCTATCAAGGGAACGGGTATCAGAGGCCTACATACACCTTAGTCTGCAACCATGACTAATAGAGGCTTAATAAATTACGCAAAATAAGAAAAATGCTAAATCTCCGTATTCCATATACAGGTTGCAGAGTTCAGGGTTCCCCCCAAAGAAAATCTTGTCGCATAATGATGAATCTATCTCTTTTATGTAGCAAACATAAACCCAAATAATAGCATTTTCAGAGATGGCTCCAAAGCAGGGCTATCACCCTTCCTACAAACTCATAACCTCCCCTCTCTGCTTTGCCCTCCCCACAGCCTAAGGCTCTGATTATGCTCCCCACACTGGGCTAACCTTGAAGACAAACATCTCGCCCCTTAGCACAGCGATGGTGTCAAATCTCCCGTCACAGATGTTGGGGCCGTACGTTGGGTTCTTGGGCGGCCGGTCTGGGACCCGGGGCTTCATAGTGGTTCGAGGGATAGGCGGAGGTTTACTGGGGTGGCCGATTTCGGTTCCTGGAGACAAGGATGGAAAGGGATAATAATCTCAAACCTTTCAGGGCAGGGTTAGGCTCAGCTTTGTGTGTGAATAAAACATGCAATGAAAGTTCTAAGAAGTCAGGGTTACAGCGAAGAACTGGGGTGATTTTAGTTTGGCCTGAGATTTCCCCCTTTTTTGAGGAATTATTAGCCATAACAACTTAAAATCAAATCTCCATGTTCAAGGGCACTATTCCGCCAATTACAAAATGGCAGGGGGCAAACAACAGAGATGAATGACTCCGTTGCGCTCTGGAGCATATCCCTATTCCAAAGAAAGCAGCTAGTTGTCAGTGTAAAGTCAGAAAATCAGCTGAGTGGAACTGGAAGCAGAAAGCCTCAAAGTAGGCCAGGAAAACATGGCCGCCATTCCCTTGAAGCACTCTCTTAATTGGCCATGCTAAGGGAACAACAATTGACATGTGAGAGTGATATAAGAGTAGAAATGGAATCAGGCCAAGGGGTCAGAAGTCACAACGGAAGTTAAGAGGGGTCATACCATACAATTGCTGTATGCCACGCCGGTCATCTTCCGGCAACTCAAAGTTATCCGTTTCCATCCATTGGTAGAAGGGGGCCATGATGGCGGACGGGTCGTTCGAGTGCTCCAAACCCAGTGCGTGGCCCAGTTCGTGCACCGCAACCAGGAAAATGTCATTTCCTACGAGGAGGGAAGCAACGATTTACCAGCGTCCTTTGCAAATGGTTTGCCAGAGTCAACCATCCCCTCAAGATGAAGGACACTGAATGGTTCAAGGAGTGCAAAAATCTTGGTCAAGGGGAATTTAGCACTACTTGGGTCAAGGATAGCTGGACACGGGGCCATTCTTTCACAGATATCGGTTCTGATCGAACAAAGGCTGGGCTCAGGAGAAAATAAGGAATTGGATACAGGGGGTTTCCTTCCTAAGAAGTCCTTCTGCTTTTGTCTAGCACTCACTTCATTATGAGATTTGGGGAACTAGAAAAAGGAAGTGATGTTCTGGCTGGTCTCGAGCCGATGAGGAGAGAGGGGTTCCTTTTTCTCGCCGGTTGTTACTCATAGTGACTCATTCCCACGCAAGGGTTCATCAGTCACGTCTGCCACCATTTACACTTCTTCTTCCTGACATTTTATCTCCCCCCACCCCAAAGTCCTTCCAGCACCTTAAACTTCCACTCACCGCTAAGGTCATCGCTGCGGGAAGTCCAGGGCTCCGCAGCGTCGAAGTGAGTGTCACCACCGATGTGGGGCCCAGGGAAGTAGGCGTGGGCTAAGAAGCCTCCTTCACCATCAAAGGGGGTGCTGTCGCCGTGGAAGCCTTCGGCGAAGAAGATCATGATGTCGGCCTGCGGTTGGCGGCCCTCGCGCACGTCCGAGTAGGAAACCTCGCGGAAGCGCAGTGGCGTTACAGACTGCCACACGCTGAAGGCGCGTCGGATTGCGGTGAAGGTGGCATGTTCTCCTACCTTGGGTGTGTAGTTCTGGATGCTGGAACGGAAGCAGAAGTTGAAATACCAAGGATTTTGGAAAGGCCCGTCTTGATACCTCAACCATCTCAGGCATGTAGGCCTCTGAACCTGCGTTGCTTCCACAAAGGGATCGCTTAGACATCCCTCTCAGGATCCCTAGAATCCTCCTAATCAATCATCCCTGTCCAACCAGCTTCAGATTTCCTTTTGCCCGGCTAAAATGACCTTCCAAGCTCTCCCTCCTTTCTCAGTCACGCACCCCATTTAGCTGCTTCCCCCTCTTAAGATGGCTCTTCAGGCAGGACAATGGTGCCAAAAGCTTGTTATGACTTCTGCCCTTCCTCTGACAGCTACTTTGGGAAACTTTCAGGGAAAACACTGAAAAATAGGGTGGGAAAAATCTGCTCCGTTGCCTGGAAACCTGGATTTGTAGCGCTAAACGTGTTGGCTTATTCGGACCGTCAGATTTCTTCCTATCTTAAGTGTTTAGTTTGAGCAAATGATGTTTGCTAGAATACATGTGGGGCACTCAAAAATGAAGCTGCAGAGCAAGAAATTGAAAGTGGGGCTTGAGGAGTCAGACTTTGCCTTCCATGTAGCTCCCAGGTCTTTCTCAAGAGGCCACTACGCTGCCTTTTTACTCATGCTTTTTGCCTCACTGTCTCATCTCCTAAAAGTTTCCCCCTTTGAAGTCCCACGTTGATTTCAACATCAGGACGACACGAAATGTGTATAAAAATAACCCCATATTTGCATTTTCTTCTGGTAACAAGTCAGAATTTTGCCCCCCGTAATTCTATATCGCCTGCCTTTCTTCTGTAAGAGCCATCCCCACAGCTAATTCTCCTTTCCCACAGATCAGCCCTTCAACTCCCTGCCCCACACCGTCTTCTCTGCCAACCTCACCAAAAAGTAAGATCGTAGTGCGACCACTTCAGCCCTTGGATGGCGTAGCGCCTGCGCCGGACATTGGCCTTGATCTCCGCTCCAAATTTATCTGGGACGCCGCAGCGGGGCCTCTTCATAGCCCTAGAAGAAGGAAGACCCCTTTAAGGTTCCAGCTGCCCTTGAGAAACACATTTCTATCTCACCAAAGTCTCTGTAGGTCGACCTCCCCATGTTAGCCGTGCAGACAACCTGCCCGGGCTCAGCAACTTGTCATGAGGTCAGTCTCTCTTCATGCGCCACCTCTGAGAGAGGGGGACAATGTGAGAAAAGCTTTTTCAGTGATCACTCCCCGATTGTGGAATTGTGGAAAGCCTGGCACCACCACTGCCAGCTTTCAGTTGCCAGGCTAAGTCATTCCTGTTTACCCTTGGTTCCTTCTTGGAATCATACTACAGTACGATTTCCGGCCTGTCTGTGGTGTTAATCATTTAGTAGGCTGGGGTAGCATGTGCCCTTCGTATAGGGTCAGTATTGTTGGAGGAGTGCTTTCAGCAAAAAAATAATAATAATTGTATTTTATTGACGCATTTGCTTTTAAAAGTTCGAAGTGTTTGCATATTTTATGGACTGCTTTGAGACTTACTTTTTAGAAAGCATGAGATAAACTGTGATTGATGATGCCTTGACATCTGGCCAGCATTTACCGCTGCTTCCGTCGGAATAGTTATTTACATTCTAGCCGTTTTGAAACTAGTGAGGGTTGGTGCGTATCGGGACAGGTAGAATGGAAGACATGGGGACGCAACATCAGGTAAAGTCAGAGCCAATGGAAGACAGAGCCAGCTCATTCTAGTTCTGTCTGCCATTCTTCTCCCTGCTGGGTCCTAGAACGGCAACACTGAGACTAAGGGGGAGGAAGCAGACAGGGTACTTCCACCCTGGGGTGGACTGTAGACAGGAAAGCAGGCAGGTGGGGCAGTGGAGTATTTGTACCTACGGGACCGCCTCTCCTGGTATGCCCAGTGGAGGACCTTAAGGTCCACAAATGACAACACTTTGGAGGTCCCAAGCCACAAGGAGGTTAGATTGGTCTCAACTAGGGCCAGGGCCTTTTCAGTACTGGCCCCAACTTGCTGGGACGCTCTGTCACAAGAGACCAGGGCCCTACGGGATTTGACATCTTTCCGCAGGGCCTGCAAGACAGAGCTGTTCCGCCTGGCCTTTGGTTTGGACTCAGTCTGGCCCTCATGTTTCCCTCCCCTTATGGTTTTGATTTACAGGCTACTACTAAAATGAGGCTGCATTTTAAATTGTATTTTAACCTGTATTTTAATTAACGGTTTTTTCTTTTTCTATTACGTTTTATTGTAGTTTTATTGGTGTTAGCAGCCCTGAGCCCGGTTCTGGCCAGGGAGGGTGGGGTATAAATAATAATAATAATAATAATAATAATAATAAGCCAGCCTCTGCCGCTTGAAACTACAAATGGAGAACGATTCAGGATGATGATGCTGTGATCATATACGATGTCCACTGCTATGAAGACCGAAAGAGAAGCAAGACTCCTAAGGAGGCAAAGCCCTGTCTCTGCTCTCTGATTGCACTGATATTATTTATTATTATTTTTAAATTTGTATACCACCCTTCAACCGTAGATCTCAGGGGCAGTTCACAACATAGAAATACAAGAGGTGGCATCATAGACTGAGGAAGCTAAGCCAGTAGCCGCCGGCCCGTAACTCAGACAACCGATTCTGGGTCTTACTGAGAGCAGGAGGCAGGTGACGACAGCTCCATTAGATAGAAGATTGCACGAGGGAACTTTTTGGTGGATTGGGCCCCCATGGATTCATGCGGAGGGGTATCGTTCCGGGCTTCTGCTTCAGGAGCCATAGTGTTGTGGAAGAGTAGCACAAAGTTTTGCATGCAAGAATAGGACCTAGGAGACCTAGGTTTTGAACCCCTACTCAGCTGCCTGGGTGGACCTGAGGCCGATCGCAGTCTCTCTGCGTAACCTGCTTCACAGGGTTGTTCTGAGGAGGGGCTGCTGCCTGAAACAACGGCGGGATACGCACGCCAACTTGTTTCTCCGGCACTGTCGTTTGCCAGCGTGCACACTAAGTCATTCTTTGCCAGTTCCACAATTCCCTCTTCCTTCCTCCACACCCACAATTCTGACTTCCTCTGCCTAGCATAAGAAGCCTTTCTGGGATGCTTTCAGCACAGGGATAAGGAAACCAGTAGCCCCACCCCACCAAAGTTGTTGGACTCCAAGCCCCATCATCCCTGATTAACCCTCTCGCCCAGCCCTTCCCCGTATCATCACTAAGCCAGAACAGACAAGCAAATAACATGTTTTAAAGGGTTTCTCTTGCCCCACTCTTCCTTTTTGCAAAGGATCTCCAAACCAGCTTTCCACAGCTCTGGATGCCTTGGACTACAAATCCCATCATCCAGCGTGTGCACGGAGTTCTTACACTGGTTTATCAGCTTTATACAGGCCAAGGGGTGCCAATTTGCTGCCATTCACCTAGCTCTATATGCCAAACATAGTGGAGATGTGCGAGACTTTTCCCTTTCCCAATCTTTGTTGACCAAGGCAGAGAAGACACCAAGCCTGCCACCTTCAGCTTGGCCATAGCTTGCTGGGCTGGCAGTGGCAAGGCTGGCGAAAGCGAGACAAGGCCAGCTCCAGGCAATGCACATCTCTGCTTGTAGGCAGGAGACGTCCATTCAAGGTGGAGCCTTGCTGAGGCTTTGCAGGGGAGGAGAGCAGAGGGCAGTCCTGGCATACCTCAACAGGCGTGGCAAATAAAATTGCTCTTTCGGCTGGAGTTTGCAATTATGTGACAGGCAAGTGCTAGCCCTAGACTAAACTGGGTTGGAGGGAGCTTAGAAAGAGGGAGCAGAGAGGGGATGGAGAGGGGAAAGGTAAACACTCGTAAAAAAAAAGTTAATTAAATCTTTTGCTAGCTTATAGTTTAGGAACCACTTAATGTGCTTTAAAGGACGACGTTGCACATTGCAGTTGGCAACTACGCACTGCCACCACGAAAGATGAGCCCCCACCCCACAGAGAGAGAGTTCATAATCAAGGGGGGGGCAGAAGTACATACATTTGCCCCCCCCACTGCAAAATTTGTAGATCTGGCACTAGAAGACCCACCATTTCCCACCTGGAAGCTGCTTCTGAGTCCTGTTTAAAATTCTCCTCCTCCTCCTCCTCCTCTGTTCTTTGTACCCTCGCCAAGCTCTTGTGGTGTGGAGTTCCACTGGTCAGCCCTAACTCCACCAGACACTGCTTGCTCTGTATGCAATACTAGGGCCACCCCTGGGACAGGATGCCGCTCAGCCATTCTGCCTGCTTGCCAGCACTGGGAACTGGAAGCCAGCCACCCAGCCACAACCACAGTCCCAGCCTTTCTCTCAGTTACATCATGGCCCTTTTAGGTGGTTTCATAATATCGTGTTCCCACCACCAGCGTTTTGAGAAACGCCATGCGGCATTTTGGAAAAACTGCCCGTAGGCCTTCAAGTCTTCAGAAGTTTGGATAGGAGAAGTTTTCTGAATGCAGGAAGCACCTCGCAAGGGACAAATCTCAGCTCTTGAACTGGTGGTCTTGCCTGTCCTGAGTTCGAGATTTATCATCTATGAGGTGCTCCTTGAATTCAGAAAAGTTATCCTATCCAGTAGAGCTTTATCAAGGCTGGGTCTCATCAACCGTGTACCCCGAATGAGGAAGGCCCTCACAGTTGTCCTCTCCCTCAGTTCTCCTCTTTACCCAACTTAGGCCGGCAGGCAACCAAGGCACACAGTTGCAGACCACATGCCATAGCTGTCAACTTTTCCCTTTTCTTGCGAGGAATCCTATTCGGATTAAGGGAATTTCCCTTAAAAAACGGGAAACGTTGACAGCTATGCCACACGCTCATTTCAAAATGGCTGAAGCACGGTCACTGAAGGTCGCCATGATAGGACCTGTGAGAAATATATCCCATTTGCTTGTTTGATGCTTGGTTTCAGTACGTAGGGAGACAATTCCCCTCTGGTACTGTTTCCCAGTAAAGCAAAACAGTTTTGTTTATTTACCCCCACCCCATGACTAAAAGACCAAGAACTCTTCAGTTGCCACAGCACCTCAGTGAACCATGTAAATACAATCCATTTTTTTGGACATGGTTTGCAATAAATCACTATTGTTATTATTATTATTATTATTATTACTATTTACTGCTACACCTTAAAACTGGGGTCCCAAATGATTTGGGGCCTGGGGCACATTTGGAACCCCCAAAAACTGTTGTAGGGGAGCCTCAAAAGCACGCATTTCCCATGAGAAAACCCAGCAATGCTCAGAAACCCCTCAAGAAAGAAAAGAAGGCAAAACAGCTACAAACACCCCAAAATGAATGAAAACACAGACAAAAAAAAAAGCAGGCAGCAGCCTTCTCTAGAAACATGCAACTCTAAAAAATTAAATTATTGGGAGGGAGAAGAGCGTTATTGCCTTCAAAAGGGCATGGGTCTAAAAGAGATTTTTAAAAAGGGGTCTTCTCTTGTGGGTAGGGGTGAAGCGAAGTTCCCAAGGCTTTTATGGGTGAAAACAGAGAAGAGTTGCCACTGGGTTTTGAAAGGGAGAATTCGTCACGCCAAGGGCCATGGTGGCAGAGGCTGAGCATTGCAACATAGGCGTCCGCGAGGCCCCCTGCCTGACACCCTGGAGAGCTGCTGCCAGCCAGTGTAGGCAATGCTGAACTGGGTGGACCCAGGAAGGAAGCGAGCAGCGGCAGCAGGAGGAAGGAACTCACTTCATGGTCTCGGAGTCCGCCGTGCCCGTCACCTGAAGGCCGTAGAACCGCTGCATGGCCGAAATGGCGGCCGTGAGCGACTGTGGGGAGCGCTGAGTGTGCGTCCGAAGGTCTCCGGGGGGCAAGTAGCCATACTGCTGCAGCCAGGCCTGGGGGGAGAAAGGAGAAGGGTGTGAGAAGCACAGACGGCAGGAAGGACACAAGCAGTGGTCGAAATTCCCCAGGCACGTTTTGCTTATTTATTGCATTTATATCCCAAATTTTTCTCCAAGGAGTACACGGTTGACCCCCCCCCAGTTAATCCTGACAACAACCCTGTGAGGTAGGTTAAGGGGCTGTGACTGGCCCAGTGACCTTCATGGCCGAGTGGGGATTTGAACCCCGATCTCCCAGGTCCTATTCTGACACTCTTAATGGCTCCTGGCTTCCTGGAGCCCTTCTGCAATGGGGCAGCTCTACAAATTAAGTAGGTAAATAAAATATGGGGAAAGCCAAATGTCACTTAGAAAAGGATCTGAAATATTTTCTTTGAAGCTTGAACCTGTTTTATTCTGGGTTGTTTTATTCGACGTTTCAGTGAGTTGGAAACCAATTTTTGAGATTGTTTCTTTAAAATATTAAGCAGTATAGAAATGAAATGAATAATAATCATAACGAAGACAACAAGAAATTCTACCGCAAAAAAGGCGCCTAGACATTGCATTGCAGTGACCAGGTTTAAGGTGCCATTTGGCAATTAGCTTATATATCTCGAGTTTGGTCACAAGCGCACTTGTGAAGCCGGAATCACTGCAAAGGGTACACGACCCAAAAAATGCAGAATGGAAGACTGAGCCATGACAAATTGTTTCAGGATTTTTTCTTTCTTCCGTCCATTTCTACCTACAGGCTTCATTCTCACTAAGATGGTCAAACCTATGTCTGGACTGTGCCACCTCAATCTGCTGGGGGGGGACTCACCTGATTTAAAACAAAAGCCCTTCAGGCAGAAGATGAGCACGGCAAAGAATATCAGAGCAGCCGCCTCTCTGATGTGCTGATATTTTATGCAGGGGGGTTATTTTCATATGGACAGGCGTTTGGGCCTACGTGCCCACCCCTTCGACCATCTGAAGTGGTACAGCCCAGTCTTGGCTCACCGCTTTGGTGAGAGCTTGGCCACAGAATCATAGGGTTTGAAGGAACCAGACACAGATAGAGGCCAACCCCTGGCCTCAGAACAAGGTTTTCCACAAATCCCAGCCCTTCTCCTGCTAGCTCCGCTCACCGCATGCAGGCACGCTCTGGATAGCTCAAGAAAAACAAAATAGCTGGCTGCCTGGAGTGACGGTGGATCAAACAAACTGGGCTGGGGAGCCTGTGGCTTTCAAGACCTCTGCAGGACTACATCTCCCATCATCCTTAGCCACTGGCCACACCGGATAGGGTTGATGGGAGCTGGAGTGCAGCAACGTCCAGAAGGCCAAAGCTCTGACGTAAAAAGTTCAGGAACCTCCAGATTACGAATCCATTTACAAAGGACTTGGAGAATGGGGCACGGGGCTCCGCACTATTGGTATTCTGTGCTTCTTCTATCCCAGTGGTAGGGAAAATTTGGCCTCTTCAGAAGTTGCCGGACTACAACTCCCATCACCCCTGCCCACTGGTCATGCACATTGGGGATGATGGGAATTGTAGTCTATCAACACCCAGAGGGCCACATGTCCCCCGCCCTTGTTCTATGTCCATATACTGTCAGCCCAGCCATACTATCCATGGCAAAGACTCACCGCCCAATAATTGCTGGTATCAATCCCACTCAGTGCTTCCATCTTTCAGCATATTCCCGTCTCTGCCCTTCCCACACTCCTCCCTACATATCAGTCCATTTGTGTGTTCTCTGTTTCCTGCTTTGAGGTAGGGCATCTTTTATAAAGGACACCCCTCAACTATCAAACTTCCCCTCCACATACACCTATCCACCTACATAATCACTTTGCGGTTTCGTTTTTACAATTCAGCGGAATATCAAATTTATGAACTAAACAAATAAAGTTCACAGTGCATTCCTTCTGTTTCCATATATATATATAGTTTATCACGGGGTATGAGGACCTGTTTAGTCCTTTGGATGCCGTCGGACTCCAACTCCCATCAGCATGGTCAATAGCCAGGGATGATGGGAGCTGTAGTCCAACAACACCTGACTGGCCCAGCATCCTCAGTCCTGATCTATTGACTCCATCTTGTTTTCCTTTCTCTGTCCATCCACTTTTCCTCCCCAATCGCTGCCCATCCACCGACTCATTCCCATACGTTCAACTCATCTTTCTGTCCGTCTGCCAATCTGTGAAAAGTATGCTGTGAGCCCAAAGCACCTTCTGATTCAGGAACTGACACATTGTGCCTCTGCGTGATCGCCTTGCCCTCCTTCCCATCATTCTCCACTGGATGAAAGGCAATAGCGACGAACAGGGCATGATAAATTCATTCCATTGCTCCCAATACAAAGAACCACCTGATCTCAAGAGGAGTCATACCCAGAACAGTGACTCATACAAAGGCACAACAGGGGAGGAATATTAAATATATTTTGAAAATTAAAGGAGTACACTTTGGGGAGCCGTGTAAGAGGGTTGGAAGTTGGGGAAACCTGAAATACTCCCAAAATAACACATTCTCCTTATTCTGCCTGTCCGTCTGGACCAGCTTCAGCTCAGTCAGTACAGCAGGAGACTCTTAATCTCAGGGTTGTGGGTCCGAGCCCCACATGCGACAAAAGATTCCCGCATTGCATGGGGTTGGACCTTGGGGTCCCTTCCAACTCTACAATTCTGTGATGACTGTGGCTGGTGCTAAGGGGAACTTACCCCACACCCTGCCCCCTGCCCAGTTCAGTCAGGGGAGCATCAAATGCAACCTTAAGTTCCACGAATTTCAGTGGGATTTATTAAGTGCTTCCTTCACTTATCACTTGCTTTGTGTGTCAGCTCCTGCCAGGCACACAGGCCTTGTGGTTGTCTCAGTTCCTCCCCGCTCACCGCCCCACTGCTCCCCTTCCATTGATCTTTACAGTGAATCACTCTGTCTGCAGCCATTTTCAGGCATAGTGACCCTTGGAAAAGCAGGCTGGGCAAGGCTCTCCTCAGATCTAAGACGCCTGGGATCAGATCTTCAGATGCTGGTCTCTGCAACGCTTTTCGGGAGCTGCTCTTGTGGCGAGACTGGAATTGAGCAGCATGAAAAGAACAGAGCAGGAAGAAGAAGAAGGGGAAGGGGGGGTCATCTCTACAAGGAACTGTGGTTCAGGATTGACACTCATTATAGATCATCTCCTTGCGTAACATCAGGTGATTCAAAAGGGATGTTGCTCAGAGGGAGAAACCCAGGAAACAAGCAGCAAATGAATTATTGTGGGGAAGACAGAGAGAAGAACTGGGAAAGGAGAAGAGTTAACTCTTTGTGATGCGATAGGTTTTGCAATGGCAATTCTCCCACCTCTGCAAAATGCAACTGCATGGCCGGATCATTTAACAGGGCCTCCTAGCCTGTCAATCCATTTCCTGACAGCAGGCAACCCCAAAAGAACGTCCTGAGACATAAGCAGGGCAGGTCTTTCCTGATATCTATCCCCGGTGCCTGTTCTTTACTCAGAGGTAGACTGCCTCTGCACATGGAAGTGTCATTTAGCTACAGAGAGAAATGTTTCTCCCTCTCTCGGAAGACCAGAACTCAGGGGCACGCCATGAAAAATCAGCTGAGAGGGCAGACAGTGCAACTTGCAAAGGTATGACAATGGCCAGCTTGGCTTGAAGGGCATTAGAGGGGCAATCATCCACATTCCCAGAAGGAAAGAGAGGTCTGTCTGTGATTACTGGCCTTGACAAATGAAATACTGTAGAACCTCCAGGCCTAGTAACAGTGTACCTCTCTCAATGCCAGTTGCTGGAAGGGCACAAATACAGGAGAAGGCTATTCTTGTTTACATACACTGCTTGAGAGTTTCCTGGCCACCCCTAGAAAGAGGATGCTGGATGAGATCAACTCTTGGCCTGATCCAGCAGGGCTCTTCTTCTATTCTGGTGTTCTTATCATGGCTGGTAGCCATTGGCAGCCCTGTCTTTGGAACACCCTAATTTTGGCTTTTCATACAGTGGATGATACAACACAGCTGCTGCCCCTCTGTCTGCAAGTTTTATTTTTAATAGCTGTCAAACAATCCAAGAGGGGTTTTTTTTTAGCTGATTAATCACCTACCTTTTAACCAATTCATCAGCTGATTAAAGCCCACTGGGGAGAGTTATTAGGTTGTTGTTTTTATTTTGATTATATATTTTGTGGTTTTATATTTTGATTTTGTTCTGTGAACCGCCCTGAGACCTCCTGGTATAAGGAGGTATAAAAATTCAATACATAATAATAATAACAAAGCACTGACCCAGCTTAGCCATGGTTTAGTGCGAATGCACAAACATGCAGGTTTCCTGGATAGCAGATTGTGACCACTTCTCCTCCTGCACTGCTGTTTGCTAAGACATGGTTTGGCTTAGCATGCTGTCTGAAGATGGCCTTTTGAGATGCAACCAAGGTTTGTTCTATGGTTTTACCATTCATGGATAAACCACAAGTCTGGGATCAGACATAACACCTTGCCAAACCATAGCTTCACTCACAACAGCAGCAGCTGGGCCAGAGAAGGAACAAAACAGCCACAACCTAGGAATCTGTTTGCTCTTTCCCACTTAAACAATGGTTTGGGGCTTAGTGCTTTGGGTACACTGAGCCAGTGAGATGTACTTTGAAGTAAACACACACACGACTGCACTAAGTTTTAAGAAACATAGAAACTTAGGTTGGTTTGACAGCTGTGGCCTTTCTTGAATAGCAGTAGTCTGGCCACCCTGATCTCTAGCACCCTCCAGCTTGGACTACTATAATGTGCTATGCATGGGGCTGCCCTTGAATACAGTTCAGAACCTTCCCCTAATACAGAATTCACCTGCTAGCAATCTACATGGTTTATCTAGAGACATAGGACTTCAACTCTGAAGGACCCACGCTGGCTCCCTATTCACCAGATATGATAAGCCATCTTCAAATATCTCAAGGGCTGTCACCTGGAAGAGGGGACAGGCTTGTTTTCTCCTGCTCTGGAGGGTAGGATTCGAACCAATGACTTGAAATCACAAGAAAGGAGATTCCGACTCAACATCAGGAAGAACTTTCTGGCCTAAGAGCTGTTTGGCAATAGAACAGTCTCCTTTGGGAGGTTGTGGACTCTCCTTCCTTAGAGGTTTTCAGGCAGAGGTTGGATGGCCATCTGTCATGGATGCTTTAGATGAGATTCCTGCATTGCAGGGGGTTGGACTGGATGACCCTTGGGGTCCCTTCCAACTCTACAATTCTATGATTCTACCACAGAGACCAGTTCAAGGCGATGCTGCCCTAAATCAACCTTCAGCAGCCTGATGCTTGCACTCCTGGTTCTGCACTCTCCATCACCCTTTAGCCCCGGCCAGCATGACGATGGGAATTGTACTCCAAAACACTTGGGAGGACACAAAGTTAGCAACGTCTGCTGTATAAGAGCCTGGGGTTCAAATATCTGCAGCAGTGCCTCCTCTTGTGCCAAGCTGCTTGAGCTCTTAACATCACCAGAGGAGATCCTTTTCCACACTCCACAAAAGGAGAATACTATGCATGCACAATCTTATATGTGCTTACTCAGAAGTAAGGTAGTATAGTGGTTAGAGCGTTGGACTAGGGCCTGGGAGACCAAGGTTCAATTCCCCCCTCAGTCTTGGAGCTCGCTGGGTGACCTTGGGCCAGTCACTGTCTCTTAGCCTAAAGTACCTCCCAGGATAAGATGAGGAAGGGGGAAAACCATGCTACTTTGAGGAAAGGTGTGATATAAATCTAATAAATAATCAAAACAAGTATTTGATGGGGCTCGCTCCTAGTAAGTGTGCTTAGACTTGCAGCCTAAACCTTTTCCTGATATATTTGGCCTTACTTATGAGAGTTAAGTCAAGTAAGTGGGCACAGGGAAATGGGGACTTTAGGGTCAAAGTGAGCAGCAATGTATACCCTACATTTCAGACTCTATACATAAAGGCCTTGTGTGCGTGTTTTTTTTCCAGAAACACACCCCCTTAAGGCAAAGATTTAAAAAAAGAACTTGGAGCAGGCCCAGGTGATGATGTCAAGGAGCCTGACAAATTTCGACACCCTCGGGCGTTGCCAATTATTTTCTTGCCTTCCTATCCGTCCACGACGTTTCCACCCCCCCCCCCAATTTCCCTTGCTCTACTCGCCAACGTTGGGTATAAAAAAAGACCCGTGCCCCCGCTTTTTTCCGCTTGCTCTCCCTTCGCACTCCCTCTTGCCTCCCTTCCCTCGCTTCGGGATGGAGCGGTCCCTAAAAAAAGTCACCGTGTCTCATCCCTGAAGTCTCAGAAATATCCCTTGGAAGAGAAAGAGACACAAACAACCCACAGCCCACGCAGCTTTTGGGTACAGTAACCGTCCTGCCCTCCTCCTTCGTTTCATCCTAGGCCAGAGCCTTCCTTAGAGTGAATTCCCCAGCCATCCCCGGGCCTTCGCTCTTGTCCGAGCAAACTTGCAAACTTCCTCGAGGGTTCAGACAAGGCCCTCTTTTGTCTCGTCCCTCCCCACATCCTCATTCCTGGCATTCAGACCCCAGTGGCTTAAGGTCACAGCCGCCAACCCCCTTTCAGAGCTGGTATCGCCACTTCCCTGAACTGTTCTTTCCTCTGCCTTCCTATGCTGGGTCCATTTCCTTTTCTTCTTGTTATTATTTTTTTCCCAATTGTAAAATTGGCTGAGAACACCCACATGAAAAGCTGCCCTTTTCCTGCCTGGGTTCTTTCGCCATATTCCTCTCTCTCTCTCTGCATTCATTTTTTCTTCCAAACTTATCACAACAATTAGGTTACAAGGTAAAAAACACCCTTCCAGTTGCATCTTCTGCCAGTGGATGTCCACCACCATCATTCTAGCCCTCATTGATCCCCAAGTCCTTCACAGCTCTTTCTTCCAAACCAGCCACCAAGGCCACAGACTTCTTTGTTCCTCTGAAGACATTTCAGGACTTGATTCGGGTTCTTCCCCCATAACATAAAATATTCCCAGCTACCACAAAAAATGTGTGTGTGTGTTTCAGCAGCAAAAGTTGCTTGGATCGGCAATAAAAGCAAGGAACAAAAAGAAGACGAGAAAGAAAGGAACTGTAACAATAACAGACACGCCGTCAAAAGCCAAGGAAAAGTTGGAAGGAGACCAAGGTGGTTTGTTTGGGGGTTTTTTTTCCTTCAAGGATTGCGTAACTGAGAGCAGTGTGATCAAGAAAGAGGGAAGGAAGATGGAAGAATGATGGATGGGGAGCCTGAGATATGTATGGCTAAATGGAGAAATATGGACGAGAGATGTTCAATGGGTGGCAGAGAGATGGCAGACTAAGAAGTAGATAAGATTAGATGATTGATGGGCAGGTGGAAGTTTTTTTTAAAGGGAGTTGAAAGTAGTTTGAGACAGACTTCACTCTCTCTGGTGTATACACATAATTCTTTTGTCTGGCTGAGTGAGGCAAAAAAAAAGAATGAAAAGGGATGATGAGTGTGACCACCACAAGTAACAATCCCTCTTTCAGGCTCCCTTCAAAACAGTGGATGGAGAGAGAGATATAAGCGGACAAGCAGACAGATAGATATGGGAAGATAGGGAGGGAGTTTGAGAACAAAGTGGGCACAGGAAAAGGGTCACAATGAAAGAGGGAATTATCTGCTTGTTGAGAATGGTGAAGGCTCAGAAGCAAGGAATGAATTGTGACTTAACATTACTTGATTTATAAAAGAGCAGGGAGCCAGTTCAAATAACAGAAAGGAAGGAAGAGATTACATGACAATCTGATGGACTGTTGCAAGCTGCCTCGAGGGTGTCTGGGTGGAAATGGTGGTGTGTGAACCCAGTACATAAATGCAAATAAATAAAACTTTAAAAGTACATAAACAAAGGGGTAGGGAAGGGAAGGGAACAGGCAAGCTGGATTTCCATCCACTTTAGGGGAGTTTAAGCTGAAATATTTCTCCTAAAGGGAAGAAAAAGGTTGTGAAAGAGAATAAAGGCCTTAAAACGAAGGGATTTTGGTAGACATCAAGGGGGGGGGGCAGAAGGCATGAAAGTGTTTAAGCTGACGGGCAAAATCAAGGAAGAAAGGGAGCTTGCATCAAAGGGACAGCCATCCAAAACTGGAACACGAAAGCGCAGGGAAGTGAGGGAATGGGGAAGGTTGGCAAAAGAACGAATGGAACAGAAAATGTCTTGGCATAGAAAACACCATCTCTCTGTCCAGCTGCAGAACACATCCAAGAAAAGAGGGGAGGGATGAACACAAAGGATGGTAAAAGAAAAAGCAAGGGAAGAGTAGATGGAAAGAACAGCTGGAGAAGGAATGTGAATAAAAGAATAGGAGCAAAGGTGATGGGAAGTTTGGCAGAAGGGAGATACAGGAAGGAAAATTCAGAACGTGCCTGACTCGTGAAGGGGCGTCTCAAGAAGAAGAAAAGGGGGAAAGATCAGGAGTGATTGGGAAAGGCCATACTGACCACCAGGGAAGGGTGGGTGTCAGAAGCTTCCTAAAGGAGGAGTGCTGTGGAAGGCAGAACACATACAAAGGAATTTGCAAAAAGGAAGGCAGAAATATTAAACTGCAAACAGCAATCGAGCAAAGGGGGGAAATCAATACGCCCAGTCAATGGGAAAAGGTGAAGGCTCTGTCATTGGAGAGATGGAAGAATCCTGTTTAGGTGGAGGTTGATATATAAGTGGAGAATAATGTGTGCCAAGCTGAAAGCGAATGAGTGTGGCAAAGGCCGAGGGAAAGAGAGAGCAAAGGAGAGAGAGAGGGAACGGAGCCATCTCTGCAGCAGACAAGTGGAGACAAGAACATCGAAGAATGGAGCATTTAAGAGAACTTAGCAGGAGGGGAAGGCACAGAAGGAAGGAATGAGAAACCTGGGCTGGCAGAGGAGTGCAGAATGCAAACGAGGGAGAGAGAGAGAGGTGAGAGAAGAGTGAAACAAGGGGGAAGTCTACTGCGGGAGCAAGAGAATGAGAGAGCGAGGCAGAGGGCAGGAAGAAGGGAGTGCGAAAGCCAGCAAGTGAAGGGGTGGAAAGAAGGGGGAGATCTTCTCCAATGGGTCTCATTCATAGCAAAAAACAATAATAATGAAGGTTCCCCGGAACAAAAGCGCACCAAGCGGGAACGTGGAGAATGAACTGTCCGGTAAGGAAAAGAAAAGAAAAGGAGGGGGGGAACGTAAGGGAGGAGGAAAGCAGAGAGCAAAGGAGTGGGGAAGGCAGGCGGGTGGAGGGATGCAAGGGAAGGAACGGAGAAGCAGGTCGGGCAAAGGAAAGCCTGGGAGATTAAGAGAGAAAGAGGAGGGAGGCACGGAGGAAAGCTGGCCAGGAGGAGCTGGCATTACCTCTCTCCCCCCTTCCCTCGATTTTGCAGGGCACTCACCTCGGGGCTGAAGCGGGAGGTGGAGGATCCGCGGGGCAGGAGGGCGCTCAGGGCCACAGCGAGGGGCAGCAGCCGGAGGAGGGCGAGCCACGGACACATGTTGCTTCTCCCCCCGAGTGTGGCGCTCTGTGGCGATCCCACTCACCCGAAAGCCTTTTTTTCCCTCTCCCCCTCTCCCTTTCTCCCGTCGTGCAAAAAAGAAAAAAGTTGCTGGTGTCGAGTTTCTCTGCCCCTCCCTCTCTCTCTCTCCTCTCCCCTCCTCGCACTGCTTTCCCTCGCTCCCTCCTTCCGCCCCGTCTCTCCCCCTCGCCCAAAGTGGAGACGTGGTCGGGCGCGGGGTCTGGCTCCAATTAGAGGGTTGCGAGGAGGATGGAGAGAGAGAGAGAGAGAGAGAGACTCCCCTCGGAGGGGAGAAGATGGGAGGAGGGAGGGAGGAGGAAAAGAAAGGAGAGGAAGAAAGGCAAGGAGCCTCCAGTCTTGCATGCGCCTGGGAGGCAGCAAAGCCTATTGAGCTCAACTGCTGAGCAGAGGATCTCTGCACATGCGGCCGAAATGCATGCATGCTCTTTCTCGCTTCCACCACCTCTTTTTCCCCATCCCCTGATTCTTCCTTTAACGCCGTTAAAGTTCGGGGCAGGAACTTAATGTGACTGCAGCGACTACTATTGCATGCATATGCCGCCTTTCCACCCAGGAGCTCAAGGCGGCATGCATACATGGATCGCTCCATTGCTGTCAGCTTTCCCCATTTTTTAAGGGAATTTCCCTTATTCCGAATAGGATTCCTCGCAAGAAAAGGGAAAAATTGACAGCTATGGTTCGCTCCCGCTGTCACCGTTGCCTGCTCGCAGCAATCCTAAAAGGTAGGTCAGGCAGTGGAAGAGGGAGGCTGAACCAAAGTCACCTCCTGAGGCTCATGGCTGAGTGGGGATTGAACCCCGGCCCAGTGTCGGATTTCTGTAAGCTAAACAAGCTATAGCTTAGGGCCCCACTCTCTTGGGGCCCCCCAAAAAAATTAAAGGGAAAAAAACTTGATGTACATTTCCAAAATATAAGATAAAAAACAAAATAAAACCTACATACAGCAACAGTGTTTTGTGTTCTGTAGGCTCCTATTTTGTTACTTTAGATACCTATTAGGTCCATAAATTACCATATACTGTAGCATATATTCAGCACAAAAAACAGCAACAATTTGTTGTTGACAAAGGACAGTTGGATATATAAAGGGCCCCATTACCTTCAGTAGCTTAGGGCTTCATCAAACCTAAATCCGGACCTGCCCTGGTCTCCCAGGTCCTGCACTCTAACCACTACCCCACATTGCCTTTCTGGTCTTTCTATCATGTTATTGGTGGTGGTGGTGTTATGCTATCACTGTGCCTGGCAAAATAATTATTATTATATTATTATTATTACTTTATTATTTAATAATTTCATTTATTCCCAGCCACTCTGGGTGGCTTCCAGCACATATTATTATTATTATTGTTGTTATTTACACAGCTTGGGTATTCTCCGAATGTAGAGCAATGTGTAAATTCTGAAATTAATTAGGTAATCAAATAATAGAATCATAGAGCTGGACAGGACCCCGAGGGTCATCTAGCCCAACCCCTGCAAGGCAGAAATCTTTTGCCCAACATGGGGCTCGAACCCACAACCCTGAGATTAAGCATCTCATGCTCTACCTACTTGAGAGGGAGGAAGAAATTCAGATCTAGAAAGGGGACTGGAATTCCCCTCAGGAAAGGTTGCAGCATGTGGGGCTTTTCAATTTAAAGAAAAGGCAAGTAGAGGCAACAAGACCAAATTTTATGTAAAATTATGCAAGTCATGGAGAAAAGTGGTTAGAGGGTGCTTTTTCCCCACCCCCTCATAATGCTAGAAACTTGCAGACATACGAAGAAGCTGAATGTTGAAGAATTTGTGTCTGAGGAAAGAAAGATCTTCTTCACACAGCACTTGGTTAAGTTCTTGGAATTTGATCCTCACAGGAGGTAGGGAAGTCGTCCAAGTTGGATGGATCTGTAAAGGGGATTAGACAAATTTGTGGAGCGGCTACTAGCCACAATGGCTATATACTCTGCCTCCACCGGTCAGAGGCAGTAAATGCTTGTGAATCCCATCTGCTCGAAACTGCAGAAAGCGAGAGTGTTGCTGCGCTCAGGTATTTCTCACATGCTTCAATCTCACAGGCACCTGGCTGGCCGCTGTGACAACAGGATGCTAGGCTAGAGGGCCAGGAATAATAATAATAATAATAATAATAATAATTTATTTGTATCCCGCCCATCTGGCTGGGTTTCCCCAGCCACTCTGAGCGGCTTCCAACAAAGATTAAAAGTACATTAAAATGCCACACATTAAAAACTTCCCTGAACAGGGCTGCCTTCAGATGTCTTCTAAAAGTCAGGTGGTTGTTTATTTCCTTGACATCTAAAGGGAGGACATTCCACAGGGTGGGCGCCACTACCAAGAAGGCGCTCTGCCTGGTTCCCTGTAGCTTTGCTTCTCACAGTTGGGGAACTGCCAGAAGGCTCTCAGAGCTGGACCTCAGCGTCTGAGCAGAATGATAGGGATGGAGACGCTCCTTCAGGTATACTGGGCCAGAGCCGTTTAGGGCTTTAAAGGTCAACACCAACACTTTGAATTGTGCTCAGAAATGTATTGGGAACCAGTGTAGGTATTTCAAGAACGGTGTTATGTGGTCTCGGTGGCCGCCCCCAGTCACCAGTCTAGCTGCCGCATTCTGGATTAGTTGTAGTTTCCAAGTCACCTTCAAAGGTAGCCCCACATAGAGCGCATTGCAGTAGTCCAAGCGAGAGATAACTAAAGCATGCACCACTCTGGCGAGACAGGAAGCTCTACTTATGGAACAAAGGGTTGGAGCAGGAGGAGCAGGTTAGGTTAACGGGGTGACAGCAGTCACACCCCGGGAAACAGTTTCAACTGGCCGGAGGCGAGGGTAGCCGATGGGTCTCAAGTCCTCAGTGAGTTAGGGACTTCCTCTGCAGGTGAAGACAGGCTCTGGCGGATGGAGAGGATGAGACCGAGAGTGGGTCCAGTGGTCAAGAAAGCGGTTTCTGCATGTCTTGTAGAGAGAAGCGAGGGGCAGACAAGGCTCGCCCACCTGGGAACATAACCCATCTAGGAGAAGGGAAACTCTGATCCTAAACCTCCGCTGCTTTGTATCTATACTCATTTGAGAGAAAGGGCTTTAGGAGTCAACCCCAAGGACAAATCCGTACCCTCTGTCTTGTGGGACATCTTAAACCCTACTCAGATCTGGAGTGGAGTCCCTAAGGGGTTGGAAGACGTCTTGTATGCCTCTTTCCGGCAACTCCTGCAGCCAAGCTGTTGCCAAATGTTTTGCTCTGCTTTCGTTTGGACCACAAAAGTGAGACCGGGGCAAGGGGTGGGTGTGTGCGCCTTGTTGTCTGGCCAGTCCAGGACCTCCATACACACTGCCCAGGCTTGCATCCCAAACAGGTCGGTGAGTGCTGCTAAAACAGCAAAAACAACATGGGAGGCAGCAGTTACGAGTTACCGGTCTCTGCAGCCACAGCTGGCGCTGTGATTCTGGGATGCTGGGATGCTGGTTTCTTTTCCAGTGAACAAAAAAATGCTATGGCCTGGGACTCTGCGTCTACCTCCGGGTGCAATGTGCTTCAAGCCAGAGCTCACCCCCACCCAGATTTCAGACCAGAGAGGAGGGCTGGGCTGAGCAAACCGGTGGTCTTGGCTTCCAGAGAAAGTGAGGAAATGGTTGGAGCCAAAGGCCTTCCTGGGGTTGTGTTCTGCCAAGTTGTTAAGACAAACATGTTACAATGCGGGGATTACTTAGCGAGATTCTGCTCCAGCTGCTCTGCCCTGGAGGTTTGCTTGAGCACCGTCTATTTCAGAAGTTGCACCGCCGCCTTTCTTAGCAGGGCAGACAGGTGGGCGCATCTTGTCTACGAGAGGCGGTGACTCAGACGCACAAATGGTCTGCGCAAACCCAGATATTCCTAATATCCGCTTTGCGGGAGGATATGAAACGTGAAGTCATTAGGGGCTTCCTTCCTGATAAGGATGGACTGTTCAGAAGCGCTGGGTGGCAGCAGCCAGCCAGCACTGGGCGATTGCCAAATTCTGGGCATGGGAATTCTCCGGTGAGGCCTGCCCTGTGCCTACTTAAGACCACACCTGAGGATTATAGGATGGCCGCTCCCATTTGAGGCAGCCCACATCCCACCATCTCTCACCACTCTGCCTCTTTTAAGAGGGTCTCTCTTTCCACAGAGGGAAAACAAGCTCTGCCCTGCTTTCTAGGGCAAAGCCTGCAAAGCCAACTCTGTTTTGGAAGAGTAATTCCAGGTATGTGTGCTGTGGACTTTGGCATCGCTTTATCGCCCCACACATGAAACACACACACACCTTTGCGCTGAAACTTTGGTTCCAAGAATTAAATCTAGATGGGATCTGGGCCCTTGGTGGTAGTTCCACTGCCCTCAGAAGTTGGGGGTGGGGAGGGCAGTAGCCCAGGAAGAGGGCATTTTCTGTGGCAGCCTCTTAACCATGGGTAGGCAAACTAAGGCCCGGGGGGGCCGGATCTGGCCCAATTGCCTTCTAAATCTGGCCTGCGGATGGTCCGGGAATCAGCATGTTTTTACATGAGTAGAATGTGTCCTTTTATTTAAAATGCATCTCTGGGTTATTTGTGGGGCATAGGAATTCATTCATTTTTTTCCAAAATATAGTCCGGCCCCCTCACAAGGTCTGAAGAACAGTGGACTGGGCCCCTGCTGAAAAAGTTTGCTGACTCCTGCTCTTAACTATTTCCTCCCCAAAGAGTTGTGTCCTGGCACTTTCACTATGCACTTTCCGTTGTATAGTAAAGATGCAGGTCTTTGCTTTTCCTGGCCTTGGAAACTATATAGAAATAGGTAAAGGGATATAGATGACCCACCCTATTATCTCACCTGCAACTTGCTTTTAACTGATATTAACATTACATTTATACATCCCTGTAATCCACCCTGAGTCTCTATAGGGAAGGGAAGGGAAGAAAACACCATCATAACCCAAGGGTAGAAATCAGCAAATACAGTCAGTTCTGCAGTGCTACTGGTATTGTTTAGAAATGTGACGTGAATGCAGTTTTTCTCCCTCTCTCCTAATGCTAGGGCTGCAGACAAGAGCTGGCGTCCGTCTGTCTTGGGAGACAATGGAAAAGTGCGCCTTTGGGGATTAATTCAAACCATTGGAGAGTTACGGCGCCTGCTGTGGCTGTAGGGACTAATACGGGAGAGACATGTTTATTGCAGCCAGGGCAGATCAATACATCCAGTTTCGCTGTTGCAGCATCTCTTTTCTCTGCACTCCTCCCAGCAGTCATTCCTCCTCTGGTCACTGTGGGTACACAACCTGTCTGTCTGTCTCCTGGTTCTGTGGTCGTCTGCAAGGGATTCCCACACGGCCAGGTTGATATTGCCAGCACTCATGTCATATTTGTGGACATCTTTGTAACGCAGAATTGGTCTGGTGCCTGAAGCCAGCCCCCCATAGAGCGCGTCCTTGGGGATCCTGCCCTCTTCAATTCTGTGTACATGACCAAGCCAGTGTAGACTCGCTGAGACAGGAGCGTGAGCATGCTTAAAGCACATTCAAAGCACTTCCTCCCACCTTCCAGAAGCTCCACTTGTTAATTGCAAATACGTGTGCAGAGGCTGAGAGGATGGCACTCTGTGCATTCTCAGAGGCCGCATTTACTTCCACATATACAACTGCTTCCCGCGGAAAGGGTGTGGCCAAGCTTGTGATGCAGTGCTAAGTGGGTGTGGTCAAAGGAGAAAGGGGTGGAGCTAGTGGGCTGAGAGGTTTTCAAAGCTGGCACCACTGCCTTACTGCCTCTGGTGGGTTTCAAAACATCCAACCATTGCTGCTGCCACTGTATTGGAAAAGGAGAAGGAGTTAATTTAAAAACCAGAGGACAAAAACATTGCCCAAGCGATCAAACTTCTGCAAGCACAATTCTCGATGTGAGCGAATCGAGAGACTGAACAGAAAATTAAACTAATGAAACAGGAAAATTTCTGAATTTGCCAATAAACCAGGTAAATTGTTAGCACGGCAGCTTAAAAGTGAACCTGCAGCCTTTCAAGAGGACTAATAGGAAGGAAATCGAAAGGGTGTGTAGGGGAAGCAAGTCAAGTCAGTGGAGGATGTTGATTTTGCAAATGATGTGGGCTTCCCCTCTCAGCAAAAAATTATCCCCCCTCCTTCTCCCCCCATCCTGCATGTCTCTCTCTGATCCTTGTCTGCTCCCCTGCTGGGTGGGGACACTGGCTCCTACAATTGACTCAGCAAACACTGATTTTTGCTGAGTTGGAAGAAGAGAGACTCCTCTTGGCCACTTCAGCCAAAGTGGGGGAGGCGGTGGGAAGACCTGGGGGCTTCTCTCTCTTCTCTTCTCTTCTTTCTCTCTCTCTCTCTCTCTCAGCTCTGCCTTCTCTAGCCCGCAAGATCCCTCTCTCCCACTGGGGAGCTTAGCTATAACTTGGTAACCACCAAAACAAAACCCATTAGTCCTGGTGGCACCTAGCTCCCTTCCTCTCCCCCCCCCCCAGCTGTAACTGAGGAATCCTGCTTCTCTGCCTACCCCCCTACCCACCCATCAAATGACCTCCTTTTGCAATCTCATTACACCCACCGCAAACATCTACATCCTTCCTCCCAGGTATGGTGGGGTGGGGTGGGGGGCGGCTCAGATTTAATCTGTATGATCACTGGAGCATGCTTCCCCTTCCTAGAGAAGAACCCCAGGAGTCCTGGGACCCAGCCAGCACAAGAAAAGAAGAGAAAATGCATAGGGCAAAGGAGAAAGAGGAAGTGGGAAACCTTAAAAAAAAATTAAAAATCTGGGATCAGCAAAATGTAAACGCCAGGAACCACGTCTGGAGACCGACAGCAAGAGATCCAAGTTCCATGGAACGAGGGGAAAAAAAGAAAATGTTTTGTGTGTGTGTGTGTGTGTGTTTTTGCTCTTCGTGCAGAATATACCGTACTTTTGGGAAAAGGCCATAGCTCTTGGTTAGGATTAGGGTTAGGATTCCATAGACATGCACTTAAAAGAGAAGGGAATACCCAGCAGTTTCTAGTGCAATGAAATGCAGGGCGACAAATATTCTCCATCCACCTTCTCTATGCTATGCATAATTTTACAAAATTCTATCATGCCACCTTTTATTGGCCTTTTCTCTAAAAAGTCCCAAATGCTGCAAAAAATACTTCGAGAGCACTGCTTGCCTGTTTGGAAATAGTGCACAAGGAAGGGGGAATCGCTGTTCCGAATTCCAGAGGTCCCAGAGATTAAGCTTGATGTGAAAGGACTACCCTCTAATTTAGTGGAAATGGGTTTAGGTTGGTGTGTGATGTGAGTGGAAGTGCACTCTGCACATGGTCAAAGATTGTATTGTCTTTATAATGGCTTGCATGTTCCAGCTCCAAAGTGCTCGGGCTCATATCTTATTATTTGACTGTTAGATTTATTATAAATTCATATCACCCTTATTCGAAGGAGCTACACTTCCTTCTCCTCCCCTCCCCCCATTTTACTCTCACCACAAACCTGTCAGGTAGGTTCTGCTGAGAGACACTGACTCATTCAAGGTGACATTAAACCCTGTGCCACAGAATATTTGTCCCATAGTAGTTATTCCTGGCTCCATTACTGCATTCCGATCCTTTTGCATAAGAAGGTGTGTGAAAAATCCCAGCTACTTGGTACCCACCCTCTTTGGTCCCCTAGGAAGTCCCTGCTAAATGGCAGTTGCCCAGTCAATCTATAAAATAAGTGAAAATTAGAACCTATCCATAAACAATCCCTTGTCAAATGCATTCATGAGTTCTGGTTAGGGGGGAAATCCTGCGCACTGTAGATTAGATTCTAGACTCTGCACATAATACCCTGAGGTATCATGGCAAGCTAGTATAGATAATAGTGGAATATTTACCTATTGGTTTTGGTGAGGGCCTGTTTTAGTTTTGCACATGCCACTGTGACAGGTTAGTACCACTGGGTTTCCTTGCTGCTGCTGTTTTGGTCATCAAGCTACCTAGGAGGGCCAGAGTGCTAGAAGCTAGTTGGGATATAAATGCGCTCCCAGCTTCTGATGTTAGCAGGAATGTGTTAGCACACTCTGTTGCCTGCTTGCATTCAGTAAAACTATATATTAATCATCCTGATTATTCTGGGGCAGGCAGAAGAAGGAAGAAAAAAGAAGAGCGAAACAGCTGGGGAGAGACAATGATGGATGAGATGCAACTCTTCGCAAAAAGGGTTAAAGCTGGCAATAGGAAACGGGGGCGATGGGGGAGGAATGCAACCGGCAGCCTGAGCAAGCAAATTTGAAACCTGCAATTTGAGGCCTGGGTGGCGCTTGGCTCCGCTTCTTGTCCCGGCTTGCAAAATCGCGCCGGAGACGCTAGATGGCGCCAAACGCTGGCCAACGGCGGAGTCCGGGAAGGGGAGGAGGTTGGGATTAGGAGCGCCCACTCTTAAAAGGACAGACCCACATAACTTCGGGCAATTTGGTGGGGTGGGTGTGAAATGGTATTTATTCCCCCCAGGGCAAGCAGGATCACAAAAAGGGGAGGTGACTCTTCCGCTCGATCCTTTTCGATGGGAAGGATTCAGAAGGAGGGGGGTGGGAATTGTTTGAAAGATCAGGTTTTCATGTAAACACCGGTGTCACTCCGGTTTAATGCCCCCTATTGCTTTTTGTGGGTCCTGCTTCGTTTTCAGATCGGCAGAGTCTCTCCCTCTCTCTCTTTTTCCTTTTTTGAGTCTTTCCCCACATACCCACCGGTGGGGGGGGGGATAATTAAATGCAAAAATTGCTGGCAGTGCCACGAAGTAGTTAAAAAGAGGAGGAGGATGGGTGTGCGTGTGAAAACAAGAATGAGGAAAGGGGAGGGTCAGGAAGGAAGAGGTCACGTGGCTCGCCCCTCCACCTCTCCACCCCCCCACCCCACCCCGCGCTCCTCCCCGCCACGGGCTGAGAAAGTTGCAAAGGCAGGAAGTGGAAGGAGGAAACAAAAGTTTGCAAACATTCGGGGCGGAGAGGAGGGCGACGGGGACGCGTCCTCTGCAGCGCCAGGAAAAAACACCCCGAAAAACAAGAAACCCCGGGGAGGAGTCGGCGGAACGGGGCGCCACGAGGCCCGAGGCCGCGGCGATGGGCCACCAGCAGCGCTGACTTGGCAAAGGGGCCGGGGATGGAGGCGTAGAGGTCAAAGCTGGGGAGGGAAAGGCGCGAGAAAGTGAAAGCGGCCGGCTTCCCTCGCAGATTCGGGGGAGTCTTTTCTTTTGGGGGGGCTTATCTCCTCTCCACCATCCCCAAGGAAGGATCCACCGACCAGCCTTGAGATCTGGCTTCCTCCTCCGGGGCCACGACGCGTGGGAACCCAAGAGGCGCCGGAGAGGACGGGGAATCGGGCGGAGGGGGCGATGGGGCCCCCCAAGATGCCGACGCCTTCGGGGCTCGCCCGGGGCTTCCTCCTGGCGCTCCTCCTGGGTAAGAGAGAGGGGCGCGTGGGGCGCGGGGTCGGCTTGCCTTTGGGGGCACAAGCGCCTCTTTTCATAGGGTGCCCAGTTGATGGAATGATGGCGAGGGGTGAGGGCTCAGTCTGTGCCCCCTCCCCAAGATATGCCAGGGCTCCGGTTCCCATCAGTTCCGACCAGCATATCCAGTGGTCAGAGATGATGGCAGTTGTGGTCCAGCAAAGCCTGGCGGGTCAAAGGTCGTCCTTTGCAGCACCCCACATTTTGGGTGGCTAGGAGTGGGGCAGGGGTGGGGGCAGAGATCTGCCCATTCAAAGGCACACCTGTAGAGTTTGGTCTCTAAACCTAAGCTAAGTGTGGTGATGGCCAATCCACTGGTGTGGACATTAACCCCAGGTCTGAAAAAAAAGGGGTCAGCGCAGTCCTTTTTGCAGTTATGGGTCACTGGACCTTTGTTGCACCTGGGAGTCCTTTTCTCCCAGGAGACCTGGTATCAGCCCAGGTGAGGAGGAAGCTACCTTGATGGATGGGATACAGGGAGCCTTGCGATGACTGGAGCGAGTTTAAGCATTTTCCTTGCATTCATTCCGGTGTATACCTGATGGAGGAAACCTGAGACTCTGGAGTTCGGCCTAATAGCCTTCCTGCCCGGCTTCCCAACCTGGTGCCTCTAGTTGTTTTGAACTTCACTCTCTAAAACATATGGGGAGCAGAATCTGCTCTGAGTCATGCGCCAGGTCAAACCTGCTCTGAATCTCCTGCTTCCTGCAGGCAACCTGTCAAAGGCCTTGTTTTCCTCTCTGGTAGTCTGATTCTCCAATCTGAGAGAAGTCTGACATCAAAATATGTCAGTGTTCTGAAAACTCTGGAAGACACACTATGGTCTTGCGGGACACTCTGCTGCTGACCTCAGAGTCACAGTAGTCCAGGAATATATATATATATATATATATATATATATATATATATATTGCAAAGGGTTGCTCTCTTCTTATCTTGTTTTTGACAGGCTATTCACCTTTCTGTTTATAAGGGGTTTTGTGTATTTAGTTCATAGAATTTATAGACTGTTTTATATAGCAACAACAACAAACCAGCCTCAAAGCAGTTTACAAAAAGAAGTTATCAGTCTTTAAAAAAAGAAGATAAAAACAAGTATTGCATAGAATAAATAGAGTTGGAAGAGACCCGCTCCAGGGTCATCTAATCCAACACCCTGCAATGCAGGAACCTCAAGTAAAACATTTAGAGATAATTAAAATCAATTATCAGCTACAAACCACATTAAAATACATGTCAGTGTTCTTCTGCCTGTCAGGATAGGCTTGCCTAAACAAAATTATTTTAGCAGGCGTATAGCAAGAGTATAGCAAAGGTGCTTGTCTGGTATCAATGGGCAGGGAGTTGTTATTATTACTATTTTATTTTATTTATTTATTGAATTTATATACTGCGCTATGCTTGGGGATCTCAGGGCTGTTCACAGAATAAAATCAAGATATAAAACCACAAAATACCTAATAAAAATAAAAGTAGCCCCCCCCAAAAAAAACACATTTTAAAAGGGCATAGGATGTAAATCGCATCAACCAAAGGCCTGGTTAAAAAGGAACATTTTTGCCTGGCACCTAAAGATGTATATTGAAAGCGTCAGGCGAACTTCTCTGGGGAGAGCATCCCACAAACAGGGAGCCACTGCAGAGAAGGCCCCGTTCTCGTGTTGCCACCCTCCAGACCTCTTGAGGAGGAGACACACAAAGAAGGGCCTCAGAAGATGATCCCAGGTTCATATGAAAAGAGGCAATCCTTGAGGTATTGCGGTCCTGAGCCGTTCCAAAGTGTGGCTATTGCCACACTATAATACTGATTTCTTTCCAATGTGGAACAGACAATATGTGGCACCTATAACAGTTCCCCAGACTGAAGTGGCCAAGTGGACATATAAAGAAATAAAACCCCTTGTAAACATATTGCATATGTTATTCCCAAGCTGCTGAGGGCTTTATATACGAAGAGTAGCCACATGGCTGGGTAGCAAATTGGCAACCGTTGCAAAGGTGTTCTATGCTGGCAAGGTATTGTTTGTTGTTGTTGCCACGCATGAGTATTTATCTACCAGCTGAACTCTGGCAAAGTGCACTCCAACCTAATGGAGGCTTAGGCCACAATGAATGTGCTCCTTCAACATACCAGGAAGTCCTTCGTTTGTGTGTTTTTCAGATAAGCAGACTTAACACAGACAGCCTGTCTGAAATTTGACTTTCTCTTTCCTTTCTATTCCCTAGGTGGGTTTCAGCCCACTGAGAGCAACTCCTCCCGCATGGGTGAGTTGGGGGGTAGAGGTGGGGGCACAAGGCATGGGGCAGAGAGGGAAGGTGGGTGCGGAGGAGGGGGGTATTGTTTATATTTGAAGGTCCAGAAAAGAGTAACAAAAATTGTCAAGGGGGTGGAGCGATTCCTATGAGGAAAGGAATTTGAGACTTAGTGAGTGAGGGGAGACGTGATAGAAAATTTATAAAATTATGCATGTCCTGGAGAAAAGGAGATGGAGAAACGTTTTTTCCCCCCTCTCATAACTTTTCATTTTCATTTCATTTTTAATTTGTATAATTCCTTTCTATATTACGATACCCAAGGCGGTTCACAGTAACAAAATACGCAGCAAACAGCACACGCCTTATAATAATCTGATCCAATACAAAAAGTCGTAATAAGGCATAACTTTCAAATGGAATGACTTATATCAGATAAAGTCATGCTGAATTGTCTGTTGGTCATAGTACACAATAAAACCAACTCTCAAAACATCAGCAAATCATTGTTAAACAAGAGATTCACCCTTAACAATTGCAATAAATAACTACTGAACTACAATCAATAAACATAACTGCAAGTCGCAATGCATAACGTGTGCACCACAGTGTGTACAAAACCATGTAAAAAGGTTCAAATTGGGAAACAGACACATGACTTTTAAAACTACCGTATTTTTTGCTCTATAAGACTCACTTTTTCCCTCCTAAAAAGTAAGGGGAAATGTGTGTGCGTATTATGGAGCGAATGCAGGCTGCACAGCTATCCCAGAAGCCAGAACAGCAAAAGGGATTGCTGCTTTCACTGTACAGCGATCCCTCTTGCTGTTCTGGCTTCTGAGATTCAGAATATTTTTTTTGTTGTTGTTTTCCTCCTCCAAAAACTAGGTGCGTCTTGTGGTCTGGTGTGTCTTATAGAGCGAAAAATACGCTATTTCCCCCCCTTAAACTCCTCCTCAGGAGAACTCACAGACATCCAACAAAACTGAATGTTGGAAGATATCGGACAGATAAAATGAAGCAATTCTTCAAACAGTGCATGATTAAACTATGGGATTTGTGCCCACAGGAGGCAGCAATGACCATCTTGTGTGGCTTTAAAAAGGGATTAGGCACAAGAAGGTCTATCAGTAGCTGCTAGCCGTAATGGCTGTTCTTTGCCTCTGTGGTTATAGGCAGTAATGCTTCTGAACGCCAGTTGCTAGAAACCTCAGGAGGAGAAAATGCTCTTGTGTTCGAATCCTGCTTGTGGATTTCCCACAAAAGGATGCTGGACCAGATAGGCCATTGCAGGCTCGTATTGCGGCCTAGTTTTACTTTTATGCAGCCGCCTAAACAGTTAGTTTGCTAGAAATAAGATTCCTGTGGCCCTCCAGACTTTGTGGAACTCCAGCTCCCCTCAGCCACAGCCAGCATGGCTCCTGGTCAGGGATGAGGAAAATTACAGTCCATCAGTATTTGGGGTGTCACACATTCACCACCCCTGAGGGAAAGGCAAGGGTAGCCAACAGCCAATACAGCACTTGTAAGGGGTGATGAAAGTTGCTGTCCAAAAATAGCTGGCTATCTCCGCATTGGGTTTGGAGAACCAGGATGCCATGACAAAGGCTCAGAAGGAGAAGGAAAGGACTGAGGATGGCACTGAGCAGAGTGGGGTGGTGGTAGCCATTTCAGGGATAAGTGACAGCAAGGGAGAGACTCCTGAAATGACCATGGAGACTATGGTGCCTAGAAAGATCTTGATACCTCGGTTTTTGAACATAATCCGCTCCAGAAGACCATTTGACTTTCAAAACGTTCGCAAACCAAAGCACGCCATTTTCGGAAGCATTTGCTTCTTGGAAACTCAGTACAGAAACCGTTTTGTGGCACATTTGGCTTCTGAAAAGCGTTCGAAAACTGAAGCAGTTGTTTCCGGGTTTTTGGCGTTCAGGAGCCGAAACATTTGGCTTCCGAGATGTTCGAAAACCGAGGTACCACTGTATTATGAAGGGGAACTATAAAAGAAAGTCAGGAGGAGCTGGGAGTATGGAGAAGGGGCTCAACGTTGCTTCATTGACCTTCTCCTTCCTCCCACAGCTGTCTGTCAAGGCTACCCTGACGTCCGGAGGGAGCCGCAAGGCCAGATCCGTAGCCCTTCTTCCCAAGGGACGACATACAGCAGTTGTAGCTGGGTCATTCTGGCCGACCCTGAGGAGATCATCAGTATCAGGTGAGAAGGGAGCACTTTTAGTTGGGCCCGGAAACCAACCTCACATGAGCGCATCCTTCAGATTTCCTGGGGAGCAACACATAGAAGCAAAAGTTGGCATGCATACTTGATCTCTCTTGATCTCTTTCCCTTTTCCTTCCACAGGTTCCAGCGCTTTCATCTCTCCTGTACCTCGGAGATGCTGATCATCCAGTCAGCCTCGCTCCCTTCATCCCCTTGGAAAATCTGTGGCTACCACACTCCTGAGCCCCTCCGGATAAAGGGAGGCAACGTGACCCTGAGTTACAACTGGAAGTTCATGACAGGAGATGGGTTTCAGCTGAAATATGAGAGAGGTACGGCAGAGTCCACAGCCCTGGTGCATTATGGGAAGAAAACGGAAGCTTCTCTCCTCATCAATTTCCCTCCCTGATTATTGTTTCCAATTATCCATCTCCTTCTACACACACGCATGTATACATGGACCTCCTATCCCTGCGTTTCGTGGGTGGGGTGCTATTTTTCATCTAAAGTGTGGGTCTCCCTTCTTTCTTATTTAAAAAACAACCACCACAAACTGATTTGCGAATGAGGAAAGAAAACCGCAAGGCTGAAAAAATCAGAAGTGAGAGAAATCAGAACTGAAGGGCTCCCCCATCCCTGCCGTTTCCGAGCACAATTCAACTGTTGGTGCTGACCTTTAAAGCCCTAAACTGCCTCCAAGGCCCAGTATACCTGAAGGAGCGTCTCCACCCCCATCGTTCAGCCCAGACACCGAGGGCCTTCTGGCGGTTCCCTCACTGCGAGAAGTGCAGCTACAGGGAACCGGGCAGAGGGCCTTCTCGGTGGTGGCAGCCACCTTGTGCAACTCCCTCCCATCAGATGTCAAGGAAATAAGCGGCTATCTGACTTTTAGAAGACATCTGAAGGCAGCCCTGTTTAGGGAAGTTTTTAATGTTGGATGCTTCATTGTGTTTTTTATATTCTGTTGGGAGCCACCCAGAGTGGCTGGGGAAACCCAGCCAGATGGGCGGGGTATAAATATGTTGTTGTGGGGGTTACCACCAACACACATCTCCAAAGCTGATGGAATACTAATCTGTATATTATTGGCCCTGCCCATCCCATGCCTCTTTTGGTTTCCTATCAGTCCCTCTGACAGCTTCATTCTGTGTTTTCCACACCCTTTCCCTCACTCTCTTTCTCTGCTCCAGAAGCCAGCAGGCCACCCGTCTTCCCTTGCAACCTCACCCTGGACAACTTCTACGGGATCTTTTTCTCGCCTGGCTTCGCTTCTGACTCCTACCTGGGCGCCGCGCATTGCCAGTGGGCCCTCAACGCCCACGACAGCCGGCCTCTGAGCATCCGCTTCACGGCCCTCAGCCTGGGCGTCGGGGACTCCCTGAGGGTGTACGAGGGGGCGCCCGGATCCGCGCCGCGCCCCCGCTTGCTGCGCAACCTCGACTACACCAGCAACAAGAAAGTGGTCGCCGTGGACTCGCCTTCCAGCCGTGCGTGGGTGTCCTACGAGGCGGCGCCGGGAACATCAGGCCGCGGCTTCAACGCCACCTACCACGTGCGGGGCTTCTGCGTCCCGTGGGATTTCCCCTGCGGCGGAGGCGACGGCGAGGGGGCCACTTGCTACAGCGCCGCCGAGCGCTGCGACGGGTTCTGGGACTGCGCCAGCGGCGCCGATGAGGACGGCTGCAAAGGCTGCCCGGTGGGGCAGTACCCCTGCGGGGGTCGTGGGATCGGCGAGGCCGGCTGCTACGGGCCGGCCGACCGCTGCAACTACCAGACTTTCTGCGCCGACGCTGCGGACGAGCGCCATTGCTACTCGTGCCAGCCGGGCAACTTCCGGTGCCGGGACGGGCGCTGCATCTACGAGAGCTGGGTGTGCGACGGGCAGGCGGACTGCATTGATGCCTCCGACGAGGCGGACTGCTCCTATGTCCTCCCGCGGAAAGTGGTGACGGCGGCCGTCATCGGCAGCCTGGTGTGCGGCCTTCTCTTGGTGATTGCGCTGGGCTGCACCTGCCGACTGTATGCCCTCCGCAGCCACGAGTTTGGGTGAGAGGAGCAGCCGGGGAGTGAGGGGCAAGGCTGGGGCTTAGGGAATGTGCACATGAGATATCAAAAATGCGGAGAGCGATGGAAACTGGGGGGGCAGGACTGGGAAGGCGGGTGGGAAGTATAGGAATGGAGCCATACAGAGAGGGAAGACAGATGTCCTCAGGAAGTACTGTGCAGTGATCATGGTACCCTGGTGTATAGAAATCTGCTTTATTTGCTTAAATACCCTCCTCTTCAGCCAAGGGTGGATTTAATTTAAATCAAATCGATCTAAATTACTAGTCAGTAAGACTTGATTTAAATCATTTTTTACAGAAAGACTCATTCTTGCTGGTATAATCTTAATATTTACATGCAGATGAAAGTTTCATTTTTTGAACAATAAGTTTTCAGAGTTATTTTTACAGTTATATCAAAAATTACAGATATGGTTATACTATTAGAAATACATGGACAGATGATTATGAAATTATTGTGAGGTTTAATAAGTTAACTGTTTATATTGGTACAACTTTTCTGCTGTACTTGATTGGAAGGAGAAAAATAATAATTTCCTTAATAATAATTTAAACAATTTATTTAACTAAAACAATAACATTATAGCATATGTATCCATGTTTGTTAACTGATGTGGTTAAACAATTTTTTCATGTGTGGTAACACTCAGTCTGAGTGTTACCACACATGAAAAACTTAAAACAAATCCTTATTTCCAGATGAATAGCATTTAGGCTATAGTGTAAATACCCTCACAAAGCGTTTTATTTTAAAAATCTGAATTTTTTATTTTTTAAAATCCTTGATTTTTATCCACCCTGCTTCAGCCAGAAGTAGGCTCCTAGAGCAGCTTACAAATGTCCATGATAAGACAGTGCCTGCCCTCAGGCTTACAGTCCAAAAGGTATAACATGAAAGGAAGAAAGGATCCGGAGGGAAAAAGCAAAGTCTGTCTTAAATGCCAGAGCTTTTGTAACAGCCTGCTGGATGGTTCAAGGAAAGCTGCTGGCTTTTCTCAGTAGAGGTGATAGCAAGATCCTGCCATCTTATCCCTCTGTTCCTGTAGCCTGATGGGATGGCTGCTGTGGGCGGCAGCTGAGAGAGGAGCCCGATGGACATGGTAAACCAGTGGCCTAGCCGCTGTGGGTGCAGCTATTGCCTAATAATAATAATAATAATAATTTATTTATACCCCACCCATTTGGCTGGGTTTCCCCAGCCACTCTGGACAGCTTCCAACTGAATATTAAAAACAATACAGCGTCAAACATTTAAAACTTCCCTAAACAGGGCCGCCTTCAGTTGTCTTTTAAAAGTAAAATAGTTGTTCATTGCCTTGACATCTTCTGAGAGGGCGTTCCACAGGGCAGGCGCCACTACCGAGAAGGCCCTCTGCCTGGGTCCCTGTAAAGAATGTTGCCGTTTTAACAGGAGATATTGTAGAGCTGGAAAATGTGGGCGATGAAAATTAACTCGGGAGCATCCAACGAAACTGGATGTTGGAAGATTCGGGACAGACAAAATAAAGCGCTTCTTCTCACAGCACATAGTTAAAACTATGGAATCTGTTCCTATGAGAAGCAGTGAGGACCCCCAACTTGGACAGCTTTAAAAGAGGATCGGACGAATTTGTGGAGGATAACGCTATCAGTGGCTGCTGGCCACAGGGGCTATGCTCCACCTGCATGGCCGGAGGCAGTGGGAACTACGTTGCACCCTGTTCCTTTTTGTGGACATTGGGTTGGCCACTTGTAGGAACAGGATGTTGGGCTGGACAGCCCCCAGCCAGATCAGCAGGGCGCATCGTCTGTTCTTATGACGTGAAAGGAAGTTGAAGTTAGAAACTTCCACTCAGACAGAGAGAGGGAGAGTTGAGGAGGGATAAGAAAAGAATGTTATTGAGGGATGGAGAGGGATGATGGGTTCAGCTCTCGTCTCACACTTTGTGTCGTCTCTTTCTCCCCACAGTATCTTATCCCCCTTGTCGCGGATGGAGGCCCGGCTGGTGCAACGGCAGGCGCCGCCTTCCTACGGGCAACTCATTGCTCGCGGCGTCATCCCCCCCGTGGAAGGCTTCCCCACGGAGCACCCTCATCAGGTCAGCAAATTCCTAACATTTGTAGAACCTGAGGTATGAGGCAAAATGTACAGGCCCCACTCTCTTCGTTTTTGTGTGTGTGAGAAACGCTCCCCAAAGCCTTTTGTTTGTCCACTCTACCAGAAAGATTCCTATGAGTGCCCCATGTCTTGACTCCCCATGTCTCCCCACGTAGCCGGGCAAGATTGAAATTGTCTCTGAGGTCTAAGATGTTACATTATTCTGGGTACTTGGCTGCCACTGGGATTGCAAACTGCACAGATGCCTCTCTGTAAGCTCCATTGCTTGTACGATGGGATATCCATATGGCTCGGGCCAATTATAACCACAGCTGGGAAATGGCCCTCATATTAAGATGCAATTCATTCTTAGAAAGCCGTGTCTTTAAGGCAGAAGTCTGGGGACTCTGAGCCGGGAGTTTTGAGGAGCAATAGGCAACAAGAGCACTCGGGCGAGGCTGTGTCAAGTAGCTCTCGCCATATTGAGGGCCTGCAATGAACATCAGTATTGCAGCCTCCCATATCACTCAGTTCTGAAGAGGGCTCTGAAAACTCTGGGACCACCGCAAGCGAAGATGCGAAGATCTGAATAATAGGTGTGCCCAGCAAAGGAACTGTAGGGCATGCATCTGTAGAAAGAGAGCGTAAATACCTTACTGGAGTCTTCCCAACATATTGGCCATCTCAGGCCCTATGATTGGCAGGGGAGGCCTTTTTAATGTTACCACCTCTGGCTGCTGCCTGGATAGCGTTGACCCATGACAGGGACTTTTGGGTGGTGGCTCTGCATTTGTGTGATGCACTCATTGGTGGGGTGCACCTGTCTCCCTCATTATTGGCTTTCAGGATAAATTTTTATAACATCCCTGTTTACCCAGGCATTTGACTGATGATGGCTACTGAAAATGTTGAAATTAGTAACTGTGAGGGAATGCAATTGTTTTTAGTGTCTTCCAGATTTGCATTTTTGATGTTTCAAAAACCTTTTCTAGTTTACATTGTACTGCTTTGACATGTTTGCCACACTGGGCTTTGGGGAGTGGGACGGGCAGGTTGCAAAGGTAATAAATTAATGAATGGGTAAATATGCCCTCCCTGGATTCCTTGAGGGACTCTCCCTGCCAGGTAAACACACTTGTGTTTGGTTTTCGGTCTGTCCTAATTCCTCACCACCCTTCCCTCTGCTCTTTCATTTCAGAATTCAGTGCTGGGGAACTTGAGGTCTCTGCTGCATATGTTCCGCCACGACACAGCCGCCGCCACTGCCACTGGTGGGAACCGCCGCCCGCATCGCAGCCGCTTCCTGCGCCGCTTGGCGAGGCGCATGAGGCGGTTGGGACTGCTGCCTCGGTCTGCCCCAACCACCTCCACTTCTGCCGCTGCTGCTGCCACCACCACCACCACCACCACCTCTTCGTCACACTCCACTCCGGATACCTTGCCTGAGCCACTACCTGGAGAGGAAAACACAACTTCCGGCCAGCTGGAAGAGCAAGCCCCGCCTCTTCCCCAGAAGGCCCCGCCCCCGCCTGCTGAGCCTGCGCCAGAGCCCCAGGCCCCGCCCCCTCCCACCCCACGGTTCTCGGGGATGATGCGCTCTATCCGCGTACGGCTGTTCTCCCCTGTGCTGCCGTGCTCTGTGGAGGCAGGCAATCCCCTCAGTGCCCCTCCGTCCCCTGAAGACGAGGATGATGTACTTCTGGTGTCCCTCACCGTCCCCGACTCTGAGAGCGGAAGTGCGTCTGCCGACTGGGCTGCGGACGACGAGCCCCTTCTGACCTGAGCGGCCTTCTGCAGCAGCATCCGGACTCTCTTACCCAAATACTGGACGTTGCCTTTTAAGAACAGCACACAGGGTTACTTATGCACAACAGCAGAAGCAGAAATTTTTTCAGCTCTCTCCCACTTACCACCTCTCCCCCACAACCCACCAGCAATCCCTTCCCTTCCCGCTTCCCTAAAGGTATATTTTGTGGTGTATGGGAAAGGATGGCAGTGTATGGCAGTTAAAAAAAAAAAAAAGAAAGTTCTTAAAGGTTATTTTCCACGCTTGGCGTTTGAGCAAGAGAATAGGGGCCACCGCGACACCTCTCTTTCCTCAGTCACTTTGAGGATTCAAATACCAGCTCAGTGGAACAGGGGAGCGATGCTTGCGTGCCACGTAAATTGGGGTTCTTTAAAGGGGAGAGATTCTGATCTGGTATACCGTCGCTGTTTCTAGTTCTGCGCAACGAGACGAGAGAAAACAAATCCCTAGGGGCCACCCAGTTATCTTGACACCTCCATCTTCTGAGAGCTGCCTGCCGCGGGTTTTGTTTCAGTCGGTGCTGAAATCGCGGCTTGTGTGGAAGAAGTGATAGGAGTACATGCACTTGACATTTTAAGAAATGTTCTTGGAAAGTGAGGAGGAGGAGGAGGAAATGAAATATGCTTCTGCAGGGAGAAGCTCAGATATGTCTGCCTGAAGGAAGGAGAGTTATGTAGTAGTCAGAAGTAACCCTTACAGGCACTGTAACCCTTAAAAGCAGTGACTAAATTGGCGGGACCCCAATCCTAATTTTGCAATGCCACAGCAGAGAGGAAAAATTCATGTGATTTGAGTGGACTAGAAAATTATTATTGTGGAGTTGTGGAAAGATTAAAAGAAGGAGGAAAGGCTGAAGTCAGTAACTCAGCTTAAATTCTTCTGCAGTAGTTGCAAAACAACATTTTGACCGTGCACTCCCTGTGTATGTTTACTCAGGAGTAAATCCCAAATTTGTTCAAATGGACTTACTCCCCAGTATAGAGATAGAATTGCAGCCTTAGGGAAAGAAAAGGATGGACAATGTTTTCTTCCTTTTATTGATTAAATGTTTTGTAAGTAAGCTATTTTTTGAAAAAACACAGAAAATGAAAGAAGTTAAATTTTGCACATGGAATATCTGAACAGCTTTAAATAAGGAAAATTTGTATGAAGGATTTATTTTTTTAAAGAAAACGCTCCTTGAGAGCAGTGATCAGTTAAGATTTTTAGTCGTGATCATTGCAGATTATTTCTTTCGCAGTGACCAAAAGCACAGAAAACGATGCATGGATCCAAAGGCCCAATAAATTAACATAACTTGGTATAAATGATGATTGAAAAATAGATTTTAAAAGGTAAAGGTTATCTCTGGCTATTTAATATAAAGAGTCCTATTTTTAAAAGATGAAGCTAAGGCTTCATTCAAGCCAGTCAGAGCATGAAGAGATGTTGTTCTAAACACGACGTTAGAACAGTTAACAACTCTTAATTCTAACTGATTTTTTTTTTTAAGGCAGTGGCTCATTCTTAAGCATCTTTCTTAGACAGGTGTTTTAAAAGGAGCATAAAAGGGTAATATCTGCATTGAGTCTTTGCCCAGATCTTTGTATGTCTATTTTTTAAAATAATAATAATAATTTAACTGACAATATTCGAAAAACAGTTTCAAAAGAACGTTGTGGGTGACTTCCAATGTTATCTCCCCATTTGTGCAACAGAGATCAGCTTTGCGCAAGGAGGTTTCTGGTTTCTCCTCTGCTGCCTCCAGATCTTCTTCAGAGGGTCCCCTTGCCTTCTGGAGCATAATTTGAGGGCTTCAGGAGGGGCTGAAGGGGCAAGAGAGGAAGGAGAGCCCACATCTCAGAAGTGGAATTTCTCTCACACTGTTGCCTCTTGCCCATTAGGTGTGAATTGGAGCTGGGGAACCCCTGAGCCTCCAAATATTGTTGGACTCCAACTCCCAGCACCCAACTATCGTGGACAGAAGTTGGCACTCATGGGAGTTGTAGTCCAGCGGCGTCGGAGGAATCGCAGGTTCCTTATCCCCTACCACAGGGTGTGTGGTGGCCATGCTTCTGAAAACCAGTAGCAAGGCTAAGCTATGTCTGCATAAAGCTTTATAGAGGTGAAAGAAAACAGTTTTTCCTTGTTGTTTTTCAACTGACACGATTCTCTGTCTGGAGATTCGTTTTGGCAATAACAGGCTCAGATGCAATGACTGTGATGGATTCTTCTTCTTCTTCTTCTTCTGTTGTTGATCCAGCTGTTGATACGCAAACAGGGGGGTGAGGTGGGAGCCCCACCAGATTAGAAAGTCTGCAGAACATTCCAAATCAAAACGATACACTGCAATCCTGTCAGGTAAAGAAACCTCCTAACAGGATTTCGCTAAACCGGTGCCTTCTTAATCGCACAATCTATGGGCGCTCCACGTGACTCAGACGAAGCAAACCAGGGCAGAGGTGGGGGGCCTCTGCAGTTGGCAGCTATTATTGTACCTCTCCTGGCACACCTGGGCCTTGAACGCCTTCCCCAGCAAGGATGGGAAGTGGGGCTGCGACTCCCATCATCCCTAAGCCAGCACAGTCAGTACACAGGGATTATGGGAGCTTCAACCTCTGGAAGGCCACAAATTCCCTGTCTCCCCCCTTTAAAAAAAAGAGTTAGGTGAGATGTTCAAGCCCCATTGAAATGGACCCACGGTGCATTGGTTCCCCTGGCTTTGTTAGCTGCTGGCACAAGTATGTATGCGTGTGAGATATATAGATATATATATACATATATAAATTATATATAATTTATTCTTATTTGCTGACAAGAGATGCTTCTCAGAGAAATCAGTGGCGACATTTAATGGAAGCCAGGAGTTCATGTTTTACTGCTGTCTTGTTCTGTTCTCTCCCCCATCTGGGTAGGTGTGTGTGGATAACTGACAACGTCGAGTTCTAGATGAGCAAATATTTGCACTGTGTATTTTAGTCCGTTGAGCTGTGACCACTAACTGGGGCCGCGCTGTTTTGTTATTTCACCTTCTGTTGCCTTTTCGAGTTTTTTGCTAAGAATTAAAAAGAGAGATTTTGAACTGTAAGGTGGATTCCCACACCAGTCTTTCTGTTTCTGAGCCAACTAATTAACCGGCTGCCAAAAAAGGCTTGTAGGTTTCAGGGATGTGATGAGGGAGAGACCCATTTGCCTAGAGCTGTTTCTACGGTCAGTTGTAGCAATTACCTTATTTTTCGCTCCATAAGACGCACCTAGTTTTTGGAGGAGGAAAACAAGAAAAAAAATATTCTGAATCTCAGAAGCCAGAACAACAAGAGGGATCGCTGCGCAGCGAAAGCAGTGATCCCTCTTGCTGTTCTGGCTTCTGGGATAGTTGCGCAGCCTGCATTCGCTGCATAAGATGCACACACATTTCCCCTTACTTTTTAGGAGGGAAAAAGTGAGTCTTATAGAGCAAAAAATGCGGTACTTCAACTCTGGTACGCCTCTGACGTGCTTATGAGGGCGAGTCCCAAATTGGAGAGTCTACCCCTCTAGCCATGATCAAGGTTGTGTCTCTCTCATCCCAGGGTTAGCAGATTGTGTAAACCAGCCTTTCCCAAGCTGGTGCCCTCGAGATGTTTTAGGAACTACAATTCCCAACAGTCCCTGCCAGCCAGGTTCCCCCCCCCCCAACGTAGTGCAGAATTAAGACAAGAAATGTGGGGAACCACAGAGAGACAGAATGGTTTGACGTTATCCCAGGATACTTGGCAAAGACATACAGTGGTACCTCGGGTTAAGTACTTAATTCGTTCCGGAGGTCCGTACTTAACCTGAAACTGTTCTTAACCTGAAGCACCACTTTAGCTAATGGGGCTTCCTGCTGCTGCCGCACTGCCGGAACACGATTTCTGTTCTCATCCTGAAGCAAAGTTCTTAACCTGAAGCACTATTTCTGGGTTAGCAGAGTCTGTAACCTGAAGCGTATGTAACCTGAAGCATATGTAACCTGAGGTACCACTGTATGTGGGTGAAAATACATCGGGACCCTTTGTTCTTACAGACTGCTACATCAGTCTGTAAGAACAGCAGCCCCAAAGCCTTCGCTATGGAAACAAGCCAAGGATGGCTCCAAGTCGTCCTCGCTCAGAGTCTCAGTTTCCTGTATGTGAGACATAACCGACAAAAACAGTGCCTTTGTTGAGCTGCTGTGAAGATAACTCAGCCAGTGGACCCACGCAGTTCTAAAAGTGGGAAGAGGGAGATGTGTTGCCTCGTGCAGGTAAATCAAGAAAGTGTCTGTGGTAGTGCCCTCTGCTTGTTGCAGTTAGCACAAGTCAAGCTGTGAAGGCTCTGAAGAAGCTGGTGATTGAAGCCTACAGCAGCTAGACTGGTGACTGGGAGTAGCCGCCGAGGCTATATATACTGGTCCTGAAAGACCTACACTGGCTCCCAGTACGTTTCCGAGCACAATTCAAAGTGTTGGTGTTGACCTTGAAAGCCCTAAACGGCCTCAAAGGCCCGTATACCTGAAGGAGCGTCTCCACCTCCTTCGTTCAGCCCAGACCCTGAGGTCCAGCTCCGAGGGTCTTCTGGCGGTTCCCTCCCTGTGAGAAGTGAGGTTACAGGGAACCAGGCAGAGGGCCTTCTCGGTGGTGGCACCCGCCCTGTGCAACGCCCTCCCATCAGATGTCAAGGAAATAAGCAACTCTAACTTTTAGACATCTGAAGGTAGCCCTGTTTAGGGAAGTTTTTAATGTTTGTTTTTTTATCGTGTTTTTAATATTGGGAGCCGCCCAGAGTGGCTGGGGAAACCCAGCCAGATGGGCGGGGTATAAATAATAATTATTATTATGCCTTTGCAAGGGGGGGGTCAGACTGAATGGCCTCTTGATGTTCCTTCCCAACTCTTCTAACAAACGTATCTCCACACACTTCAGATTGATTTAACTAAGCAGCATGCAGTAAATTCAGTACTACAAACAAAAGGTTGGCATACAGATCACCAACTTCTGTTACCTGGGAAGGTTTGCAAAAGAAAACAGCATGAGGAGAAATGATCAACTACCAACAGCCAACAGCACAGGCTATTTTATTTGCAAATAATCCTTCACCAAGATTATCCCTTAATACCCTTTTCCCCCAGCCTAAAAGTTCTTGTGGGTGAGGGGATTTGTAGCCACTTCAGCGACTGCCTGGGCCTGTTTGGGACATAACTGCAGTTGGCATAGCTGCCAGGCACCAATAAACAGGGAAATCCCAGCAACTCTGTAAAAAAAACTATTTATTTTCAGTCATAAGGTCGAGGGGTTGCTTCGCTCTGCGTGGCTAATATCATCCCGGCTGCATCGGTGGCCTTGTTCACACAAAAAGCTTTCCAAATGTGCCAAACGGGTGGTCATTCTGGATTCATTAACACAGATGGATAATAGAGGCCCAGAATTCGTCCCTTTCTCTACCGCCGCCCTCGCCTCAAACGGCTCCGGTCTGTTGCCCTGCCAACAGCATGGAAACTGCCTCCCGGGGATCAGAAATGCCATGAGTTCAAATCTTCCCCAGGCTGCAATTAGGGCAAGGAGGACGCCTGGCTGATTGCAGCTTAGGCTGAATGTATGAGAGGGAGAGAGAGGCCGGAAGTGCAAGGAGGCTGAACCAGGCCTTACAAAGCGACCAGGTGTGCTGTCATTTGGATGCCTCAACCTCCAAGCACAAAACGAGCAGAATCAGCACGCAGGAGGGGGCACTTGCCCGCAGAGGGTCCCCACGGGCCCAGCCAGCCTCAGCCTTGTTTCCCGTGTCTCCCAGGGGGGCTCCCTTCTCTCACCCTATGGCAGGCATTAATTATGCCTAATTAGCATCCTCCCACCCGTGACTAACTGTATAATTCCCTCCCCCCTGCCTAATTAGGCTGAGCAGCTAATTCAGCATCATTAAAGAGGGAGAGAGTCTCTCCTGTGCGCTCTCTCATCTCTGCCCATCCCCTTCCTATACAAAAACCATTCACCAATGGATGCTCCACAGCCCCCCACCCTCTCTTGGTTTCATTCTCCATCCAATTACTTTGTTTACTCTTTCTTCCTCCTGTGACTGTTTTGAATATTCATTTATCCACCTAACATTTGTCTTTCCACATCATCAGTTGCCTCGATGACTGCATCCATGTTTTGGATATATTTTTAAAGCTGTTTAAAGTAGAGGGGCAGGTTTTGTTTTTAATAATAATAATTATTATATAATAATAATGCATAGTTTTGATTTTGTGTGCACCCATGTTTGCCACCCTGCGCTCCTTTGGGATAAAGGCGGGGATACAAATTTAACAAACCAATAAATATACACTACCTGCCGAAGTTCTAATTAGAGTAGACCCACTGAAATCAACGAACCTAATTTAGCCATGTTAATTAACTGTGGTGGGTCTGCTCTGCTGCAGGACTAGCACTGGCTACAGCAGAGTGGATTTTGCAAATGTGCTTTCGCAATCACACAAATTGCCCTTATCAGTCTTTCCCTTAATCCACCCATCCATCTGTCTCCTTTGTTTATCCCTCCACGCTCACTTTCTCATTATCTTATATATATCTCTCTCTTTGCATTAGGCTCTCACTCTCTACTCTTTCCAACAAATACCCTCCCACACACACACACAAACAAATATACACACACCATATTTCTTTCTTGTCCCCATTTGTGCTGTACTGTACATTTCAAGCAGCATCACGCCATTTTTAAATAGTCAATGCTTCTCCCAAATAATCCCGGGAAGCAAGGTTCCCCAAACTTGGGTCGCCAGCTGTCTTGGACTACAACTCCCATCATCCCTAGCTTGCAGGACCAGTGGTCAAGGATGATGGGGATTGTAGTCCAAAAACCCTGCTGGGAAGTGTAGTTTGTTGAGGATGCTGACCCCTGTTAGGAGACCCCTGTATTCCCTTCAGAGAGCTACAATTCGCAGAGCTCCCTGAGAAGATGGTAAAGGTAAAGGGACCCCTGACCATTAGGTCCAGTCGTGGCCGACTGGGGTTGCAGCGCTCATCTCGCTTTATTGGCCGAGGGAGCCGGCGTACAGCTTCCGGGTCATGTGGCCAGCATGACTAAGCCGCTTCTGGTGAACCAGAGCAGCGCACGGAAACGCTGTTTACCTTCCCGCCGGAGCAGCACCTATTTATCTACTTGCACTTTGACATGCTTTCAAACTGCTAGGTTGGCAGGAGCAGGGACAGAGGAACAGGAGCTCACCCCGTCGCAGGGATTCGAACCGCCGACCTTCTGATCGGCAAGTCCTAGGCTCTGTGGTTTAACCCACAGCGCCACCCACGTCCCATCTGAGAAGATGGACAGACTGTTAAACCATTCTGGGAACTGTAGCACTGCAGGAGGGGGGGGATCTTCTAAAAACTCTCCAAACTGCAGTTCCCAGTCATCTTTGGGGGAAGCCATGACCCTATAAAGTTGTATGACACTGTTTTAAACACCTACAACAGATGGGGGTCACCGTTCCAAATCCTCAGTGTCTCTCACATACAGATATATCTCTATCTTTGCTTCTTCCAGTACACTGATATTGATGATCGTCTTCCAAAGCAACTACTCTATTCCCAACTTAAAAATGGAAAGCATAATGCTGGTGGTCAACAAAACAGGTTTAAAGACTGTCTCAAGGCAAATCTAAAAAAAATAGTATAAACACCAACAATCAGGAAACACTGGCCTGCGAGCTCTCCAGTTGGAGAACAGCCTTTACCAAAGGTGTCATGGGCTTTGAAGACACTCGAACTCAGGACGCAAGGGAGAAACGTGCTAGGAGGAAAGCACGCTTGGCAAATCCACACCGTGATCAGCTCCTGCCCGGAAACCAATGTCCCCACTGTGGAAGGACGTGTGGATCCAGAATTGGCCTCTACAGTCACTTACGGACTCATTGTTAAAACCATGTTTATGGAAGACAATCTTACTCGGCTACGAGTGATCGCCAGAGAAGAAGATGATACCTCTATCGTTGATTCTACATTGCTCTACCCACAGTGCGCAGCATGGCTCGCTTCCTTGAGTCGCCTGCAGGCAGTTTCACCGCAAGGCACCTTACCTCCACTTTTGGCACCC